TTTCTTGTCAGACCTGAGTGAATTGGTGTCGTTTGAGATAATTTCAGTAATGGATATGCTAATAAGCTGGAGAAAATCACCCAAAAAGCTGCTGGAATTATATTGAAATCAACAAACATAGAGACAGTGTGTATAGAAGTCGTATTAAAACCATCAAGTGAAACTGAGACAATTTTTAAAATGTTTCATCGTCGTTGCACTCCTGATGATTTGCTGGTGTCGAAATATTGATAGCCATTCAAAAACTCATAAAATTGGGAAAAAGATGCCAGAATTCCTAAAATTAAATTTGATTTTCCATCAGATTAATTACACCATGATTATGAAAACTACCCATCTCACCGAGCAGACTTAATCACTTATCATTGTTGTTCTCTCTCCTTGTATGTGTACATATTCTCATTACATATTTCATTCTTCAAAAATACACACCACTTGAGTTTTCACTGCTAATTACTTTCAGTTTGATAAATGTTGTCATTGTTATGGTTACATTTGTATTGTTATCGGATTTCCTATCTAATAAAAGTATGAGAATGACAATGAATAAATAAAGTGCTTTTGTCCCCATACCTTTGGTATGCAAACTTCCAAATGTAAGTTTTCCATTTATCAGTGACATTAACCTTTTCTATACAAACAGATCACGTAAAGCTTCGTATGTACGAATTGTTTTCTTTATGTTGGATTGGAGAGGTGTTCAAAGACGCGTTCAGTAAACAGGAGACTGGGGGGTTGGTGTTCAAAGAGATGTTAAACAGGAACTGGGGGGGGGGGGGGGGGGGGGGGGGGGGGGGGGGGGGGGGGAGGTGTTCAATAAACAAGAGACCGGAGAGTTGTTCAATAACGGTAGACATAGGAGGTTCAATAACGGTGGATTGGACAGGTGTTCAATAACTGTATGGGGAGGGGTATCAATAAACGGTAGACTGCGAAGGTGCTCAATAGCGGTAGGGGAGGGGGTATAAATAAATGATAGACTTGGGAGGTATTCAACAACGGTAGAGACGAGGGGTATCAATAAACGGTAGACTGGGAATGTGTTCAACAACGGTAGGAGAAGGGGTATTAATAAACGGTATATAGAGGAGGTGTTCAATAGCGGTAGGGGGAGTGGTATCAATAAATGGTAGACTGAGGAGGTGTTCAATAACGTAGGGGGAGGGGTATCAATAAACGGTAGACTGGGGAGGTGTTCATTAACGGTAGGGGGAGGAGTATCAATAAACGGTCGGCTGGAGAGGTGTTCAATAACGGTAGACCCTTTCTTTGTTTCTTTGACCGATTCTGTAATAAACACAGTTTTGAAATATGAATTAGATATATTTTCTCCTTCTCGCACGCTTTGATTTATTACCAGGCTCTGTAAATAGATCTGCAATTTCTTTTTTCGTTTTTTCACTTTGATCGCATGGATTCGGTGTCTGTTGATAATCTTACTTCGTAAAACTTTCCTAACTTTCTGGTAAGTTTCCTATTTTTATTACTTATTTTCGATATTAATTTGTTAAACATTTTCCAAGGTTATTTATATTATTTTCTTTTAAAATGTTTTTCTAATCGAATTCCTCAATTTCCGTGTTTTAGTTTTATACCTTATCTGAAGAATTGGTGAAATTCGTCCAAAGGGGGACAACTCCCAGCTATTAAAAGTCTAAACAATCTTCTACGGTATCAAGAAAATAATCACATTTATTTTTTGTATAAAACATGTTTTAAAAAAATATCATCAACTAACATGGAGTACATCTTTCACAAATCAATTGTATAGGAAAACAAAAAAGTTTAGTAACTGGATTTTGGCTTTTGTTGTCTTTTTAAATGTAGAAAAAAATATAAATTTAACATCAATATCAACATACGTTTCTGGTATTTTGTTTGTTAAAAAGACTTTTGCTTTTGACCAATGACCTATGGAACATTCACATATATGAAGTATCTATCATCAAATTTTGCAAATTTTCCAAAATTTTTAATTTGAAAAGGGGCATGCAAATGAGTAAAAGAATCAGCTATATATTCATGTATGTCAATATACTTCTCCCCAAAGTACGACGGCATTACATCATTCTCATTGTTTATACTGAAGGGCGGAAAAAATATATGATGCCTTATTGAAATTCTTTATTTTGTACAACGAATAGTTATAATAATAATGTAATAACAATAACATTATGGCGATATGTTCTCCTATCTTATACCAATTAATCAGGATAGTCAAACTTCTGTAAAGTACACATGCTTTACCTTGCAGATTTTGTTTTTTAATAGGATTAATAATGGACGCAGGCTTAGACCCTCTATGTCCGTATCGTACATAAACATTTATAATCAATTATAACTATTTCGGTGTCCATAGCTTAATGATTAAATGTACATATATTAAACTACAAAACGACTGTTTTTCCAGTGTTTGTCTAACATGACTTCAAACTCAAATACAGTTTTTGCATTAACAGTATCTGGAGGTAACGAGTTCCATTAATCTACCACTCTCTGGCTAAAAAATGTGTTTTCAAATGTCCAATCGACATCGATTTTTGAGAATCTCCTTATGGTGACCTCTATAGTTCGGCTGAAGCTATCCATCTGGAAAACGCTTCCTGTAACTCTGCAATCATATATATTGTTAACTAACTAATTTGTAAAGATTAATCATGTCTCCTCTATTACTTCTATAAGGAAGAGTAGGAAAACTTAAAACTTTCTAGTCGTTCTGAATAAGGAAGGTTTTTGAGTCCCGGAATTAATTTTGTTGTCCTCCTCTAGACGTTTTCAATTTGCGTGATATCTTTTATCTTATAGGGGCTCCAAACACTTGCAGCGTACTCCAAATACGGTCGTACCAGAGCCTTGAATAGCAACTGAAATATTGACTCGTCAAGGTATTGAAAAAATCTTCTAATTAGTCCTAAAATGTTATTGGCTTTATTTACTATTAACTGAATATGGGTTTAAAAGTTCAATTGATCATCGATTGTTACCCTGATATCTTTTTCGTTGGAGATATTTTCCAGTTGTATTTTTCCTCCATCACTCCCATGCATAAAATAATTTCTTTTTCCAGGTCCTTTTATCGTTAAGACCTTACATTTTTTGGATGAAATTTGAGCAACCATTTCTCGAACGACAACTGTAGTTTATCCAGGTCGTTTTGGAGTAATGCTACATCATTAGCGCCTTTCACTTGTCTGTATATTTTTGTGTCATCAGCATACAATGGTGATGGTGACTGGGTTACTTCAGGTAGATCGTTTATATACAGTACAAATAGAATAGGCCCAAGCACGCTTCCCTGGGGGAAACCACTGATTACTGGATATGTTGCTGAAGTTTGTCCATTGACAATCTCTCGTTGTCGCCTATTTTTGAGAAAGTCTCCTATCCAATTAACTACTTGTGTACTGATGACGGCTAGCCTAGCTAGTGGAAACATGTCAACCAAATAAAACTACCGATCACAGAATCCTTGGTGTTGATGCTCCATCCTTTATTAAGTTGTTACTACTTGTGTACTTATTTCATATCCTAATAATTTCATGAGTAATCGCTGGTGGCTCACTTTATTAAACGCTTTTATAAAATCCATGTAGATTATATCAATTTCTCCGCCATTATCTAACATTTTGTCCATTCTTCAAGCACTGTTATCAGCTGAAATTGCGTAAACCTCCTAAAGATGAACCCCAATTGTCGTGGACTTACTATTTTATTATTTAGATTATTCTTATTCATATATTTTACAATACTATTCCTAACAATTTTTCCCAGTGTTTTCAAAATTATACTAGTTAAGCTCACTGGTCGGTAGTTTCCTGGGTCTGATTTTAAACCTTTTTTTTTTGTCATGTTAGCCTCTTTCCATCCCTGTGGTAATTTTCCTTCTGTTAAAGATTTAATATAGATATATGCTAGAGGTGCACTGATGTTATTTCGTAGTTCTTTTAAAACTTTTGGATGCATCTTATCAGGTCCCTGAGATTTATTTCATTAAGATTTGCTAATAACTTTTCAACAACTTGGGAATTACAAAATATATCTTCAAAAGGATGAACTATATGTCTCTTTAAATTCTGGTAATTCGTTTGATGGTTCCTCCGTGAAAATACTACTGAAGAATTTTGCTTGCACTTCAGCTTAATATTTATCCTTCACAGCTATCTGTTGTTCTTCTCTATTTAAGTCAGCGATCCCAGTTCTTACTTTTCTTTTTGAATTGGCGTATTTCCAAAAACATGTTGGGTTGACTTTGACATCTTCGGCAATATTTTTTTCGGTTTCTTTTCTGGCTTGCCTTAATTCCCATTTTAGTTGGTTTCGTGCTCTAGCACATTCTTTGTGTTTAAGTTCACGCCTTGTTTCCATGTAACATTGCCATGCTCTGTTTTTTGTTGTTGTTGATTTTGAAGAAAACTCCCTTCTGTCCTCAACTGAGCCAAATGCTTTAAGGATTGGTCTCGATTTGCTTTTGGTGGCATTGCTTTCCTTGTCACATTTCCTTATTATAGTCATCATGGTTATTCCATTTGTAACCTCTAAAGGTACGTTGCAAACTTCAAGCAAGTCCTGAACTTCCTTTTAATCTGACTTACGATCGCGTCCTTTACTATCTCGCTGTTCCTTAATTCCAAGGGTCAATTCTCTTTTCTTTCTATCCTCTATTTCAGTCAAGGCATATTGCGTTTCCTTTTTCCCTCTCTTTCAGCTCCGATGTAAATCCTTGATTTTCTCTCTCAGACATCTTGACAAGTTCTTCTCTCACAATGTCTCGGATTTGTTTTGTTTTGTTTTTGTTTCTGCTATCATCATCTATGCTGCAAGTGTCATTATCAAGTTTGTTCTGACATTTAAAAAAATAAAAGGTTAAATATTTTTTGAATGGTTCATAATGTAGTGACTTCGGCCTCCGGAATCTGCCGAGTGTGTACGAAGTCGTTATCAAATCAAATGTGAAACTAGCTACTGCGCATGTCTTACAGAAATAAAACTATGACATTTCAGCTCATGTAATCTTCGTCATGTGTGTGCGACAGCTGGTGAGATACGGTGTCACACACGACATGGGTTAGGGTGGACAGTTATTAGCCGGGATACACACGTATTATTTCTTCAGCTGTTTATATAGGCGCGGAGAGATCAAAGATTCATCTGTAACTAACAGGTGGCGTGCTTCACAGCTGACCGAACTTCTTGTATCGAAAACTACTTGCTATTTACTCGTTATCTTTACTGTAATGCGGACAGGGATGGAAACCTCCGTGTTAGTTTTTTTGTGTGCCATTATCAACACATATGTTTTCGCCAACCACACTGACTTTAGACCCATGCACGAGAACGAGGGTAAGTTAACAGTAAAACTCGCATGAACATTTCTACTTAAATGAATCATTAAATTTGTGTATATGTGATTTAAAGTTATTACTTGATTAGTACACAATCTCAAATCGCACACAAAGAAAGACGGCATGAATAGCAACAGTTACTATATACACGTGTAAGTACCCTAGCTTCCACTGTTGTCCAATAGATGTGTATTTTGAGTTTGTTCTTTATATATGTTTGTCATTTTTTCTGTAACATCAATCATGCATGTTTTTTTTAGTTTCTGTTCCAAACAGTGGGAAATTAGTTACAGATGATGAAATTTAAATAGAAGGCAAACAATTCAACAACTTTATTTTGCTCCAGATACAATGAACTGTACATGTACACTTTTGAAAGTGGTAATGAGATGGTGACACTACTGTTAGATGATGTTAAGATCATACACCAGACTTGTCTTTTGGTTTGAAGCCTAGACTCGAAAAACCTTGCATGAGGTATTTTGGTATATTTGCATAGTATTACAGCACATGTAACATGTACATACTTGATATGAGTCTGGCATCTGCCTCCGTTTGGACTGCAACCTGAAGTATATAGATAGAAATGTATACATATCACATATATGTGAATTTTTTTCAATATTGATAAAATTAAGCTGTGTTTGTGATATATTACAAAGACAATCAGGATTCAAAATGTGAGAGAATTATGGTTATTATTGACAATGATGTGTGTATTTAATATAATAAAAACCTTTTAAAGTATTGAAGCTAATACAAATCTATGATTGTAAGTTAACCAATTACTTATCAGAATACAGAATCCTGTTGCATTTTTTTTAGTAAAATTTCTGCATGAGTGTTAGTTGATTAAGATAACTTAGAAATGACATTCCCACTCGACTTCCACACAGCTGTTGGATAGTGATAATTCTAAGCCTTACAGCTAGGGAGTATTTCTAATCTTATTAAAACCTGACACATCTTTTAGATAGAAAATTCCCACAGGAATGTTTTACTATCTTATTGTAAGCCAGATTAGTTATGTTCTTGTAGGAGGAGCACCTGTCCAGAGTTTTAGATCTTGGTAAACTGTCCTTGTCAACCTAAGACATTGTAATGCCAGCTATTAATGTAGTAGCAAATAGATTTAGTAATCAAAGGAAAATTTCTAACAAAATAACATCATAAGAACAAGAATAATTTAATGTTGTCCTTTTCTGTTGGTCATACCATGGAAAAAGGAAAAGACATTTCTGCATCAACTAATACCAGACTCAGAAATTTAGTAAATGTATGTTGTATCTGCAGCTGTTGACTTTCTATTTGTTACCTGCTGCCCTGCTGCTGCAGACATACTCCAGCCTTAGGCAGAAGTAAACAGTATCATTATTTCACAGATACATATCAAACGTAAACATTTACTATACACCTAACCTCAAACTCTTGACCTTTGACCCGACACCATGTTACTCATGACCTTTCACTCCTGACATCTTGTTACCCTGTCACAATTAATATTAAACAAGCATTAAAAGTAGTTTTGTTGTCTCATAAAAAATAATAATGTAAGTGACTAATGTCAGTAAACATGTAGATCTGATGGAGGTTGAAAGTGACTAATACCCTGTACACATGTAGATCTGATGGAGGTTGAAATGACTGATTCAAGAACATGTGTAGATCTGTTTGAGATTGAAATGACTAACACCAGAACATGTGTAGATCTGTTTGAGGTTGAAATGACTAACACCAGAACATGTATAGATCTGTTTGAGGTTGACAGTGTCTAATACCAGAACATGTGTAGATCTATTTGAGGTTGAAATGACTAATACCAGAACATGTGTAGATCTGTTTGAGGTTGAAATGACTAATACCAGAACATGTGTAGATCTGTTTGAGGTTGAAATGACTAATACCAGAACATGTGTAGATCTGTTTGAGGTTGAAATGACTAATACCAGAACATGTGTAGATCTGTTTGAGGTTGAAATGACTAATACCAGAACATGTGTAGATCTGTTTGAGGTTGAGTAGATCTGTTTGAGGTTGAAATGACTAATACCAGAACATGTGTGAAAGTGATCTGTTTGAGGTTGAAAATAACACCAGAACATATATATGACTAATATCAGAACTTGTGTAGATCTGTTTGAGGTTGAGTAGATCTGTTTGAGGTTGAAATGACTAATACAAGAATATATGTAGATCTGATGGAGGTTGAAAGTGCTTAATACCAGTGCATATGTAGATCTGATGGAGGTTGAAAGTGACAAATACTAGAACATTTATAGATTTGTTGGAGGTTAGTGTTTGACACAGTTATGACTCTAGTTTGAGTGGGGTCCATATTTGCTGAATATCATCAAGACTATAGAGTCAAAGTTACCTGATTTACACCAGCTCTTTTAATGTTAACTTAGGCATTCAATACATATGTACTTTTATGTTTTTTAAAAATATTTCCTTAAGCTTCCTTTTGGCAATAGAATATTTTACTTATCTGAAAACCCCATTCTTAAATTGTTAAATATCATGATATGTTCTCCTGAAAATGATATGTTGCCCATATTGCACCAGTACATTCTTCAATGTATACCCGATGTGTTGACAAGGACATTATAATGGACACATGCATGGTGTTAAAAGGTGACTGATTATTGATAACTGGTGAAATCTTGAGGTTTTACTTTTGTAAAATCTTCACTAAAATTTCTTCCATTTTGGACATTTACTAACATTTTTATCACCAATTGTAACATAATGAATCATACATAGACAGTCCAATGATGATGAAGTAGTGCGAGGTATAGAGTCACGCCAAGCTGGTCAGAGAAATCTGTCTGTACAACTTAATATTTCTCAAAGTGTGATTAGAAGGCTATTAAATCAACTTCCAACAGACATTATGTCCAAAAATGACCAAGATTTGAACAACCGTACTTTATGACACTTTGACACGATCAATTCAACTGCAGTTTGGTACAAGACTTTGTTCTGATGCATGGTTATGCTTGTCCTCTCAGTCCTCGTGTAGTAAACAGTCATCTTCAATCAGAGACAAAAAGAATTGTTCATATAGACTGGTCAAGTTGTTCTCCTGATATAAACTTCATTGAGCATGCTTAGGATAACTTGCAGGGCTAGGTTTCAGCATGCCCCAAACCTCCACAAAACCTCTAAGAGTTTATGAGGGTATTGCAAGAGGAATGGCAACATACTAGTCACGGACAAGTATTAAGAAATATGCTCAGATGTTGCAGGAAAGTCCAAAGGGTCAGCAGAGATTATACTCCCTATTGAGCCTCAAATAGCATCCTAGGTATCTTGTTGTCTGTGTGATTTAGATGCTTCATTCTTGTGAACACATTGATTTACAGGATACTGTTACTGCTTGTTGTGTGATCTGGGTAGGAAATATGAAAGCTCAATCTGTAATCATCGACTATATTGATTTCCCTGTCATTAAACTTTTAAAAATATTCGTACTGTGTATTAAAAACTATGCAGTTTCAGTTTTATCAAAGTTAAATTTTTTGTCCGGTATATAACTTGAGCGATAATATATTGTACTTTTGATATGGCTAGGTGTTGATTTACACAAGTACAGTGGTAACAGATGTGATGTTTGTCATAGCAGACAATAACAGCTGTTGTTTCCATCACCATTCTAATACATATTCAATAACTTCATGGTCAGATTTTTTAAAACTGAAAATGAACATTAAACATACGAGTGAAAAATATCAATACAACTTTTCCATAATAATAGATGTATTATTTGTTAGAAAACATAGGAAAGCAAACTGTGGAAAGAGGAAGTTATATCCCTATATCTTGAGAAATACTAAATAAACAGGTTCCCCTTGGTCCCTAGTTATATCCCTATATCTTGAGAAATACTAAATAAACAGGTTCCCCTTGTTTCCTAGTTATATCCCTATATCTTGAGAAATACTAAATAAACAGGTTCCCCTTGGTCCCTAGTTATATCCCTATATCTTGAGAAATACTAAATAAACAGGTTCCCCTTGGTCCCTAGTTATATCCCTATATCTTGAGAAATACTAAATAAACAGGTTCCCCTCGGTCACTAGGTGCTCCCATCTTGAGAAATACTAAATAAACAGGTTTCCCTTGGTCCCTAGTTATATTCCTATATCTTGAGAAATACTAAATAAACAGGTTCCCCTTGGTCCCTAGTTATATCCCTATATCTTGAGAAATACTAAATAAATAGGTTCCCCTCGGTCCCTAGTAATATCCCTATATCTTGAGAAATACTAAATAAACAGGTTCCCCTTGGTCCCTAGTTATATCCCTATATCTTGAGAAATACTAAATAAACAGGTTCCCCATGGTCCCTAGTTATATCCCTATATCTTGAGAAATACTAAATAAAGAGGTTCCCCTTGGTCCCTAGTTGGTCCTATCTTGAGAAATACTAAATAAACAGGTTCCCCTTGGTCCCTAGTTGCTCCCATCTTGAGACTGTTCAGAATCATGAAATGACTTAAAAGGCAGCACTGTTCTTAGTCTTCACAGTTGTGGTCTGTTTTCCCTAAATCTTGATAAAATATAAAAACTGAACCCTTGTTTATAGATGTTAGCATATGATTTTCTTCTGTCAGTACATCATAAGACTGAGAACAAGCTATTTAAGAGAAAAGAAGGGGAGAAGATCCATCTTCTTTGGGATTTGTGACACTTCCTGGTCGTACCCTTCAATATTCCTAACTCTTATTCATGATTGATATCAATTCTGTGATTATAGCAATTAATACTAGCTTCAATAGCCGAAACGTCTTGCCATAACTTTCCATTTTTTGTTTCATTTTAATTTCCCAGGATTTACAAGAATGTCAATAGTAGTGTTATTTACTGGGTACCCATCAACAAGTTCTCTTATACCTGCATACCTTGTAATATGGTGGTAAAATCAGGCAGTATACTATAACACCTTAATCAGATGTCTTAATCTTTAACAGGAAAACCTTCAGGCCATGGTTGCTAGCTCTCTCACTCTCATTTTATTCAAAATCATTTTCAAATTTTATGTCTAGCTTTTCAGAACTGTTATCAGTAGGTTTGAAAATTGCTTTTGGCTGCCCTCTCACCCATGAATTTCTTTACTGTTAAAAGCCTTGGGATTTGAAAGGCTGAAAGGTAGATATAAATTGCTTTTATGTATAACATACCTGTATTTTACTGTAGCTTTTACAACAGGTCAAAGAACTGATGAAGACATTGAAAATGTTATCTTTCTGCTGGTATGAACTGAAATGGATCATTTCAGATGACGGGTCATTGAGTCTGTAAATATTGACATACTTCAACTTTGTTTAGACAGTTAAACCAAAAAAATATCAATAACATTTCTCTAACCAAGTAACAAAATACTGACACGTTTTTAAAACTTAGAAATTCTCCTCTCTCTGGTCTACCTCTGTAAGATAGAGCTAATACCTTTTCACTGTGCCAGACAATATATCCTGATATAATTGAGACATGCAAGGAAAAATTCTGTCAAATGTGTCTTAAAAAATACTAGGCATGATTAAACCTCGAAATGACCTGGGGCCGTATTCAATAAATATCACAATGACACTGTATACAGTTCCTGTACACAAAGTGGTCTTTGTTTGCAGGTCCTTTACACAGTTCTTTGTGCTGTCACTGTATAGCTAATTACTAGTTGGGGAGCATGCTCAGCCGAATATTGTGTTTTTTATGAACAGCAATATTGATCCAACTCCAGATATGTAGAGAAATTATGATAGAAATTTCCCCAAATGAAACATTTAGCAAAATGTCGCCTGACAAGAGTTGCCTTGGGACTTGTGACTTGGGCACAAATCAATATTTGTACATGCTGATGGGGACTGTTGTAACAGGTGGCAGACACACAGCAAGCTGTTAAATACATAATTTGTTGTATATCCTGGTACTTGGTACATGTATTACATCATGTCTTTTCTGATTGTATCTTATACACCACTTTCTACATATATTATTATACACAATATAGGATTTTTACATGCAGTCTATTTGGAAATATAGAAGTTTATTTTAATTGCAATTTTAGCTGTGAAATAATAGAAAAAAATCATTGTAACACAGCAGTTTGTTTTGTTACATCATTAAGTTGCAAAATAAAAAAAGAAAAATGGAAATGAACCTTTATTTTACATTGTTTATAAGATCAACAATCAACATAAGCTCTGTGTAGCTTTTATTCTAAAATAATGGTTATGTAACACATTTTTGCACTGGATAATTTTCATGATCTAATCCCCAATATACTCACTGTTTCTAATGCTAGTCGAAGATGGTGGCCATCTTTCTGATTGAGGCAGATGATCGATATTGACATTGGAGAAATTTATTATATAACAACTTACTTAAATGTGTCATTGAAAAGTAAAGTGGAGAGTATGATAATGATATTCTTTGTGACATATTCTGAATCTCTTTTCTCTGCTTCTAGTGAGTCTGACGGCAATGTCAGAATGTCGATTAAGAAAATAATTGTTACAGTATCATATCATATTATATGGTATTGTCTCCTATCTTTATTGGATAATTCTATACAGAATGATACATAAATCCCAATCTTCATTTGAAAGAAATGTACTGACAACTTCAGATGAGTCTCCCATCATAAAATCTTGTTTCTTCTTGATGCCTCTCCACAATGTCTGTTGTTTTATCGACCTACTTCAGGGAACAAATATCTTTATCATTTAGAAACAGACATGACAGATTTCAGGTATGTACACCAGGAATCAATAAAAACAACAATATAGACAGATTATTCATTTAGAGAAAAATATTTATGCCTTTTAAAAATGCATTGACCTTCTTCTTGACCGGAATCTATTGACAACTTGACTGGAAAGTGAGGAGAACTTCTATGTCAGGAACTTCTATGTCATCAATGTTTGAAAGGAACAATTTGCTTGGTTAAGACAATGTAAGGGACTGTTTCGAACAAAATTTTATGTGCCTTATGGTTGAATTTCGTTGTTATTGCAAAAATTACATCACTTTAAGGCTCAAATTATTAGAATGGGGATAGCATGCTTGTTTTTATGCATATACTGGAGATTAGATAATGAATTTTGTCATTTTAACGCTCAACGCGTCTCATGTTAAAGCCAAAATTCATTATCTATTCTACCCCATCAGACAAAAATATCCACACTTCTGGTGAGGGTACGATAACTTTATCTCTATCTTACCCCTCAAAACAGCCTGCATGCACAGGAAGTGACATTTTGTGTTCCTGTAATTTTCATTATGTCATTTTGTATTATGTGTTGGGATCAGTTGGGGTCAATGACATCATTATCAATTATCTTCTGGGCCTTAAATGCAAATGGCTATAGAGATGGTTATATTGTCACATGTATTTTTATTTACATATTTGTTTTTAACTGGAAAAGGGGACAGAAAAAGGATCATTCCCAGCATTTAGGGTAGAACAGAGAAATCTCTACTCTTGGAGGAGATTCCTGACAGTCTAATGCTTGGCAAAGCTTCAGGTTAGACAATCAAGAATCTCCTCCTCGGGTAGAAAATGATCAATCCTACCCTCCAGCCAGGGAAAGATTCTCTTTATCCCCAGTATATGCATAAAAACAAGCATATAACTATCCCCTTATTTGAAGGCCATTAAGGAGCGAAATGTTGTCCTGAATGTCGGAGGAAAACCCATAAGGGGAAAGCAACGTGCCATTGATGGGGAATAAACTAACTTACTCAACAAACATCATCCCCAATGGCCAGTATGACAGTGATTATTGAACCCATGTTCAAAAGGTAAAGAGGTCATGAACCTCCAGCTTGATTAAACATATAATGATATTCATATTGTCAGAGCATATATTTTGATATATATGGATTTTGCTAATTTTTACTTATTGTAGTACTTTATTATCCAAAACATCTAACTGAATAAAAAAAGAATGTTGGTTGCCATGGTTACCAGGTCACAACACAAATGTTTTTGTGTAATGGCTCAAAGGTCATCAGTCCTTAGATCAATTTTAAGGCAATTACATATTAAAGCCTTTAATTTGACACATTATGTATTTCCAGAACCATGGATACTCAAGTATAATGGAGGCTTTTGATTGGTGGAAATCAAAATAATGTTTGATTATGCTGAACATTGTTATCTATAAGGGTTTTGAAGAAAGGTTATTACAATGGTACTATTTTGCAAAACATCTAATGTCATTTAGTTGCCATGGTAACCAAATAAGACCTATGATTACAAGGATCCACACTTTTCCTAAACTTGGTAACCAATTCCCCTTATAACTTTACAGAATAAGGCAGGTTTTCTTTTTTATTTCTGTTGGAACAACTTGATAGAGATGTGTTGCTTATCAAGGCCTGTTTAAGTATATAATTTGACTCCTTGGATGTTTCCAGAATTTTTACTTTGGAAATGGATATATGTTGGTATCACTTTCCAAAATGTTGGAATGTTGATTCTGCTTTGCTAGTACCAAAAGAAAACATATAATTGGATAAGATCTTTTCTTAACTGCTCCACAACACTTCAAACTTTGTAAGTTGTGAACTAAATTCAATTAAATTACAGGTAACTATAAGAAATCATGTGCATGTTCCTGCACAGTGTATACCTACATACAATGTCCTTTAGTTTTATGTCACTGTTTGTTACAGTACCATGTCGTCCAGAACAGGTTCACATAGCCTATGGTGACACAACATCAGAGGTGGTGGTGATGTGGGCCACACAAGAGGAGTGTACAACTTTGATCAATTATGGTACTGACCCTTGGGGGCTGACCACAACACTTACTGGTCAGATGTCACATTTCACAGATCTTAATAGACAGGGACTACAGTGTCTACACAGAGTTAAGTTACAGGTAAATATTTAGTGTTACAACAGGTAAACATCGATGTAACTATAGATAAACATTTAGTGTTACAACAGGTAAACATTGATGTAACTATAGATAAACATTTAGTGTTACTACAGTTAATCATATAGTGTTATTACAAGTAAACACTGAGTGTCTCTGCAGTGGTGTCTCTACAAGAAAAAACTGTTATTTGAGGTAAACATTTAGTGTCTCTGCAGGTAATAATACAGATAAACAATTTTTCACTGCAGTGTTAAGATATTAACATTTTCATTAGAATTTAAGCTCACACAGTATGATTACATCAGTAACAAGGTATAACTACATCAGTAACAAGGTATAACTACATCAGTAACAAAGTTTAACTACATCAGTAACAAGGTTTAACTACATCAGTTACAAGGTTTAACTACATCAGTAACAAAGTTTAACTACATCAGTAACAAGGTTTAACTACATCAGTTACAAGGTTTAACTACATCAGTAACAAAGTTTAACTACATCAGTAACAAGGTTTAACTACATCAGTTACAAGGTTTAACTACATCAGTAACAAAGTTTAACTACATCAATATCAATAATTAACAAATCAGTAACAAGGTTTATAACTACACCAGTAAAAAGGTTTATGTCTTCATCAAAAACAAGATATAAGTACATCAGTAACAGGATTTAATTTGGTCAGTCACATGTTTATAACTAAATGAGTAGCAATGTTTTAGCTACATCAACCACAAGGTTTAACTACATCAGTAACAAGATATAACTACATCAATAACAGGGTTTAACTACATCAGTTACAAGGTTTAACTACATCAGTAACAAAGTTTAACTACATCAATATCAATAATTAACAAATCAGTAACAAGGTTTATAACTACACCAGTAAAAAGGTTTATGTCTTCATCAAAAACAAGATATAAGTACATCAGTAACAGGATTTAATTTGGTCAGTCACATGTTTATAACTAAATGAGTAGCAATGTTTTAGCTACATCAACCACAAGGTTTAACTACATCAGTAACAAGATATAACTACAACAATAACAGGGTTTAACTTTGTCAGTCACATGTTTATAATTAAATGAGCCACAAGGTTTATAGGTTTGAATTGATGTATTTTAGGGCTTGACTCCGGAGACGACATACTTTTACCGACCGGTCAGTGATGGTATTAGTAGTGGACCATACTACTTCAAGACTCCCCCTAGTGGGCAGGTGAGAGAACTAACAGAGCAATCAGTAGTGTTAAACTCAAATTAATGGCTATAAAGTAGGTACAGAACATATGTCTGAATTTCTTAAAATGTCCTGTCAGTAGATTTTTTATTTTCTGTCACCATTTTCCTGATAAACTGATATTCTTTCAAATGATTGGAGTTAAAGGCTTTCAGAAAAGGATGTTTACGTACACAATGTATGTTAAAGAAAGTACATACGGGTGTATTTGTACTATATTTATGATGTATTATGTTATGATAAGACTATGATAGGAAGTACCCCTGGTAAGTTATCAGTTTTAAGTAAGCATAGACTTTGTCTGTTCTAGACACAATTTAAAACTGTAATACCTTTTGACTCTCATTGTAAAATCTTTTTACTCAATCACTAAGTATACAAAGTTAGTGATGATAAATTAGTGAAATATTTGACATAGCAGAGTCGGACTACATTCATCGATCAGGTGTTCACACTGGCTTCTTGTATATGTGACATTGTAAAACATTTCACTTCCTGTTCAGAATGGTTCTGCTGGTCAATACATTTCAATACTCGTACATACATTATATAGAAAAAAATTGTGTCTTTTGCATACAGATGTGGGAACCAGAGTTCCTGGTGTATGGTGACCTGGGTGTGGAATCTGACAGTGTACCTTACTTAAATACAGAAGTATTAGGTGGGAACTACACTGCTGTACTTCATGTAGGTGACTTTGGCTACAACTTGATGGACCAAGATGGACAGGTTTGTACTCACAAAAGGCCAGGAATAGGGCAAGGGGGGAGGGGAGGGTGTCATTTGTTAAAACCAATATTTGGGTTTAGTAGTTGGAGGGGTCAGTAGTTGGAGGGGTCAGAAGTGGGAGGGACCAATGGTGTGATGGGTCAGTAGTAGGTGACCAGTGGCATAAATGTAAAAAGTGGGAGGGATATGAATTGTGTGAGGTCAGAAGTGGGAGGGATATGTACCATGGTCAGGGTTCTCACACCCCATTTAGGGACTGGGGCCAGGGGCCCTTAGAATTGGGAAAAATAGTGGCGTTTTCCTTAGGCTTGGGAAAACTTGGGGTCTAAATTGGGAAAAAAAGATACTATTTTGCATTGGGAATGGGGCCGAATATCGGCCCCAAATCTAGCAGATCGAGAGCCCTTATGGTAGCATAAGAGGTTAGAAGTGGAGGTTGTATATAGTGTATGTATCAGAAGTGGGAGGGGTATGTAGTGTGAGGGATCAGAAGTGGGAGGAGTATGTAGTGTTAGGGTATGGAAGTTGGAGCAGTGCATGTATGTAGGGTGAGAGGTCAAAAATGAGAAGGATCAGTATAAGGAGGGGTCAGAAATGAGAAACATTAAATTTGCCATGATTCTTTGTTCAACAACATTGTACAATATAAAACAGCACATCTCCAAACATTTCCTAATTGAGCCAAATTTCCCTGGAGTACATTGTTACTAATCAGCACTTGTTCATATCTATTTTCACATATCCTGTCAAAACATTTTTGTCATTACACACTTTTAGCAAAATTGATCTGAGTCAAAGAACAACTATCTAAAATAATATATCACCCTGTTATCAACGAATCCCAGTGAAGTGCTATCACAGCATCATTTTGTAAGTGGAACTGTGGATGGTCCCCAGATACTTTTCTCTTCATTATATTTATTTGACTCACTAATTTCTACTAATTTGCTTTCCCCTACTAAACAGTCGGAGGCCTCCAACTTAACATGTTTTCCCAAGGTGAGTGGTTATGTGCCCCTAAGGTGGTGGTTTTGAATGATGTGTCAGTGCTACTTCATGTACTTCAAAAGAACCAGGTTTCTAGTTTCACAATACAATGCTACAAGTGTTGTTACTCACATGTTATCATTTTCTAATTTCTCTCTCCAGAGAATCATAGGTTACATCTACACATATAATGGTTTTCAGTTTCACTTTGTGATAGGTTGAATGCATGGTGTAAAAACCACTTTTGTTGGGATGCAGGTTGATGGCATGTGGGAATCTTTGGAAAGTCCTTGCCTTTTGATATTTCAGACAAATGCTTGCTTTGAAATGAGTATAATTTCGCTACAAGGCTTGACCCTTAGGGCTGGATTGATCCCCGTTGGGAACCACTAGGGACTCAGAGTGTACATGTACAGTTTGTATATGATCATTATTCCTTGGTGTTCATTAATCTTATAAATAGAAAGGAAGGATGTAATAAAGATTGGAAGATTCCTTATGAAGGTTTCCTTTGATCCTATGAGTGAATTTTTTATTTTGGAGCTGGTCAGAAAAGCAAGATGGCTTGCACTCAGCCTTCTTGGATTTTGACTATGAAGGTTTGTTTTCATTATTCTTTGTAAAGTACAAGATGAATCTTTTTAAGATTCCATATTTATGTTCACTCTTGGTCCCTAGTTGTGCCCCTTGTTTTGGGACTGATAAAAAAATGATACGGCTGACAGGTAGATATTTCTGATTTTCACCAAGAATTGTTTTCACTTTTTCTTGGGAAGAACTGGATGGATCTCACTGGAATTTCATATGTAGGTAATCATATTTAGATCAAATTTAGCATGAAGCATTCTGGATGAAGTTGATTAAAGCAATTGTGTGTAAATTGTGGGGTCAGGTCTCAAGGGGCTTGAGGGGCAGGGCCCAACAGGGAAAGTTTTGCATGCTATCAAAATCATATCCCATCCCTACCTGACCCCTCCATAGGGATATATGGACAGGGTCAGATAATGGAAATAGGGGTAATTCTTTAAAATCATTCTTCAATTTAGATAAAGTGAATGTGACAACCAAACCAGGTGAGTGATACAGGCCCTTTGGACATTTTGTTGTAGGTACATATTTTCTGATAAAGTTTGTGAGATTAATTTTCTGTACGTGACTTGAGATGTTTGTGGTAATCCTTTGTTCTTTGTCTAGGTTGGAGATCAGTTTATGAGAATTGTAGAAGACATAGCAGCTAGAGTACCCTATATGACTTCACCGGGAAACCATGGTAAATTACTGTTTTTATAACAAAATCAATACAGAAATGTGAGGTTCACCATATGGTCATCCTTCCTCATTGATGTTGCACTAGAATAAATTTTAATATGATGATAATAATATCTTTATGTTAGGTAAGGTTATCACACCTGTTTAAGGATATTTCAGCCCACAATTAACTGAAGTTACTAACATTAACATATATAGTCATGCTGATAATGTAATAATTTTGTTTGTATTAGTGCAAAATATTGCTTCCAGTAAGTATATGTCAAAGTGTACTTGCAGTTAAAATATGTCATCTTTTTCAAAACATATGTACAGTATCAAATTAGAACATTCTTTTCCAATTCAGTAGTTGTCTTATAAGTCCCTCACAATAAATGTAACATGTGTACAATGTACTGTATAACATTACAGAGATAGATGATGATACCTTCAGTCACTACAGATACAGATTTTCTATGCCTAAAACTGACTGGCCAATTCCATTGGATAAGATGTGGTACAGCCTGGATATAGGGCAGGTTCACTTTGTCAGGTGAGTTGTTAATACAGGTACAGTTTGTCAGGTGAGTTGTAAAGACAGGTACAGTTTGTCAGGTTGGTTATAGTGATATGTATACTAAATCAGATAAGTCTCACAGACAGGTATGCTTTGTAAGGAGAGTCTCACAGACAAGTTCACTTAATTTGAGTTGTAAAGACAGGTAAACTTTGTCATGTTGATATTGCTCACAAGTTATGTTTTGTTAGGTCATCTGACCTGAAGGATCAGGAAGACCTACAGCGATCATGTGTTGTTGGTTGTTGTGAGCTATACATCATGCATAAACTCTCCATTCAATCAACTTCTTCTCAATAACCTAAAAGCTCATGATACTGATATTGCGCTTGTGGCATGCACAGATAAATTGCTACCAGGTTTGTTAAAATAAATAGCATTGACCCTTTTTCAAGGTCAAAAGGGTAGAATGTGTTAATATCTTTAACAAGATTTCTTCTCAAAAACCCAAAGGCCAAGAGTGCTGATATGAGGCATAAATTATGCTTGGATGAAGTGCTATAAATTTTTTTTTAATACATGGCATTGCCCAAGTTTAAAAGGTCACATGGGCCAAATGTGTTAAAACCTTCAAAAAAATTCTTCTCAATAACCAAAAGTCTCAAGACACTGATATTTGTCTGACACATGCTGGGATGAAAGGTGACCATGTTTGTGAAATGAATGACCTTGATCCTCAATATATTATGACCACAGAGGTCTAACATGTTATAATCTTCAAATTATATATTCTTATTTACCAAAAGTAAAAGGTATTGATATTAAATTTGTAACATAATTGGATGAAGGGTTAAAGACTTTGTTCAATTGACCTTGACCCACCTTTAAGGTAACTTGAGTCAAATATGTTTAGAACTTGAAATTTGTTCTTTCGAGAAGTAATAGGTCATGGTATTTGTTTAGAGCAGGCTTTCATAAACCACATGTTTGCTTCGAATAGATCATTTTCTGATAAAGGTGACTGTGAAGTCATCAAAACATCACTCTTAAAACTTCTACTGGTTGTGATGGAAGAACTTTCATTCTATTGATATTATCATCCTGAAGAAAATGTTCTGAAATAAAGATGACAAAAAAAAACTCTTATGCATAAGCTGTTGAAAAGGTGAGCAAGTCATGCCCACTGGTTGTGTCGCACAAACAAGTACACTTTGTAAGGCAAATCTTGGATGTACACACTTTCTCTGGTGGTTATCACAAACAGCACACAATGAAAGGTAAGTCTCACAGACGGTACACTTTTTTAGGTGAGGCTCATAGATGGGTACACTCTGTCAGATAAGGCAGACAGATAAGTACACTCTATCAGGTGAGGCTCACACAAAGTCTTACACAGGCTCACTCTGTCAGATGAAACTCGCAGACAGGTATGTATCAATTATACATACATGAATAACAACACACAGCCTAAGTTTGTGTGGTATTTTTGTGAAGATATGTATTATCATTTTTTGATAAAACTGTCATGAATCAGTGTTATGCTTTCATTTGCAGCTACTCATCAGAGGTATTCTTCACCCAGCAGGGAGTTCATGTGGATGCTCAGAGAAACTGGTTGATGGCCGACTTAAAACAAGCTAATGACAATCGTCACAACTGTCCATGGGTGATCGCATATGGTCACCGCCCCATGTACTGCTCCAATACTGATGGAGACGATTGTACCCTTGGAGCATCAAAAGTTAGGCAAGGGTATGTAAAGGTGGAAGACCAAAGTTAGGCAAGGGTATGTAAAGGTGGAAGACAAAAGCTAGGCAAGGGTATGTAAAGGTGGAAGACAAAAGCTAGGCAAGGGTATGTAAAGGTGGAAGACAAAAGTTAGGCAAGGGTATGTAAAGGTGACAGAGGTTAGGCAAGGGTATGTAAAGGTGGATGACAAAAGTTAGGCAAGGGTATGTAAAGGTGACAGAAGTTAGACAAGGGTATGTCAAAGTGACAGAAGTTAGGCAAGGGTATGTAAAAGTGACAGAAGTTAGGCAAGGGTATGTAAAAGTGACAGAAGTTAGGCAAGGGTATGTAAAAGTGACAGAAGTTAGGCAGGGGTATGTAAAGGTGGATGACAAAAGTTAGGCAAGGGTATGTAAAGGTGACAGAAGTTAGACAAGGGTATGTAAAAGTGACAGAAGTTAGGCAAGGGTATGTAAAAGTGACAGAAGTTAGGCAGGGGTATGTAAAGGTGGAAGACCAAAGTTAAGCAAGGGTATGTAAAGGTGGAAGACCAAAGTTAGGCAAGGGTATGTAAAGGTGGAAGACAAAAGCTAGGCAAGGGTATGTAAAAGTGGAAGACAAAAGTTAGGCAAGGGTATGTAAAGGTGACAGAAGTTAGACAAGGGTATGTAAAAGTGACAGAAGTTAGGCAAGGGTATGTAAAAGTGACAGAAGTTAGGCAAGGGTATGTAAAGGTGGAAGACAAAAAGTAGACAAGGATATGTAAAAGTGACAGAAGTTAGGCAAAGGTATGTAAAAGTGACAGAAGTTAGGCAAGGGTATGTAAAAGTGACAGAAGTTAGGCAAGGGTATGTAAAGGTGGAAGACAAAAAGTAGACAAGGATATGTAAAAGTGACAGAAATTAGGCAAAGGTATGTAAAAGTGACAGAAGTTAGGCAGGGGTATGTAAAGGTGGATGACAAAAGTTAGGCAAGGGTATGTAAAGGTGACAGAAGTTAGGCAAGGGTATGTAAAAGTGACAGAAGTTAGGCAAGGGTATGTAAAAGTGACAGAAGTTAGGCAGGGATATGTAAAGGTGGATGACAAAAGTTAGGCAAGGGTATGTAAAGGTGGAAGACCAAAGTTAGGCAAGGGTATGTAAAGGTGGAAGACCAAAGTTAGGCAAGGGTATGTAAAGGTGGAAGACAAAAGTTAGGCAAGGGTATGTAAAGGTGGAAGACAAAAGTTAGGCAAGGGTAAGTAAAGGTGACAGAAGTTAGGCAAGGGTATGTAAAAGTGACAGAAGTTAGACAAGGGTATGTAAAGGTGACAGAAGTTAGACAAGGGTATGTAAAAGTGACAGAAGTTAGGCAAGAGTATGTAAAAGTGACAGAAGTTAGGCAGGGGTATGTAAAGGTGGATGACAAAAGTTAGGCAAGGGTATGTAAAGGTGGAAGACCAAAGTTAGGCAAGGGTATGTAAAGGTGGATGACAAAAGTTAGGCAAGGGTATGTAAAGGTGGAAGACCAAAGTTAGGCAAGGGTATGTAAAGGTGGATGACAAAAATTAGGCAAGGGTATGTAAAGGTGACAGAAGTTAGGCAAAGGTATGTAAAGGTGGAAGACAGAAGTTAGGCAAGGGTATGTAAAGGTGGTAGACTAAAGCTAGGCAAGGGTATGTAAAGGTGAAGAAGTTAGGCAAGGGTATGTAAAGGTGATAGGAGGTAGATGATGTCTACAGAAGATTTGAACACTCATGCATGCTCTGTTAATGATGGTGTCATGGGAAAGCAGAGTGCTGTATTTGTAAATGGTACGTAGGTCTTTCTGGAGTTTATCACCGTTGTGCTATCCTCTGAGCCTCAGCCATGCTTTTCAACCTTTTTACTTGTAATAGGTTTCTTTGTTCTTCACAGCTGTCATATACCAATGTATTTAGTGTGTATTTCTGACCTGTTAACATTGTCTTCTACCATAAAAGTTGAGTTAGTCAAGCCATTAGTTACTTTATTACATTAATAATACAGTTTCTAATGAAGTGTGTATACTTCACAGCCTGGAAGACCTTTTCTTTGACTACGGAGTAGATGTAGTGCTCCAAGCCCATGAACACTCCTACGAACGTCTGTGGCCCCAATACAAAGGGGTTGTTCTGGCCAAGAACTACTCTAACCCTCAGGCTCCTGTACAACTAATCACTGGTGCTGCCGGCTCAAGGCATGGCTTTGATGAGGAAAACAAAACATATTGTATGTATATCTTTCACAAATATACATGTATAGTTAATTAATTAACTGTACATGTGTATTTAGTAATGAATCCCTTCTTTTGAAACAAAATAACAACAAAACAGGCAAGGAAAAATGAAACTGCAGAAATGGCTTGCCATATTCATGTATTTACAAAATATGCCAGTTCAAATTCAACTCACCCCTACTTTACACCAATAATAAGCTGATCTGTTTTATATTAAATATCCATGAAAATGCGAGTCCAACATTCCATTTTGATTTTCTGATCCAGGTCTGGACACATCACCATGGCATTCCTTTCATATTCCAAAAAAAATACATGACTGTGTTTTGTTTTGAATAGCAATCTTGTTTAAAATTCAATATTTTTTGCACTGAGAGCATTATTGCAAAATGTTATTATGCTAATTTTATTTTTTGCACTATTCCCTATAGCAAAATTGTTCAAGCAATACTTCATCATACAGCTGATTGGTGAAAATTTTACAATGTACTGACCCAGAAGTATTCTGATTTATATGTCATGAGTAACTACATGAATTATTTTTATGATTTCAACAGCTGACTGGTCAGCCTTCAGGATGGATGTTAAAGCCTTTAACAGTTTTGGTCGCCTTAAGATTTACAATGCCAGTCACCTGTACTGGGAGCAAGTGTCGGTCAAAAACAACAAGGTATTGGACTCTATCTGGGTCACTCAGGACACACATGGTCCATTCCACAAGGCTGAGCTTGACACTGAGAAGGCCAAGAAGATTGAGGATAAAGAGAAGGATGCGGCAGTGAAAAACAAAGCTACGAAGACTGGTATCCCGTCTCATGAGATAGTCAGCATTCCACACAGTGGACCAGACATGAGTTCAGTGGACACAATTTCTCCCGACACAAGTATTTCGGAACGAGCCCGCAGTTTGCTGGCATCAAACAATGTACGCTTAGCCCTTGGGGTCGGAGGAGGTGTCCTAGTACTAGTTGTTATCATCACTATAGTTATTCTACAGAAACAGAAGAAAAAGGCAAGGAAGTATAGACGTTGGGATGAGACGGTGGACTATGGGCGTAAATTTTACTCCTCGGGATACTCCCAAGTCCACAATGGGGAGAAGGACACTGATGAGTTTGAAGTTGAAGTCAACGAACCTAGTGCACCAACAGCTAAACTTCTGACAGAATGATAGATCTTATTGGTTAAACTTTAGTCCTCAGAAGGAGAGATCAAGTTTAGCCAATCTACACTTGCCAGTTGTATGAGGAAATATTCTTTTTCGAGGATTTTCTCATAATGATTTATTGTGATGTGAATACGGGATAGTTATGAAATCCAGAACGATAAACTACATTCCATGCACGTTATTTTGCCATATCACGGATGTATTTGTCTGCGGTAACAAACCCCTTGGTTATGACTTTCAGAGCCCAGGTGTGACGTACCAGTGATATTTGTCGAAGTGCCTTAAAGTGTTCTTTGAATTATAGACACTATAATTGTATACAGAAATATGTAACCTTTTGAATTCTGTGATACAGTTCTACTAAGACAAGTGTTTGGTACTAGATACATCAAATAGGAAACGGTAAGGAGTCCAGCTGTGGAATTATGGAATGTTGATCAGCAGTCTAACTGTGGGGTGCTGGAATATATCAGATGTGTGGAATGTGATACACCTATATGTCAAGGGAGGCAATGATCTTTTTCTCAGTGCGTTGACAGCATTATTGTCTTGATCTCACAGTTAAGTACTGAGGGAATTCCCTAAGTGTACATTTATCTCTACAAGGTCATTGACTCCTGAAGCAACAATAAGTGCTCGTCTTCAAATACTTACTTGAAATGTACCTTTCAAATTTTTTGGGGCGGATTGTTAACAACGGAACCACATCTAAGAAACGTTCACTCTGAAAATTAAAATAAATAAAAACTTTTGGCTTTAAATACTTAAATAAGGGAATAAAAAGCAAACAAAAAGTATTAATTGTAATTTTTTAAACAGTTTTGTGAAAAAGAAATATGGAACTAAGCATCAAGGTATAAAAATTGAGATCATTTAAATATTCAATTATTATTTGACATTTATAGGATAACTTGCTGTTGCAATGTCATTTAGTTGAAAGTAGTATATGATGAGAGCACTTATTGATAATTGTTTTGTCCATTTTAATGGCACTGTTACAGCATAAAATATTGATCATCTTTATGGCCATCTCATTATTTTCATGTAACATTATATTCCATTTCATAACCACCTTAGTAAAAATTGTTCAGTTTCTAAGACATTCCCTCCGTATAAAATGTTGGTCTACTTTTATAACATTCTAACACCATGTATAATTTTGTCCATATTGTTATTGCATGTTTCACTGAAGAAACGTGTTGTTGAGTTCCATGGTGCTCTTATTAGTATAAATCTTAAGTGAGACATAATCATATTAATATGCATAATATGTTTTACATTGTACAAAAGCCAAGACCTTTGATATGCTCTATGGACCTATGATATGCCCTATGGACCTATGATATACCCTATGTTTGTAAAAGTGTCTTGTCACTGTGCCTGGAAGTGTTTCGAGATATAGACCTGTTCTTTTCTGATAATTTGTTTTTTTAGTTTCATATATTATTGAACTAAAAAACAATTTGTGCTTACTTACATTACTAAATCTGTATTGATAGAAATAAAATGCTAATCGCTCGGCTATTTCATCTACTATTTCTTAGGAGAGATGTCAGAGACGATTGTTGGGGAATAAATAAGAGGTCTGATTCTGTTCTGTGTAACATTCCATGGTAATACCTGTGAATAGTATTATAAAAGATCTTGGTTGTAGAAGGGTTAAGATGTGGTTACCTTTTTATAGAATTATAATCTGAAGTGACAGAAGAGTATGAAGTATTCTTGTGATGGATCAAAGAGCATTTAAGACCAAGTATAATAGATGGAACAGTGTAAGAATTTTAGTAAATGATGCCAAATTTGTCTTCGGGAAGAATACTAATTCAATTAGTGGTAGACATAACATTTAGCTTGAAGGCACTTTAAAGCCATCCTCATATTGTATTTTAACATTTTCATGCATTCCGTTTTTGTTTTGTTTTTTTCAAATACGATATCTGTGTTAATTTCTTTTATAAAGATGCGTATGACAGACAGACAGCAATCTTTTTCAAATGTTACCTATTTACCAAAATAAGTCAATACATGCAATGTTGAATTTTCAGTCATATATATATATATATATTTCTTTCTTATACTAAAGTTAAAGAGTGATTTCTCATTACATTTGGTGTTTTCAGACTTCATTGTAATACTTAACAATAATTATGTTATTAGAATCAGAAGTAATGCATATTTCATTGTCATAAAATGTTTGAATATATATTTTTTGTTGAAGAAGTTCTTTCTTTCATTGTGAATTATTTAGTCATCTGGGTACAGGTAAATTGTTTATTAGTTTGTTGCTCAATTTAATGTTTTATACATGTAGCAATGTGATTTCTTGAAAGTATCGTGCTGAAAACGAATGAAGTGTGTAAAGTATGTCAGTGGTAACCTTGTCATTTTACATAAATTTAGCTTCTTCCGTTTGTTCAGTACATGAGACATTAAATCATTTTCAGTAAAAATTGTCGTAGTTTGGTTGTAATTGGTCTATATTCCCACATCAAGCCACAGGCTATGATTTATAGTGTACCGTTACCATTATATGAATAACACATTTCACTGCTATTGATACATTTGTAGTGAAAGTATCAGCTGTTTTACCATTATATGAATAATTGAGCAGTACAATGTTCTTTGTTCCTTATAAACTATGATCTTGAAAACTGCCTTTGGTTTTGCTTTCATCCATCCAACTTTCTGTACGATCTGCAATACTGACTGCAGGGAAGCCTCTGGCACCGACCTCAAGCAGGAATAACCAAGTGCTCCAATCCTTCTGTCTACATTGCTCTGCAAGCTCCTGGTGTTTGGTAGCTTTCCATTTCCGTGGAAATGTCAGCTCCACCCATGTGATCTTCTGGCACTGCTGTAACCATATCACAACTCAGTGTGGTATGCTCAAAATAAAGAGAGACGGGATGTCGCTTAGGTCTGCTTATTTCCCTGGTCAGTGATTGGCTAAGTAAGTTCATGTGCACTGGTGTGGCAGTTGGGTGTTCCTTCTTGTCCGCTCTCACAAACTGTGTGGATTGGTTTCCAGTGTCCTGTCACTGGCCTCTTCTAAAACTGATTTGCTTCCAAGATTTGGCTCAGACAGAGCCTTGTCATAATGGATGGCTACTCTTCAGCTTGAAAGGATGTATGCAAGTGTTCCTTCGACACTGCACAGAATGCAAACACTATTTTCAAATGTAATTATGTGTAAAAGAAGCAGATCTGTGTGCTTAGTAGTGTTCAATACAGCTGACATAGCATACTCAGTTGGTGGAGCCCCTTTTCGCCATGGTTTGTTTCCTTTTGGGCCACACAACAGAAATGTTCTTCAACCTTTTATTTTAAACAAAATGACTGTACTATGCAGAATGATATAGTTACTATTACACTACTTGTATTTCATGACACTAACAGAATTATTAACGTTTGATACCAATCTCTAGATCTCGGCTAGTTATATACAGTATTAGTTTTTTTTAGCCCACAATGTCCACAGTCAGTCCTATAAGATTTTTGTTACAGCTACTTGTTGAGAAGAACTGGATAGACCTTTCGAAATTTCATATGAAAGTCCCTAAGTGTGTCCTTTTGACTTCTTAACAGGGGTCGATCTAGGATTTTGATTGAGAAAGTTTATTGCAATTTCTTGAGAAGTGCTTGATGTATCTTTCTTAAATTTCTTCAGTAGGTTCCCCCGTAGGTTTCTCAGTTTTCTTGTGTAGGTCCCCTTTATCCTTCATTGTTCCTTTTTGACTGATCAAAAATGACAAATGGCTGCCAGGTGGCCGTCATGGATTTGATTAATTAAAGATTATTATCACTATTTCTCAGGAGCAATGTTCAAATTTGGAATAATTGACAGCAAAAACAGAGAACAGAAAGGAAAAGATCCAATTTTAAAGAGCAAATAAAGATCAAACATTAATGATTGTATGCTGCTCTGTCCATTCTGCCCATCTGCATGGCTATATATCTGAACACTTAGACCAATCTATCTGAAACTTTCTTATTGGAAGTGCCTGCTTAGGATTGTTTTTCGAGTAATGTGGTCAAATGCCAAGGCCATTGTTACTATAAATGGAAGGTTGGTTTTTGTCCAATATCTCAAAGTTCCTTCTGATGGAATAAACAAAAACTTCACATAGTGCTTCCGTCCTGACAATACTTGCTTGGGATTGTTTTGATTGTTATTTTCCTGCGTTTATTGCCATATAAACAGTCAAGGCCATTTATTAACTGATGACTAACTCAATGAACAATACAACGGAGGTACATTGCACACTATTCAGTGCATTTAGGGTAAAGTGTTTTTCCCAAGGACACAATCATGCCAGCAAAGACTGGACTGTATCTCATACTATGACTGTTGGGAAGTGTTGAATGACATACATCAGATCTTCAGCAGATGGTATGTTGGCCAACACTCTTGTCTGACCTATCATGGCCCCCTTGGGATTGCTTTTCTATGTGAAAGGTCAAAAGATAACTGTTGATAAGAAAATTCATTTCTGCTCAATAACTTAAGACTTGGACTGATCTAACTTAAACTTCACACAATGCTTTCTGAAATAACCATACTTTTATAAAATAAAAATTTATGTCCAGGTCATGGTTATCATAAATACAAATTTAATTTTAACACAATAATAATAAATTCCATTTAAAAACTTGTGACCCATGTTCCCCTTGTATTGATTAATCTCAAAAATTACAAATCATATTTAAAAGACAATCAATAAATCAGTAGGATTTGAGTATCAGTCCACAATACCTTGTTTCGATAAAGAACCAGAAATGAGTACATCTTATGAAATTTTATTTTCAGTGTTTTGTACATTCCATTAGCAATTCATATCTTCGATTCAAGTTTTGAATGTTTTGTTCCTTTTTTTGTCTCAATAATTTGGTGTTTTAGAGGACAGACTGTTTATCCAAATACTCATTATCATTAAATCTATCAATTCAGTCTGGCTTGTCATGTAGCAGTGATCTGAAGTTTAGAGATTCTAATCCCCATGAGGCATTCTGGTTATCATTATATTCCTCATTGATTAAGGGTAACTTTAGTATTTTGGGTTCTTCTGGTAAGTCAGGCTTGGTTTCTTTGTCGGAGCGACTAGACAGCTGACAATGACTACCAACTAGGGGTACAAGGCAGTCACCCCCTGTACCTCGAGCACTTGGAATTGTTTTGGCCACATTAGTTCCTAAAAGTGGGGAACTGCTGGAGTGTTGAGGCCACATTCTTCGCTTCATTTTGTTAGGCAAATCTTTCTGGTCATAAATGTGTATAATCTCATACAGTTTCCTTGGTGCATTGGGTACCACAGGGTAAGCCTGTTGTAGCTCCTTTATCTTACGAGGGCTACAAGAAGGATTTTTCACTGGTGGTAGTTTCTTAGGTTGTTTAAGTTTACTGAGGTCTAGTCTAGGCACAACAGGTTTAACATTGCTTGTTTTAGGAGCCTCAAGCTTCGACACTACCAGGGAGAGTTCAGCTTCCATAAGGGAAATCTGCCTCCTCATGAGACGCTCCCTCTGGTCCAGTTTGCCATAGCACAGGTTTAGCTGGTCAAATTCCCGCACCAATCGTCGGTCCCTAATACGATAGCTGTTGAGTTCCTTTTTTATAAAAGAGATCTGTTTCTGGCAGGTGTTTTTTTCCTCTAGCAGACTTCGATAATTATCTTTGATGGCAAGGAGACATTGGTGACTTACATCCTTTTCATACTTGAATGCAGATATGTTGGTCTCGATGTCGTGTAAGATGTTGTTAGCTTCGCGTAACTCTCGTGTCAACTTCTCTATTTCCTTGTCGTGGTCGCTGCTTTGCCGACCAACTTCCGGCATCATTCTGAAACAACAAAAGTTTTATATCTCTAATATTAAAGCTTCTGTTTATGTAATTGATTGGGTGTTACCAGAATCGATACGTTATATAATGAAAGATGTTACAGGTTACGTAATTCATGGGTTATTATTACAATAAGGATGCCTACTAGATGGTATTGAGTATATACTCAATAGTCTTATTCACCATTACTTCAAAGAAAGTTTCTGCAAAAACTGTTTTTTTCTCTAATTGCTATATCTTTAACATTAACAATGTTATTCAACATTTTGATTAGAGTTCTTGAAGTAGTCTTAATACTTTTTTTCTGTTTTTTTGTCCCAGGTATTCTGAATGTCTTGGAGCTGTGGTCTTCTAGACTTCCCAGAAAGCTTTTCCATAGAGATCTGGATGGGTACTCCCATTTTATCACACAGTAGTCCCTGCCTCTCTCTTAAATCCTCCTGTCTGCTCTCATTGACTCTTTCTTCACTGATGTCTTTGACAAGGGTTGTGTTGCCAGTACCCTTCAAAGGGGTGTTGCTATTTCTGCTGAGATTGTCTGTTGAAAATTTTGTGCCAGATACCATCATGTCTGTAATGAAAAGATTGATAAACAATAGATCCTCAATTCAAACTACTTTTCTTAACATTTAAATGAACAAGAGGCCATGGCCCCTGACATTTGACAGACAACCGAACTTGCTGATGTGGTCTAACAAATCTGATGAATTCTTTGAAAGTATGAGAAACCCATAAGTGGTAGGTTTTTAAAACAGTTGTGCAATCACATTACAAAATGGCTACTGTGGCTACCATGTTAAAGTTTTGACAAGACAGAAAAATATCTGTTTTATTCCCTTAACAAATCAAACTCCAACCATTTTTCTAAATAATGCAAATAAAACTGTAGAATTAGTTCAGACAATTTTTTCATGATGAGTTATGTTAGATTTTATGCTTCCCACTTTGGGGCCCCGCCCCTAGGACTCTGTGAGTCATATCATTTTCCTGAATTTAAGAAATCATTTCCCACCCCCATGATGATTTAGACCAAATTTGGTTGAAATCTACCCCCACTAATAAGGAGCAGTGTTTTAAAGCAAAATATTATTTAATTTCCTCTTTTGGAACCCTGCCCTTAGGTTCCAAGAGATCAAATTGACTTTTTGAATTTAAGAAATGATTTTCATCTCCAATGATGAATCAGACCAAATTTGTTTGAAGTCCATCAAGGCATGAAGGAGATGTAGCATTTTAAAGCAAAATATTTCGAAACTTTCCCTTTTGGTGCCCTGTCCCCATGTCCATATGGATTGAGGCTTGAAGGAGAAGTAGTATTTTAAAGGAAAAGTTTATGCATGGTGGACGATGAGGGATGAAAGCACAAAAGCCATAGGTCATTTGACCCAAAGGGGCCATATATCCTCATGTAAGCGTATAGTGTTACAACTGACCAGATACCATAAGATACACTCTGCCAACCCCAGAAATAACCACATGCAATAATAGGCAATTGCTTTGACAAAAATGGGTAGGAAATGGGCCAACAGAAGTGTAGTCCTGATAAGACACTAACTAAAATCTTGCTACTGTCTCTGCTATGCTTGTGTAAATTTGTCTCCAGCTCAATTTGAAGATTGTTACACTAGCTTTGATTTTAATCACACAAGACTGAAGTAAGTAACTGAGGAACAAGAGCGCTGCAGGTTGGAACAACATTCATGCTGCCCATGCGAAAGAAATATCTATGATTTATCAAAGGAATGTAAATGAGGATTTGATAATAATTATAATGATTCAAAATGCCAAGAGGGAAAACATTGTTGTATGTTTTGATAAATTAAAACTGAAATAATAAATCTCTGGAGAAGACTGAAATGCTGAAAAGAACAAAGGACAATAACTCCTCCACATATTGTTTAATCTAAATACTGTTCACAAAAACACAATCTCATGTTAAGCCTACTAAGTTTCAAAGTGACTGGTTAAAAACTGAGGAAGGAGTTATCCAGAAAAGATTGATTTAATGCTGAAAAACAAAAGGCATAACACCTCCACATACAGTCAAATGCTAAAAAAATTGGACAATACTATTCCAAATACTTTTGAACTAAACAATCATTCAGCAAAACACAATTTCATGCCTTCATTAAACCTATCTTGTAACAAGTTTGAAGAGATCAGCTAAATACTGTGTGACATCTCTACAAAAAGTTTGATATGACAGTTTGATGGACAATGCCATATGATAAAATGTCAAAATTTAGAGTGTGCATGTAGAACATTTCCATTAGTATGCAGTTTCAAACTATTCCATATACAAAATATACATTTTTGACATTGCATTAAAAAATTTTTGTATTGTATAACATTTCATGTTTACCATTTTGATTGAGCTTTCTTCTCAGGAATGTTGCTTTGATATTTCTCTTTACATTCTCCTGACTTTGCTGTGGTTGTAGAATGGGTGTTGTTCTCCCTTTACATGGGGTCTTCCTGTCATATTGTAACGGCAACCCATCCACCTTAAACACTACAAAAAAAATACAGTTTGGCAAATTACACAGACACAGTCTCATCGTTTCACAAAGGTGAGCAATATCCCAAGTATGAAGTTCCAGAGACTAGTAGTGTCGGAGACAGAGTCCAGACAAACTTTTTTGGTGTAGGTCAAAGGTCAAAATGTAGGTTAGAGTGACCTACTTTTTGCTCACCTGTCCTTAAGGGCAAGTAAGCCAATGGCATACAGCTGCATGTCGTCAGTCAGTCTGTTAATTTTCTTCTAAAATTCACTAGTGGTCATAAATGATGTACATGGATTTTTACCAAATTTAGTCAGAAGTATCCTTAGGGGAAGAGGAGCAAATTTCATTTAACTGTTGACAAGTCTGATTGTGTATAGCATTTACTGATATCAGACTATTGAAAAGTATGATTGTCTTTACTATTAAATGATAACATACTGCTGTCAGGTCTTATTGTCTCTGCTATTAACTGATAACATACTGCTGTCAGGTCTGATTGTCTTTGCTATTCACTGATAACATACTGCTGTCAGGTCTGATTGTCTTTGCTATTCGCTGATAACATACTGATGATAGGTTTGAATGATTGGGAGCATATTAGGATATGAGGAATTTCAACTTGCAACAAGAACATTAAATTTTATTTAATGATTTACTGTAATAGTACATGATCGATGACCTGGCAGTGAGTTATTTATGTATTTTGGAGGACTTCATCAAGGTGTAGCTTACCTACATAAAGATCCTTGCCACTGCAAATATAACCATCATTCTGAAAAGGGAAAACTTGTGGAGAGTGTCGACACTTAGTTTCCTCAAACAATTTCTCTGAAAAAGAATTGAATCTTAAATTCAAAATTCAAAAAGTTCAAAGTTAATTATTTCATAAGATGTGGAAATAGGTTTGACACACTTGGCACAAAGACTGTTCTAGTTTTTCATTTTAATGATAATGTTTGAAGATACTCGATCAATAATGAGCAGATAATACAGTAAAAGTAATAATCCAATACTATAAAAATATCAAATTTATCTTTTTAACTATCATTTAAAATCATATACTGCTCATCACACAAAACACTGGTTCAGTATTATCATGACAAACCCAGGTATAACAATGAAGTATTTACCTTGTTTTCCTTACTTTCTATTTTATGGTAACTGCAATGTTATTTCAAAACAGCTAAAAGATTAAAAGAGATATTAACATCTGATACCCAATATCTTTCAAAATTTTCATGTCTGCTGTATCAGGAATTATGTGATTTTTTTCACATGCTATCTGCTCTTGTAATAAAGTATTACATACCTTCACCAAAATCCCTTTCTAGACGACGCTCATTGTTCTGAGATTTGGTGCTGTAGATTTCGGTATCTCCTGGATAAAGTAGTAAATCAAACTTTACTATCATTTCTTTTCAACGGGATCTTTTTGCCACAGGGCCTTGTTTTTCATATTTCTATCATAAATATCATGAAAATGCACAAAGTGTATTAAAATTTACCATACTAGATATGCAACAAGAACACTTGTCTCAGCTAATAAAAAGGCAGAATGTTAATGTTCATTATATAATTGGGAAAGAAATGTCTAATATAATATGATACCATGATCCATTAGCAGTGAAGACTGTGTTTTGGTGAGGGATGGCATAGGATATGGAGAGAGATTGCTTCTACCTCGCAGTTCTAAACCTTCAAACCTGCAAGTAAAACAAGCGAATGAAAACAAAAAGATGAAAACAAACCCGCCAAGAGACTTTGATCTGTACTGTATACACAAGAAGGAAGCCCTTACACGATTTGCTAATGTTACGTAGACTGTTTGATGTCTGTACATAATCCGGGGTTCAGTCAAATATGTAAACATGTTATCTTTTTTATCATTAATAGGCATACTGCCACTATAAGAATACACACAGCCTCCATTATGATATAAATACCTTATGACCAGATAGTACGAAAGACACCAGTGAATAGCACATTCTCATACAAATTTAGAGTTAGATACAGAAGAGTCAAACAATGAATTGAACTCCATCATACTGCTATTTCGTCCTTCTAGGTCTCGTCAGTGATAGTATGTCTGCCTCGTATGCAACGAATATCATGATCTGATATGACCTAACGATGCTTGATTCAAGCTGGCCATAACGATTCACAAACTCACAAATGAGGACTCTGAAACTGCCGCTCCATCATCACGCTTGTTTACCCTCTGTTCTGCTCTGTGTTTATAATATAAGAATAAATCAGCACTTCATGTCTTGGGGAACAAATCAACAACGATACGGAATGAGCGCCGACAACTTTTCTGTTTCCCGGAAGTGACTTGTAATTATGACGTCACATTGTTTGTATAAAGGGGCGCCACTGGGAGATATAAATGTAAAAGTTGTTTCCGTAGGTTCCTTTTTTAGGAAGAAAACAACCTTTACTGTACACTACAGTTAATAAAAATATTTTCGGGGTTTGATATCTTTGCAACAGCCAGACATACAATACACGCAACGTATTTGTCGATCGAGCTACATTGTTGTGTATGTGTGTACCATATATCATATTTACAAACGAAGTTGGGAACATATTATTATTGCCCCGTTTCTTCTTCTTTTTCTTATATTTCATGTGTTTTCTTCCGATACGTTTAAATTTAACGACTTTACCTTTAACGACGAGTTCTTCATAAGGCTGTCTGATCAACAAATCAGCTAGGTCACCATCGCGTGACCTTAATTGGCTGATTAGATCAGTCTATTCTTTTCTCTTATTTCTTTACACGAGTGGGAATCACTAATGCTTTCATATAGATCTATTTGTTTTGGACCAAATGTCAGAATTTGGTAAAATTATTAAAAAGCGGAAACCTTATTTATTTGAATAAGATCTTTGATATATTTCTATCAAATAGACTGCCAAATTAAAAAAAATGGCCACATGTTATTTATCTTAACCTAAAAATAAAAGAGAAAAATGATAATATGTACGTACAATAAAGTTTTAGAATATCTATGCATTGCATAATGAGAATTGTTATAATGATCTCTAAGTCATGCAATTCGGTATGAGCAGGTATGTCATTTCGTTTTACAAATCCTCCTTGTTTGGAAGTTCTTACTTTGACTAATTAAATTTTATATGGATACACTTATCCCGCTTATTTTGTCTAAATTCGGCGCTAACATTACTTTTTATATCGGTACTTTTACAAGCGAATTATATATCAGCGTTGATGTTGCAATTATGTCGCTCTTTTGTGTTTGACGACGATTGAACTGTATAAATGACGTCACGGTATTTTGGATTGTGACGTTTGCCTAGGATACATTAATTGCAGATTTTCCGGACGCTGTGGGTAAGTTGTCTGCCGTCCACTGCTGCTCTATGTGTTTTATTTTGTTGTTGAGAGGCTCACTATCAGATAAGTTCTATTCATATTCTGTCTACTATGGTTACACGCTGATTGCACTCTGTCAAGTTGTTGTTTGTGTGATATGTCTAGTATGACTATATATGTCTCATTCTTAATGAACGTTGTTTACTTGGTCATGGTCTGATTGTGAAAATATATATTTATTACTTCATTAGCTTCTGCAATATAGTTTCTATAACATCTGATAAATTTCGCATCTAACGTGTGTTCTTACGGGCTGTTCATTCTTACTTAATTGGTACCTGTCTGATTGTATATTGTTGGTTAGTTGGTACCTGTCTGATTGTATATTGTTGGTTAGTTGGTACCAGTCTGAGGGTATATTGTTGGTTAGTTGGTACCTGTCTGAGGGTATATTGTTGGTTAGTTGGTACCTGTCTGATTGTATATTGTTGGTTAGTTGGTACCTGTCTGAGGGTATATTGTTGGTTAGTTGGTACCTGTCTGAGGGTATATTGTTGGTTAGTTGGTACCTGTCTGATTGTATATTGTTGGTTAGTTGGTACCTGTCTGATTGTATATTGTTGGTTAGTTGGTACCTGTCTGAGGGTATATTGTTGGTTAGTTGGTACCTGTCTGATTGTATATTGTTGGTTAGTTGGTACCTGTCTGATTGTATATTGTTGGTTAGTTGGTACCTGTCTGATTGTATATTGTTGGTTAGTTGGTACCTGTCTGAGGGTATATTGTTGGTTAGTTGGTACCTGTCTGATTGTATATTGTTGGTTAGTTGGTACCTGTCTGAGGGTATATTGTTGGTTAGTTGGTACCTGTCTGATTGTATGTTGTTGTTTAGTTGGTACCTGTCTGATTGTATACTTTTGTTTTGTTGGTACCTGTCTGATTGTGTGTTGTTTAATTGGTACCTGTCTGATTGTGTACTGTAGTTTAGTTGACACCTGTCTGATTGTATACTGTTGTTTAGTTGGTTCCTGTCTGATTGTATACTGTTGTTTAGTTGGTACCTGTCTCATTGTGTGTTGTTGTTTAATTGGTATCTGTCTGATTGTGTACTGTTTAGTTGACACCTGTCTGACTGTATACTGTTGTTTAGTTGGTACCTGTCTGATTGTGTACTGTTGTTTAATTGGTACCTGTCTGATTGTGTACTGTTTAGTTGGTACCTGTCTGATTGTGTGTTGTTGTTTAATTGGTACCTGTCTGATTATGTACTGTTGTTTTGTTGGTACCTGTCTCATTGTGTACTGTTGTTCAGTTGGTACCTGTCTCATTGTGTACTGTTGTTCAGTTGGTACCTGTCTCATTGTGTACTGTTGTTTAGTTGACACCTGTCTGACTGTATACTGTTGTTTAGTTGACACCTGTCTGACTGTATACTGTTGTTTAGTTGGTACCTGTCTAAACAGTTGTCAGATTATCGAATCAGAGCTTCAATCATATCACAATCAATTAACCACTTTGTTGCTCTCATGTCCAGGGAATACCCTTGGTGAAAACAAACTGATCAATAAATCCTGGCATGACTGGAAATCACAGATGAGGGTGTATTTACATAGTTATGAAACTAATTACTAGATTCCTTCTTATCCAAGACAGGAATAAGAGCACAGTCTTTATAAACTGTGCATATCAGGAACCAATTTTTCTAGTTTTAATCAAGAATCACGAATGACCAGTTAATTTGACTGGGGAATCAATTATTACCATTTGGATGCCAAGACCGATTTGGTGAATGATTTAATAACTGAATTGACACATCAATTATCTTGGCTTCTGTACATATTTCAACACCTGTTTATAAATTGTCATTGTTATATGATGATGAAGACAAGATGAGATATAAGGATCATCTAAGCTTGACAGGATAGCTTTACTAATTTCACATTATGAACTGTGTAGTCTTTTTCTCATGGTGTATTGTGGGTATAATTGACACAGACTGTCTCCACCAGGTAATAAGTTATCTTGAAATTATATCACGTTCATGTTTTAGTTAAGGACTAACTAGTATGATGCTCTGATTTTAGATGAGGAGAACAGAACATGTTTTGGGTATGAACAAAACTGACAGTCTTCCAACTACCTATATACAGGTCCCAAAACAAGGGAATGATAAGCCATTCCAACTTCCAGACTCCATTCCAGACAGCCGGAGGATACTGTTTAAACGAACAGATTACCATGGGGGTGGAGCAAGGCCCAAGCCCCCAGTCAAAGCTGAAGTGAATGGGCAGATAGAAAGTACAGAAGGACGGTTTGATAGGCCTGATGTAGGACCTGTCCCATGCTCCAACATCTGGACTGGGAATAAGACTGACATGCATTCCAGCAAAGGAACAGATTCTGTAGATGCACAGTCGGATACATATACAAGTTCCCAGACAGGTACAGGAGTAGAAAACAGTCACAGAGGTCAAGATGACCATTGTCAGAGTTGTCGCAATTCAGAGTTCTTCCCCAGAAATCGTCCCAAATGTCAGACCATGACAGCTGAGAACGAGATGAAGGCTCAGTACATGTTGTTGAAGGAACAGTACAAGCGAATCTGTGAACAGGAGTCCCTCATCAGAAACCAAATGGCCTTACTCCATGCAGAGCTCATCTTGATGCAAACCAATGCCTACCACAAGAGTTCAGCTGAAGTGCGAAGGATTAACATTGAACCCATATCCATCAGGCGAGCAAGAAACAAGGCCAAGAAGATACCCTCTGTCACCACAATGCACAAACTGGCAGTTAAAGTTGACCCAATGGTGTCCACAGGGAGATATTTTACTGCAAAAGCCACCAAGGCTAACATGGATAGCAAAATACCAGATATTAAGGCTAACACAGAAAGAAAGATACCTGATACTAAGAAAATGGACAGTTCCACAGCAGAAAATAAAATCCACCAACAAAGTAAAACATCAGTACGGAATTCAAAAACCACCCTGGACTGTATGCAATATGAAACTGGGGATACACTAAACAGGTGTTTTTACTTTGATATTCCTCTAGCAGTGGTTAGACCACCCTACATATACATGGTCCCTGAGAAAGTCACCAAGCACAGACTGCCAAAACTTAAATTACCAAAAATCAATACAAAAGACACAAAGGGACCCACACAGCTGGTGGCACAAATACCACAGCATCAAGACAGTGATAAGTGATGGTGTTTTTGTGAGACGTTTCTTTGTCACACAATGCAACAGCAATCCATTAGGTCACATATCATTTCACAAAAATAATACTAAACATTTCAGATATTTTAAACATTTTTGTTTAAAACAACTTCATAAACAAACAAACAGACATGAAGACAATAGTATCTTTCTGTACAATTTTACTTGTTTAATCTTATCACAGTTATGAAGCTCCATTGTACATCAATTTCCAGTATGGTAACTTATAACAGTCTCTGTATAGTTCCTGTGATATGATTAAAAATGATCTATACAAGTTCATTTTGTTTCCACATTCCATATACCAATGATCATTGTGTGAAATTGTTATTCAACATTTTCAAGATAAATTTGATTTTTCATTGGAAACCAATGCTAATCTTTTACTTTTCTGTTCTGTCATACTATGTAGGTGTAATCTGGAGGCGGTCCCTCCTATCTAGCTTGTCTGTATGGTGTCAACACAATATATCAACATTCTAGTCTGGTGAGCATGGGAAAATCCAAATTCTATTCTTCTGGTGTTACATAGTCTAGCCCTGACAATAAGTGAACATGAATGAGTCTAGTCTCCTGGTGTCAGAAGAACATAACCTAGCCCTGTCAATGTGTGAACATGAATGACATAATCTAGCCCTGACAATGCTTTTGTAGAGGTAGATTCCTTAGTCAAGCTTACAATATCATAACTCCTTGGTGTGGAAACATTTTAAAAAATTACTTCAGATAAAAAATTTGGTCAATTCATGATTAGCAGAAGAAACAGATCTAAGAAATAATTTATCCTTTTAAAATACTTTGCAAATAGGGTACATATAATACACAGCCAATTTAGAAAGTGCCACACTTGGCCCCTATAATATCTTGCTGTTTCACTCCCCCACCAGCTTTCTATTTATAGAGGTACATGTTATGGTTAATCCCATTCTTCTGGTTCGAATTCTATATCTTCATTTTCTGGGTTTTCTCCTGGATTGTCCACTGGAACCTCCATGGGCCTGATGTTATTGAGGAGATCTCGCATGGCATCCATCAGTACTCCGATTCCCTGACGAAGTTCATTTCCATTCTGTCCTGTAGCACCTGCTGCTGCAGCAGGCTCCTGTAGTGGAAACACAACACTGAAACACTCATACTTAATTTAAAAGTTTTAACACCAAATGATTCACTTCTTACATCAATCACATCATTAACTGACTTATAAATCACATGTCATTACTCATCACTGACAGGTATAATCTGTCTCCTGATACAGTATCTTTAGAATTTTTATTTAGCTTAGATTTAATTGATAAATTGTTTTGATATGAAAATCCTCAAAAAGGTTGAATACATGATTTTTTCATCATCATTGCATATATAATAGTAAAACTTCAATAAATTTGGTGAACAATGGTAAAAGTACCATATAGCTGGTATTTTCTATTGGTCAAAATTTTCATGAATGAACTGTATTTCAACAAATTGAAATTTCATTATCTGAATGTAAAAGACTTCAAATGCTCAGTAGTCTCCCCATTTTCACAGATGAACTGTACCATGAAATAGTGAAAATATCATTCACACAAAAATAGCTTGCTATACAGTATAAATGGGCACAGAGGTTTTGCCTCTTTATCCATAATTCAATCCAAGATTGAATACAAGAGTGAAGTTAAGTCAATGTTAAGTTGTCAATGCCAGGATGGGGCTTGATAAAACAATTTGTACTACTACTGATAGTGGGATAAAATTCACAGATTCGTCATTTACCAGCTCATAATGACCGTCAGACAATACATACATCAATGTTAAAGTTTGGCAACAGAGATCGGAAAAATGTGGACAAGGCACCAGCATCTTCAACTGCCCGCCTCCTGTGAAACAGAAATGTGTAATGCTTAAGCATTAGTACAATATTCATGTATCTCTTTTGTCAGTGGTAAATATACCAAATGACTACAAACATGTCAACATGTAAATCTCAACAGCAAGAATGATCAAGATATAGTGTATTAGTATGATGTTCCAATTTGTTTGGTCTGGTCTTTGTCTGGATAATTAATATACATCAAGTACTGAACAGCAAAATGTTTGAAAATTTGATAAGATCTTACCGTACTGGCCTGTCGTAGCCACACACAGAATCCAATGGAGGTAAGGGGTCATAACTGAGGACTGTAGTGTTGGCAATGTCCTGCGTATATAAAAATACAACATATAATAGATACAAGAGGCCTTTTGGCATAAACAGCCACCAGACTTATCTCAACCAAATTTAAACTGCAAAGAGCCATACCTGTAAGTTACAACTGAGTTTAACTAAACATGTATTGTGTTCATCAGTTCCAATAGTAATTTATGTGCAAAGGGCAATAACACTGTATATTAAAACTAAATTGGTCCCTTTGTCCAATTCACCCATGGAGTTATTGATATAAGGCTGTATACCAAGTTCTATTAAAATCAGTCCATATGTACTCAAGTTATTGTGTTCACAGTGTTCAAGGTAATAAAACTTCAAAGGGCCATAACTGTGCAAATTATCATCAAATTAGTCCCATTGTCAAAGTCGTCAGAAATCTGATTTATATGAGGCTGCAGACCAAGTTTCACCATTTACTCAAGTTATCATTTAACAAGAAAAAGATTACACATGACGACAGATGAAGAATGATCGCAATGGTCAAGTGAACTTCAGATAAAACGGTACAACATATTGCTTGACTTCTCTAAAGGTAACATAAAAAAGAGGAAAAATTGCATTGATTAATCACTTATCGTTAGGTCCAATAAGAACATTTCAAAGCGAATTATTTATCTTATCTACAACATCAACCTTGATTATTATGTTATATATATGTTATGTTAGTAGTACATTTCCTTTGATCAGTACAACCCTTTATACAAATGTTAGATCAAATCTTGATCCTAAGCACCTGCATCACCAAGATGAACATTCAAACATTTACAAGACTTTAATTTACCGGAGGAAGGGCTGCTGTTGCATCTTGAATTTCCGATATAAGGATGTGTCTAAGGATGTTACGTGGTGTGCCTTGGTACCGTGACAGACGTCTGTCAAAAAAAAGTAAATATTGTCAAATAAAAGACAAACAGTGTGTGTCATATACCATTACCATGAGAATTACAAGATTTTTACACTCCATAATTCATGAAAATCTGAGGATATCTGAAAAGGGACACTAATAGATTTAATAATCATTGCCTGGCATTTCAGCTTATAAGAGTCAGGCAATTTCTACACTCAGGCAGTGTGTTGGATCAGGCAATTTAAAGAGCAGTGTGTAGTACTACAGTCTATAGAGTCAGGCGGTATGTTTAATTAAGCAATTTTTAGAGTCAGGCAGTGTGTAGAGTCAGGCAGTTACAGCTACTGGAAGAATACTAGATCAGGCATTTAATAGCGTCATACAGTTTGTGAGTTCATAAAATTTGTGGGGTCAGGTAATTTGTGGGGTCGGGTAGTTTGTGGAGTCATACAGTTTACATGGTTGTCTAGTTTCTGATATCATACAGTTTGCACGGTCATGGATTTTAGACTTACCTGACTCGAAACTCCTCCACCATTGGGTCTTTATTATCTACTCGCTGTAATACCACCTTTACATTTTTCTCTAACCACTCCAAAACTTCTGGCTGCTTCCAGCAGGAGTTACAGCGACCTATATACAGACCAATCAGCTGCTTCAGAGCAGGAGGCTGACTGTATTGTGAGTCTGGGCCAAAGAAAGCATGACTAGAGACCTGAGGGTCAGGGTTAACACTGCACTTATCAAGGAGGGGGTGAAGTAGTCCTGGGAACATCAGAAAGGATTCTTGTAGCTGTCAAACAGTAAACATTACAACAGCACTTCAGTTTAATATACTCCCAACATATATAAAATCCACAGATTATATAGTACAATTTGGTAACAGATGTATACTTTCTGAGTGTTTCTGATGAGATCAGTCTCTGCAGGAATATGAAGTACTTCAACTTTGTTAAAAGAATAAATGCATTGACAATAGTGACATTTGATATGAAGATTACAAAAGTAACAGGTATAAATATGATTCTCCCAAACAAACTCACCATAGTATCAGCTTTTTGGTGGTCCTCCTCTTGACTTGATGCCAGAAGAAACATGGCCAGGGGAACAGAAAATGCAAAGTTGGGAAGCTGAGTAAGGTTTCTGTGGGCCTGTGTGAAAGAAACATTTGTGTGATAACGGTAATCCTAATACAAATATATTATCTTATAGCAAGTCAACAAATCTTGTAAGGACTATGAATCTGACCTACTCTGAACACAAAGTGACTTAACATTACAGTACATTGTAAGTTTTCCTTGATGTCAAAAGTCTGATGAAATACCTCTCACTTTATTCCTGGTACAGACACTATGAAGCCCCTCCTGGTACACAAACTAGGAAGTAGTCCTATGTGATATGTAACACCTACCTGCCACTCCTGGTACAAACACTATGAAGTAGTCCTAAGTGAGACCTACCTGATACTCCTGGTACACACACTATGAAGCAGACCTTTGTGAGACCCAACTGCTACACCTGGTCCACACTCACTATGATGTAGACCTTTGTGAGACCTACCTGCTACTCCTGGTACACACTCACTATGATGTAGACCTTTGTGAGACTTACATGCCACTCCTGGTACACACACTATGCAGTAGTCATTAGTGAGACTTACCTGCCACTCAAGGTGTACACACTGATATAGAGTCCTAAGTGACCTGTGAGACTTACCTCCCATTCCTGAAACAGACGCACTAAAAAGGAATATTCTTGGGCCCGTAGGGCATAGAAGTCAATCATCAGAAGAACACACATGGGGTCCATCTCAGGCTCAAGGCTGTTGATAATACAGAAGCCATATAAGATAAATGGTAACATAAAATATCACAGGATTTGGAAAGATGCGGTATATTTATGACTTGAGGATAAATAAATCATGGTGTAACACAAGCAGTTCTCAAACAGCAAATTTTTGTGAATAAGTTCCTTCCTAGCTCACCTGAGAAGAAGTTTGCAGAATTCCAGAGCTGTCTTGTAACATCCTTTTTGACCTACTATGGCCAAGTGTTTGAACAAAGCAAGGAACAAAGGCCTGCAAAAAAGCAAGATAATTACAGCTTACAGTGTACAATCAAATAAAGATGTTCAGTAAAGATGTATCTGTTGATTTAAGTCTTAACATTAAACTTATCATTAAGTATAATAAAATCTCAGCTAGAAATTATTACAATATACCTGTTCTCGGATCGTTTGAAATCAAGACGAGACGTTCCAGTAGTGAGACTAAAAAGTGGATGGAAGGAGAGTTCACATGACAGCAAAGCCCGCTCTACACAGAAAAAAAAATAAAACTCAAACATACAAAAGTCTTTTATGCATTCAAATGAGCTTTCTTAAACAAGGAAGTTTCAACATAAATTTTTAACACAACTGAAATTAAAGAAAATGGAACCCCAGTTCTCATAGCTGGGCTGAACAGACGTTAGATACTAAACACTAATACACAACACAAATTTGTCTGTTTGAGAGGTCACAACTCACATTTGTCTGGTTGAGAGGTCACAACACACATTTATCTGGTTGAGAGGTCACAACTCACATTTATCAGGTTGAGAGGTTACAACACACATTTATCTGGTTGAGAGGTCACAACTCACATTTATCTGTTTGCAAGGTCACAACTCACATTTATCTGTATGAGATGACATGTTTCACATCTGTTTTACACCGTTATTATCATATTAGTACAATGTATGTCACATTAAAGTGTTATTATACTGATGATAGGATAAAGAATTGTGGTTATGACAATATAACAATGATAAGTGTTTGAACTCCTAGGAAACACAGGCCAGTGGTATGATGATATTCATTACCTACTCTCTCCAACAGTAATTACCTATGAGTTCTGCAGAGGCCTGGGCATCCTCTCCCATATGGAACACTTCACTGAGTTGTAGTAAGGCAGTCACATGGTAAGGGTGGAGCTGTATGATATTCTGTAACAGGAACAAACATGTACACACACAAACCCTTAGTTCCTAGAAGACAATGGAAATCATGTTTCTTCTTACAGCAAATTAACTAGGCTTTAAAAAACATGTTGCTGCAAACCCGACCGACCCTATATTTAAAACAACAAGATAAATCAGATAAATATCAAAGTACGTTGTACGTGGATTTAACCAAGTGATAATGCAGTAACATCATTTTGCCAGCCTCATGATGATGTCAGTATTATTTTGAATTGTTTTAGAGACATTTATGTGTTGAGAGGAAGCAGCTGATCTAATAAATATATAGTGTACTTACCGCTATGTTTTGGGGGTTCAGAGATTCCACAGCATCGTAAAATTTAAACTCCACATCTTGGTAATTTTGACTGTGTTCAAACGTAAAGTATTGACAGCCTCCTCTTGTCTCTAGTAGAGACATGGTCAATCCTACAATACAGTCAACAGAGATTGTTAAACAACGAATGGCCTTCAGTACTGGTGATGGAGGTACAGTCACATTGTCATAGTGATATGTTGTGTTATAAAACATTGAATATCCTATACAAAATTTCCAAACAATCATTTGTACATGACAAAATATCTTTCTCATTTTTGCAAACCCACCTGATCTTCCTCCTGTAGTATATATTAAACACTCACTAGACTTATCACAATTGTAGAATCAGATACTTACCAGTCTTGCCTATTGGTGGCCAGTTATCACGAGGAGTTGTCAGCCAAGACACTCGTTGTCGCGTCCTCCCTCTTTGCTGTCTCTGTCGGCGGCTGAAATCATTTATATGCACCTTTATGTAAGTGTGTCAACTCATGAAGCAATGATGGTGTCATGATAATAAATATAATAATTATGGCTTGAACAAGACAGTTATTCCATAAAGGATGTTACAACCATTCCTTAGTGTTTTTATTTTACACAAAATATCATTAAATATAATTTCATCAAGAGTATAGAGACCTTCCTAAGGTATCCATACTACTAATTAGTCCTTAATAGGCTTATCACATCCAATTGAATCAGACATTGTTGTAAAACTCACAATCAAATGCAGTTAGCTTAGTCAGAATCATAAGAAAGTCAAAACCAAACAAAAACAGCTAAGACTGGCAGGCTGGATTAATGACTGATTGGTGAATTACTTAAGTCTGATAAGAAGATTAATAAATTGTTTTTTTTTAATTACATGTGCACAAAAATATTACCTATCTGTTGAATTTGATAAATTCTCTACATATTTAATCCTCAAAAACTAAAAAATATCAAAACTTATCTCTTCAACAGTTAACACATACAAAAGTTCTGATGAGTACCTGTTTTCAGCCTGCACAACTCGTGATCCAAATATCCGTCTCATCTCATTGTCAGGATTCAGATTTCTACAACACAAAATAAAATGTTCAGGTGGAAAGGTAACAGTGACAGAATACAAGAAGTCCACAATCATTACAAAACTATCAAAATTACAAAATAAAGAACATACTTATGTTCCACAAAGAGAAGAGCCCTCATTTTTTGTGTAATGGGAGTTGAAGAGATGTCTCCATTGACCTCTGTTCTCTCTGGATCTGCTCCCTCTGCCTTCAAAATGGCCTCAAAGTCTTCTTCAACCTACAATATTCAGTACACACAATACTGTATATCTTCGCTCTGCAGCACTCATTTAGTATAATAAGTCAATCTTTCTACTTCTATAATTTTTAACATTGGTAGTTATGCATGTGATCTTCTGTATCTCAATGTTTGCGACCGACTTCTGAAATAAATTGTGTCAGGATTTTGTCTAATATACTTTGTAGTTTAGATGATATTGAAGGGTCAGTGCTTACCATTTTGTTTTCTGGTTTTACCTGATAATATGAAAAAACAAAATTTGCAAGAATTTTCTTTTTCTTTACTTGATGACTCGGAAAAATCGGCTTTCCTGTGAAGCATGAAACAGAGAGTCTTAAAACCTGCTATGTATGCATGCTAAAAAGTTAGCTCTATTCCTCCAATTAAGGTTTAGATCAGACAGGAGTATTAAAAAGAAAATTAAATATTCAATGACTATCAAACATTACTGATGTCACATGGAAACATGTTTCTGTTCAGTAAAACCAACTTGACTTACATTTACATCTTTGTTTTGTTTTTCTTTTTGTTTTTTCTTCTTTTTCTTTTTCTTCTTCTTAGTACCCGCTTGATTTTCTGGTTGTTCTGTAGGTAGAGATACTTCTTCATTCACTTCTTCATTGTCATCATCCTCATCTTCCAGCTATGTAATACAAGACATAGAGGATAATAGAGGATAATAGGATGTTTAAATGTCTCTTACTTCTGATATGATTTTTGCACTTTTAAGTATAATTTGTGCTTATGAACAATTGAGAATATTGTATTTCATCTGTAAATAATATAAAGTCTGTGTCTGTTACTAAGCCTCCTAAAGCCTATTGCTATTGATTACGATTACCATACTCATAAATGCCATATATGGAATGGTACTAAATTTGTAATAGGAAGAAATAATGAAAATAATATTGCCACTACCAGGATTCAGACTAGCAACACTCTGGGTTCTAGCCAAACAATCTACTACTTGACTAAAGGGAAATTCCTACCACTGTTATAGCGACCTTTATTCTCAACATCTACACTACTTCCTCCTTTACAAGTCTTCAACCCTGAAGATAACAATGACCCAGGTTCAATATCCCCATGGAACTATAGCTTCTACCCTTGGAGTGGTCTCGAGTAATGAAAAACACCCTTCTGCCATTAGAGTTCAAACTAGCCACCCTTTGGTCTCTTACTATATACTCTACAGCTTGACTAATGGGAAATTTCCTATAGATAAGGCTAGTACAATTTCTAATTCAACATATATGCTGGAAGGGATATTTTATAGATCATGGTTAATTTTTTTACTGCCTGATAGGTTTCAAGTTCATGGCCCATTCTGTGAAGAAATTCTAGCGAGCCAACTATCCAAAGCTGATAACACAACATCATGTTAGTTTTTATTGGGTTTTTATCTTTTACCAATTTCAACATCCACATACAATACCATGAAGCAGTTTGCTATAAACTATCACAAACAGTATTGGTAGACAAATGCAGAGCAATCAAAAACACACTGAATATCCACCCAGTCCTGCTACACAGCTCAATCCATCTTTCCTTCAGTTTTGCCTATACTGAAGGCGACATTTCTTTGGTTTTGCTCGATCAGTAGAGTGTTTGGCTTCGTAGCCACAGGTGAGTATCCATGGTGTCCCTGTGTAATTTGATGATCCTTATCTAAGTGTTATTCAGTAAGCTGAGAGCTGTACCGTTCTGTGATGTAATGGTTATCTTTAAGAAGACATCTTATCCCAACTGATGCTGAAATGCAACGGATGTTGCACAGTGAGGTTGTCATTAGATCATTTTTTCTCAAATTTCAGCTGGCCGTTGGTGGTGCACTACAAATTCGACACACAGACAAACATTTAACATGATTATGTGTGTACTAACAGCTGTGATTCATTAACTTACTAATTCAAAAGGATTTAAAGGTGCAGTTTTCGTCGGTTTCTTTTTCTTCGATTTTTTGTTTGAGTTTTCGGTATTCTCAGTGGTATCACTGTCTGATTCCTCGCCCACAATAGTAAGCGGGTCTATTTCCTGGTGCGTCTTCCCTTGAAGTTTTCTCAGTGCTCGACTCGACATATTGGCTGAAACGAAAGTTGACAACTCAAGCACTTGCACAACCTTGTATGCAACACACATGTGAATCGTGGTCAGCAAGATGCTTCCTTATATATATTTTTTTCTCCGATAAATACCCTACGTTAGTTTGGCTTCACATTATGAAAGCAATTTAGTGTCATTAACAGATACTCACAACAGAATGATAATAAATATTTTTTTGATATAATAAATGAATAAAAACCTCTCTTCTCTCTCATTCGCTGCAGAGCTACAATATGGATGCGCCCATCAGGCGCGTAATATAATTCTCCAGTTTACCAACAATTTACTGGGGAAATTATCACAACTAAACGATGTTGAAATTGCGTATACTAAGTAAATTAAGCCATACGGTGGGTGGCAGTGGCACGCGATCAAAAACTGTGCCTGCTATTTCCAGAGTAGCCAGATTGGATAAGATGATGCAAAAGATGGCGAAAAAAGATGACAGGTAGGCCAAATTGACAGGTATTGGGTAGAGGTTGTCCGTTCGTCTGCCTCTTCTTAAGTCGAAAACAAACACAACTTAAAGTAATAGGTGCAGTTGTTGCCGTATTTGAAATTTGTTCTGAGTTGAGGTGACAGCATTATTTTGTTATGAGATTCACAAGTGCTTATACTACGGTAAGTTCGTGTCGGAATGTCTGGTTATTTTAAAATGGTTTATTCTCCGTTTATCAACAGCAAGATTAAAAAGAAAGTATAATTCATGTTCAAGTGCACCTGTGATGATTATCAATAACACGGCAAATCTTCAAACTATATAATACATAGGTAATGTCGAAGTTGTGAATATAGGGCGCCTAAATTACCAGCCTAAGCGAGTGGGAATTTTCATTTAGTCGAGCGGTATAGTGTGTCGGGCTAGAGACTGAAGAGTCGTTTGTTCAAACCCCAGCGGGTGAAGGATGTTCTCCTTCTCCTTCCAATTACAATAAAATAAGCTGCATTTTGTTGACACCAGAGTAGTAATTTGAATGGATTATAAGAATGATTGTGTTGGTTTGGGTTGTTTTCGGACAGTTGGTTTAAATTTGGTTAATATTGGGTTAGTGTTTTGTAGTCCTGGGTTAGTATTTGGTAGTATTGTGGTATGATTGAGTTGATATTGGGTTAATATTAGGTTGGTTTAGGGTGATATGGGATTAGTACTGGGTCACTGTTGGTAGTATTGAGTTAGTATTGGGTTAATATTTGGTTGGTATAGGGTGATATGGGGTTAGCACTGGGTCGGTATTGGGTAGTATTGATTTAGTATTGGGTTAATATTTGGTTGGTATGGGGTGATATGGGGTTAGCATTGGGTCAGTATCAAGAAGTATTGAGTAAGTATTGGGTTGGTATCGGGTTAGTGTTGATAGTATTTGGTACTATATTGGGTTAAGTTTCAGATATTATAGGTTAGAAATGGAATAATTTTGGATAGTATTTAGTGATATTAGGTTGTATTGGGTTGGTGGTAAGTAGTTTGTGTTAGTATGTTGGTTGATATTCAGCTGATGTTAGGTAATATAGGACAGGACTGCGTTCATAAATAATAGTATTGGGTTTGTGTTTAGGTAGTATTCAGTTGTATTCTATAGTATATGGTAGTAATTGGTTGGTATTTGGTAGGTGTTTGGTAGGATTTGGTTGTTGTTGGGCAGTATGTGGTTGGTGTTGAGAAGTATTGGGTCAGTGTTGGGTAGTATTGTGTAGTACAAATGTATTTGGTTATGTTAGATAGTATTTGGTTGGTGTTTGGAAGTATTTAGATGTGTTACATGAGGTTTGTAGCTTCAAAGAGAAAAACAGAATGAATGTTGCAATTGGTTAAATAAAAGAGTTTAAATCATACAACTGAGCTAAGTCAGCTAGAATGGAATTCGGAGTACTGATGATCCAAGATAAAAATACAATATTTACACTGATTAGTAAGTTTGATCATATGATAGAGTTTATGAGCCCCCTTGTTTTCCTGTCTCTTCATGCTAGGTAATCTGATGGAACTATGGCTATATATCTGTTAATAATTTCAAAGATCATAGTGAGTCTGGCCTTATAGCCATTCATTATTGCTCAGGGGCTAGTGACAGAATCATAGGTGATACACAGTAAGACTCTCTGGACCCATCGTTGTGAAAAACATATCAAGCAGTTTAACATTGGACTGACTCCAGCAGCAGGTAAACATTGGCAGTTGTGTATGTTTATAGAAAAAAGTGGGATGAAAACCTGTTTTTTATAACATACCAAATTCGTGACACAGTCTAAGAGCTGAAATAAATCACCCATGATGGTACTGATTGAAGCACCTGAGGAGTAATTCTTATTGTGGGAAAATTCCAGAGTATCCAAGGAAAACTTGCGTGGTTGACAGGCGATGCCTAAATGAAAGGCGAGTCACTTGACTACCCATGTTATGTTGTTAAATGAAATGCTCCCAAAATGTATAAATAGCTGCTTTTGAAAATACATGTATATAGATCAGGATTTTAATTTTGCAGGGAAAGTTACTATAAATGAAGATTTTTCCTTATTAATGAAGAATGAAGGAAGAAATGAATGATGAATATTCCATCAAGTCTTTCTTTATCTTTAGTTTAGAATGTCTATTCAATTTTATAGTTTGACTGTTTTGAGGTGTTTTTTCATCATATGAATAATTATAGAGGGTAAAAGATTTGGTTTTTCTTCTTTCAAATTTGTGGTATGACAAGATTTATTTCAATAGATAATAAGTCTTTTTTAAATTATTCCATGAAGGGCTATAATTTCTGCACAATTGTGAAAACTTTATTTTCATATTCACAAAGATACTGTACCTGAAGACAATTAAGCTCCATGCTTAGACTTTTTGACTTTCAAAGCAGCCACTGTTCAAATGACAGATACCAGCCTCCTTTATCAATAAACCTATAAAGTAAAACAAGGCATCACAAACAATATAAACCCCTTTAGCTTGCAATTCAACCTTGACTGGATTTTCTAAAAACAGTAATGGTGACTTTGGCATCAGTTGTCCCTCCAACCTTGACACTCAAACTCGTCCAAGATATTATGTGGTCCTTCGTACGTGTTAGTGTAATTTTGATCAAGTCTCAGACCATGGTGTGTTGATAGGTTGGTTTAAATGAATATCAGATTTTAACCATTGATAAACGATAGGTTTCCATGCAAAACTATTCAGGTCAGCATTCACGTTGCATGTACATAATTCCATTGCTAAACAGATGTTATATCAGATATTTCAATCTTGAAAGTTTTTCAGCAATAGTACAATAATAACTGCTGAGCAAAACAGAAAATAGACAGCTTGCTCTAGTTCAGAGTGGCTTTAGATGTATCAGTGCCTTGAACTGCAGCTAGTTTCAAAATCTTCTTTTCTCTTTCAGGAAAAACAAATGGTTTCTGGTTCCATTAGTAAGTATTTTGTAAACTAGTGTAATTTGTTGTAACAAGTTGCCTCTAAAAAACAGAATTACAAACTAAAAATGAATCATATATATCTAGTTTAGATGATGCATGTTGCATTTTATATGATTAGTCTTGGTACTTAAAAAAGAGACAATTTTCCTAGCCCTTGGCGCAAATGCCACAAGGTCATCGCTAGATTATTTTTCATAAAGTTAAAAAAAAATGAGACTACTCTTCTGTCTGAGAATATTTCAAAGTTCTAAACACAGTTCAAGTATCATGTGATCCAAATCAAAATTAAAGAAAAAATTTGTGGTTCTGCAAATGCAACTGATGTTTCTGCTACCTGCTCTTCACTTGTACATCTATCACTAATGAAAAAATATCTACTTTTAAACTTTTCTTTGTTGTTCAAATCAGAGCTCACAGAAAGTTACCAAACATCATTCTGGTAAGGCCAGGTACAGCACTCCCGGAACCAAGAGGAAAGCTGAATACATCAGTGATCTGCTATTTGGTCCTATCAGTGAGATTATGTGTAGAGGACTGCTTGATGCAAGGATAAAAGTGGAATTATCACAGGTAAGTTGAGTTTTAAGGCAGAATTACCAGGTATTCTTTTAAAAAAAAAACAAAAAAAAACGGTAAAGGTTTCATTATAAAACTTCATCAATTAAACAACAGAGATGCATTTGGTATTTTCATCTTTCGGATTTCTCACTCTTAATTACTCTAACATGTGTTTCCAAGGAGAATCCAATAAAAGGTCACTGCTCCTGGGCCAAAGATCACTGTCCTAGTATCTAAAATGATTCAATTAAACTCTGTATCATTATTGTTATGGTTCAAGATATATAACATTCTTCTAGTAATATCAATCACAGGCCATACAAATGTATATTGGTGTGACAGAAAAAGAGAGTTTCTACCGCTATACGTAGTGTTATTCCTCTCTCAGAATATTGTGTAACATACTGATAGTTGGATAAAAATATGATGTAAACCACTTGTGGTATATTACCTTCCAGACATTTGATTGAGAAGTTGAACTTTGACCAAAAGGTCACTTCACACTTGTAGAAATAGAAACATGCTTTAAGTAAATTATGATTGTTAGCCCACATCATCAAATCGCCTTATGTCTATGGTCCATCTATAAACAATTCTTGTTATCACTATTTCTTGAGAGGTACTTCAAGTACTGAATGGATCTTTCTCAGATTTCGTATTTATTCTCCCCTTGATAGCTAGTTGTGACCATTTTATTTTGGGACTAAGCAGTGTAACAAAATGTCTAATAGGAGGCCATTTTGGATTTTGGCATTGAAGGTTTGTTCTAGCAATTTCTTGAGAAATATTGAATGGATCTTTCTAAAATGACGTAGGTTACCCATGCCTGTTTTATTTCGGGACTGATAAGAAAAAACAAAAGGCAGACAGGCAGCCATCTTGGATTTTGACAATGAAAGTTGTTATTGTAGTTCCTTCAGAAATACTGGTTCTTTCTCCAATTTCATTTGTATGTCCCCTTTCATCTCTAGTTGTGCAATTTAGATTTTAGAACTGGCCAGAAAAACAAAATGGCAGATAGGCAGTAAACATGGGTTTGGTTGCGTATGATTATAACTATTTTTCTAAATTTTAAAATTTCATACAAGTTGGAGTGAATACAGAGGAAAGAAGAGAAAAGAAAGGAAAAGATCCAACTTTTGGAAAACAAATAAACATCAAATGATGGTGGGCAAGAGGTTCTTTCTGGGATTGCTTTAGTAGAAACAGGTCACACAAAGATGGTAGTTGTATATGGTGTTTTATAACTTTGGTAACATTTGAAAAATACATGAAGAGAGTGAAAGAAATACTATCTACTATGACTGTGTTTGTGTCACCTCTATATCTTCTTTTTCATTTTACTTACATTCTATGCTGTTGTACTGATAATGTATAGATGTTCTATACACAGGTCAGTCTGCTAGCAGATTTCAGCCTTCTCAGAATTCACTGGTTAGCCTCGGATGGAGATGATCACATACTTATCGAGGACATTCTCCAGAATAAAAGTGTGGCTATGCAGTAAGTAAAATAACAACCCACCTACGTGTGTGAATAGGGTCTCCATTGAAATTTAGTCTTCTGTTGTTATATTCTATATGTTATATTCAGTAGCTTATGTCAGAAGAAATGAAGTCTCATTATATAGTCTTTGTAGAATCAATTACCATTGCGACTTGAGGGATTGTGAGATGTAGGAATACAGAAGCCGAGTATATTCATCTGTATAGACTAGGAATTAGAATAAAAGCTTTCCTACACAACTAGTAGATGATTTGAGAATGACATTTTGATGACTACACAGTCATCTTCTTCAGACAAATAACCAGTGTGGAGCAAACTAGGTCTGACATACTGTGCGAGATGGTATGGAAAAGTAAAACTTTTTCCACTGTAGTATAATTGTTTTGTTTATATGCTGAATTTTGCTAGATATGTTGATGAGTTTGCATGCACCTATAAGTATATACATTTAGTTGGTTAATGTATTCAAACTGTTAAAGGAGCAGGTCAGTGTGACTTTTGCAAAGTGTTGAATATGGTCTCTCTCTCAGCTGAAGGAGTAATGCTCCTTTGGCTCAGTTGGTTGAGCTGTGGATTATCACACTGGAGGCTTGGTAAAATTCTCATCAGGGGCTATGGGCAGGAATATGGTTTTTCCTGATCATTCACGAAACAGACGAACTTGATAGACTTTGAAAGTTGTAGAATGTAGAATTACTATACATTGAAAACTTCTTTAATTTATATGAAGTTGAACATTATAAGTACATGTACTCTGCAGTTTTATGAGGCACATGACAAAATCTATAAAATGTAACCTTTGTTAACTTTCAAGGTGAGGGAGTTCATATATGCTAATGTTAAAAAATTAACAGGGGTTTCTTGGCAGATAGTAAACATTCCCCCCGTTTCACCCCATCTCTGTTTTTTTCATTTTACAATTGCCACTTACAAATATCTAGGTTACAGTCATGATTGATGTGCTTGTCATGCATTAGATAAAAACTGATGAATGTTTTTTTCCCCCCTCAGAGATCTGGTGAAAGAACTTCAAATCTTCTCCAATGTGCCCCCGGTCAAGTTTGTGAAGGATATGTCAGTAGCAAGGGTCCAGGAGGTAGAGCGACTTTTACGACACGCTGACCTTGGTCAGTACGAGGCCACAGATAGCAGCGCTGAAGAGAACACAGTAACAATGATGGAAATACCTACAGACAAATCTGTATCTGTCTCGCTTAAAGATATCTCAAAAAGATTCAGGTTAGACGATGATGCCAATAACCAATTAAACGAGGGACTTGAAAATCTTAACACAAGCTCTGATCATACAGAAGAGTTTACAGACCTTACAAAAAGATTCAGACAAGATTTATATGGAATAAATCATGGAAGTATGATGCAAAAGCTTAGGATGTTAAAGTCAGGTGTACGGAAAAAGACAATGTCTGAGATTTACCCTTCACCACCTGACAATTTTCAAACAAATGATGATAGAAAGCAGGCAAGAGAACAGTACACAAAGATGTTAAAGATCAGGAAAAATCAGAGGCAGGATCTAAGGAAACACAGAGAGAAACAACACGTTTTATTGGATGACCGAGATAGAAGTGATGATGCAGAAGATTTTCTTTTAGGCAGCATTTCAGATGATGAAGTGATGGATGATTAATGACATGTAATATATTATGTTTGCATAATCAACAAATTAAATTGACTTTAACAATACAGTTTTGTATATTGTCATATAGTCATTGTAAATCCTTGTACTAGCTAGATTCTTGTTCCATTAGACAAGTCCTATTTCTTTGGAAGTAAGAACTGGTCAGTGTGAACCATAAATTTGCTAAAGCCTACACTGGTAAATTAATAGAACCTTTGACCCCATTGGTTGTGAGATAGGTGGATCACATCCCAAAGGGACAGATGATTGAGTTAGTAAACAGAAGGCTTGCCGAGTGTTTGCAACTTAAATCCTTTTTTCCCTAGGGTTGAGGTCACCCTATCTCACCAAAAAGGGGATGTGTGATTATTTTTCTCTTACCCTGCTGGCTTAATTAGGTACTTGTGTGTATTTTTATCATCCCAATGCTTCACATCATTAATATGATTAATTGTTGACATAACTTTATTGAATTGTTACAGTGATATCACGTCATTGTCTTGACAGAGGAATCTTCCCCATCTCAATTCTGGGGTGAGACAAGGAAATCTCAAACAGATCAAAAACGTGTATTTTACCTGTCCAGGGCAAGAGAAAATCAAATATAAAACCACGAAATAAGAAATTAATTTGTACACTAAGCAGGATCAAATGTCACAATTAGAAGTAATCTAACTGCATATTCTGCCTCTCAGATAACGATGTCAACTCTAGGACAAGTTATTATACTGAAGGTTAAAAATTATTCTGTGTTCAGTATACTGAACAAATACATTACTAGTATTCAACTTGATTTAAGAAGCTGAAGTATGAATATATGTATTCTAATCACCATTATTGCCAGATTTAAGATTGGGAAATAACTGACTTTACCTCGTCCAACCTGTAATAGCTTAAAAATCTTTAGCGTACTCTGTGGAGATTTGAGGTTCTGGAAGAACTTTACTTTAATATTACTTACTTGCTTGGACAGTTTGATGGTTACAAATATCTAATATCTATATCAATAAAAACATACAAGACAATTAATAAGAAGATTTATTGCGCTGAAGAAGTTATCCTCCTTTATACATGTATAACAGTGTCAACTATTAGAAAATACATTGAAGATGAAATATCAGATCCAAAAACAGGAATTAACATCCAATAGCCTACTGTTGTAAGTGGACTATTTAGGGTAGACGATGTTGCCGGACCTGGCTATGGGAATTAATTGCAGTCTGTATTCCAATGGCAGATTTTCTTCAATCAACACATTCAATGAATTGTTGTCCTTGATCAGGCGCTGTCTGAAATAAGAGAGACATACATTGTAATAAGTTCAAATTATGATCGATGAATGCCTGTCTACCACACTCATAACTTCTAGATAAAGAGGATATCACATGAGTTTCTGTTCCTTTAAAATAGATGAATCAGGTATTACAAGATTTAATTTTATTGAGTCTATGGCAAAGTGAAATAGAAAATTTGTGTCAAATTTTGTGAATATGAAATCTAAAAAGGTTACATTCTCACTCTATTTCATTCTTTGGTAATGTCGCTTACAATACAAATGATGTTATAAAGTTTTGATGATACAGAGAAAACAATGGGAACCTTCAGGAAATCACATCACCACTGTTCTCACACTAACTGATAAGTTGACAACAGGGTAGTAATGTGTTCAAACTATGTTCTAACCTTTTCATAAGGAGTTCCACATCAGAGTCATTAATCGTCTTTCTACCAGCATGATGACAAAAAGCTTCAAGATCAGCTGGTACTTGTTTGAAGAACTTTTCTGTCCTGAAACATCAATCAATAAGCGTGATTTTAGATCATTGTTACAATCCTCATCACTGTCAACTTTCGGTTTTTCTTAATTGGAAAAAAAATCTGTTGCTTCATAATCAACAAATGAAATTATTTGACAGGTCCATCTGATCCAATCAGAATGACTGTTCTATAACTGGCTAGACAAGCCTGGTGGTATCTGGTGTATGAAAAATGTTTAAGCCATCCTTACAGAATGTTTCTGAGATTGATCGATTTCCTTTTTGACAAAACAACATGCTGACAATCTACTGAGTCTTATTTCAATGAAAAACTTTTATCAAATTGATGTTTGCTCTCTCTCTATATAGGCAACAGGTTAAAATGTAGACCAGTAAATTGAAGTGACTTTAATTTACAGATTTGCAACAAAAGTAAATGTGGAAATTTGTCGTCCATTGATGAAGTTTGAACTGTACCATGTAAAAAGAACATCAGGTTTACATTGTTTCCGAGACTAGATCAAACAAATAGCAGAGAACTTCTTCAATAAGATTCTCTATAATATAGCTCTTAGTAAATTCACTCAATCACTTAATTGTGCCTGATACATATTGGAATTTTCTGGGTTGTGAACTAGTCTCTCCTGTTAGGGGTGAAATAAAGCCAGGGACAAGGACCTGTTAGGGGTGAAAGGACATGTTAGGGGTGAAATAAAGCTTCGGACAAGGATTTTGTTCTTACATTTCAATATTGTACTGTTTCCCAATAAAAGCATCAAGCTTGAACAACTCTTTCATGTTGTTATCCACGAGTGGCAATGCATACATATAGTAGAGGCAAAAACATCACCCATGTAACTATGAAATAGAACTCTAACTTAACTACCATTACATGAAAGATGTGTAGAGAAGACATTGCTATAAATAGGGTCTTTTAAAGTAAATTAGGTGAAGCTTACACATTGATGAGTTCTGGAAGGATGTCAGATGACACTTTCATCTTGCAGTAATGGCTGAAGACTTTTTTAATGACGGACACTGGTAAAGGTGCAGTTAGTTTAGCTTTTGCTCTTGGTTTCCTTTGTGTTGTCTTCACAAGTGTCTCCTTTGACTTTCCCCTGCAATGGAAAAAAATCTTAGATAATTTTGCCATGTAAGAGGTTATGTTATTGATCTGACAGTACACCTAGGACTACAATGCTGTGTGTAAAACTTTGTCTTAATGATCTGCCAGTACGCTTAGGACTACCATGTCACAACTAAAGGTTTATGTTACTGATCTGACAGTACACCTAGGACTACAATGCTGTGTGTAAGATTTACCTTATTGATCTGACCATATGCCTTTGACTACCATGTCAGGGGTGAAGGTTTATGTTATTTATCTGGCCATAGCCCTAGGACTACCATGCCATGTGTAAAGATTTTTTCCCTAGGATGACTACAATTCTCAGTCAATTTCTGTTACAGAAAATACAACATTTGTTCTGAATAACCACACAATAAAATTGCTTACATTGCTGTTTCATATAGTAGGTTTTAATCATACTGACTAAAAATCAGAGGGTGGACTTATAGCACAGCAAAGAAAGAGTTGATATTGCTGTACAAATATAGAAGGTTTTAGCCCCTTGGATTTATTGCAGAACGTAGACAAACAAATGCTTTGTATTGTTACTGTACAAAGATCTGGGTTACACCTATGCATGGATGTAATACAAATTTTACCCTCTGAACTTGTTTGAATTGAACTTGAAGTTATAACTTTTTTTATGAACTGTTTATGTAATAAGAAAGTGACATTTAAAAAGAGTTTGTGTAAGACAAAACTCAATTTCAAATGCAATTTTCACTACTTAGTTTATTTTAAGTGTAAAAGAATACATGGGATATGGATTATTAGGATAGCATACTTTTTCTACTTGTTCTTCATAAAACAATAGGCATCCAGGAAATTTTAATATATAGTTAGTCATACAAAGTCAGTATCAAACTTTACATGTCCCCTTTAAGAAGTGGTGGAAGTAGCTCCATTGCTACTAATTACACATAATGTAACTATGTATATCTCAATGTATGTTCAAGATATATTGAAGTTCTGGATTCAAAAGTGGTATCAGAGTACATGACACTGACCAAAACATTGAATAATGAACAGAGGTATTTATCAGATAATCTTCTTTAGAAGACAGATTATCACATTTACTGAACCCATAAATCATGCTGAACCTTCTGACAGTTGTTGTCTGGGCGTTAACTTCAATTAAAGAGAAAGTTCATTTACACTCTTTTTACAAGACTTACGGTGTTGTGTGGCTTCCACCATCCCTGAGCACATCGTTAACTGACCGAAGAGGAACGGCAGAGTTTCTATTTTTCAGAATGTCTGTCAGTGGCTGGATGGTTGGACGTTGACCATCTTGAGGTGTGGACAGGTGAGGGGTCTTTGCTAGTCTGTAGTTTTCAGTCACGTCCTCTGTTATCTGTTACACACAATTACAGGCAAAAGCATCAACACTACATGTAGGGTAAGTTACTTGCGGTCTGTATTATAAAAAACCAATCATCTGGATAGCTAGATGATGGCTCAGTTTGACCGTTAGCCAATACAATGTCAAAGTTATCGTAACTGGATTTGATTTAAACTATACATTTGCTCAATAATATGTAGAATCTTCCTAACACCTAATGAATGTCATTTGACAAATTCATTTTTATTTCATGATGGTGGAACAGTTAATGACATCTTAATTCAGTGGTACCTAACCTCAGACAATAGATTCAACAATATCAATGGGACCTTATCTCAAACAATATATCTTATCTTTAAGGTACCTCCTCTCAGACAATAAATTCAACAATGTCTCAACTGCATGGTACCTCCTCTCAGACAATAAATTACCAATATATCTTGGACTATATGGTGCCTCCTCTCAGACAATAAATCAACACTATATCTTGACTTTAAGGTGCCTCCTCTTGGACAATAAATTACCAATATATCTTAACTTTAAGGTGCCTCCTCTCAGACAATAAATTAACACTACATCTTGGCTTTATGGTGTCACTCTCAGACAAATTAATTATATATCTGAATTGTATGCTGCCTCCTCTCAGATAATAAATTTGACAAACTTAAAACAATACAATAAAAAATTCAAATAACTATATATGATCAATGTAAAGTCTTATATGTCTATTCTATTTGATCAACATCAGGGCTCTCACACCCCATTTTGGGACTGGGGCCCGGGGCCCTTAGAATTGAGAAAAATAATGGTGTTTTCCTTAGAATTGGGAAAACTTCGAGTCAAAAATTCAGAAAAAAAGATACTATTTTGCATCTGCCCCAAATCTGGCAGATCGAGAGCCCTGAACATAGGTAAACATACCTCCTCTGCTTCCTCCTCAGACTCAGTGTCAACATCAACATCTTTATCAACAGACTCATCCTCCTCAACATGTGGACTTTCTTCATCTAACACAAAATCTGCCCCAGTATCTACCTGGTCTATGACTTCCTCTACTTCCTCCACATGGTGGACACCAACTTCCTCTTCCCCATCCTGCCCATCCTCCCCAGTCTTATTTTCACCAGTCATTTGTGTGTTTCCTTTGGTGTTTGTAACATCCTGATCATCTACGCCTACTAAGCTGGTGGACTTGTCAAATATAGAATTGCCATTCTCGTGTACATTGCTATCATTTGGTTTTACAGACATTATCATCTCTGGTGTGGATGGTTTGGCCTGATTACGATCAGATCCAGCAATCTCTACTGCATTCCCAGTGATGTTTGTGGTGTGATTTCTCTCCTCTTCATTGCTCTTGTCGTCACTTTCCGTCTTGTCCTCCCTCTCGTCATCAGCATCAACTCCATCCTCTGAATGAGAGGAGAGCAGGGGTTCCAATGGCGAGTTCACTGGCATGATTCTTCCCTCTTCCAAGTTGTCGTCATGGGTTTCAAATATATCCATGGAAGAATCATGACTTCTGTTACCTGTTGCTGTTTTAATGGGAGAGTCTTCCACCTCCTGACTTTCTGATATTCTCTCAGGTGATGAATTTGTTGATAATTTTTCTAGTGATGAGGGTGCAAGAACTTCTTCACTTAGGTTACCACCTGAAACAATATGCAAACTAAAATCTGGTCTTCTGCACAACATTGATGTTTGTTATGATATTCCTTGAGATTAATGTATGTAGTGTTTGTGTAGTAACTATAGTGTGGGTTAGTGTTTGTAATTGCTCTTCCTGATCCGTCAGCATTATTTATCATAGAATCAATAATTATTTACCAGTCATCATACAATGAAAGAAAAAGTCCTTTTACATAGTAGGTAAAATATTATAAATATTTCTTTTAAATCTCAAAGTAAGTCAAGAAATATTGTTTCAATGCAGTTTATGATTTATTTGTTTAATGCTTGATTAAAGTACTTTTCTGTAGCTATCAGTAACGCCTGCAAGTTTTCCTGTTATAACCAAACCATGATCATTCATAGAAAATCATGAAAGATTTTAACAGCAATAACCATAAATCAAATAGGTGATATAATCAAAATACCATCAGGTTGTATAAAACGACTGATGTTTGGTATTAATCTGAAGTCTATAGAGTAATTAATGTTTACAACATGAAATATCACACCTGATTTGCCACATCTGTGTTTACAAACTCATAACAAAGGGTTTCAAAAGATGCAGGTTGCTGAAAATTATGGGAAAGTTTTAGTTATCATAGTGATGTCATTGAGAAATATTTCATTTTTTTGTGCGGTGTGAGGCTGGACGTGTTTGGGACTTGACAAGTTTGCCTGTTGGTTCCTTTGTTGTATTGTTGATGAAGCAGAAGACGCTTACTCTTCTGGAATACCTGGTCTTATTGTCTTTGTACTTTTTCAAGAGTCTTTGTGTAAATCTTTCTTTTGATAATATTTTGCTCCAGTTTTCATTAATTTGTGTTTGGATTGTGATTGTATTGACATATTGGTATTTATTTTTTTGCTATACCTCTACATATCACACCTGTGTTTAATAAACCTTTGTTTGTCATGCATGAGTTCATCACATCTGTGCTTACCACTCATTTGTCTGCCACATGTTTTTGTAACACCTGTGCTTGTCAAATCTGTTTTTTATACCTGTATTTGCCAATCTGTGTTTTCCACACCTGTGTTTGTCATACATGTGTTTACAACACCTGTGTTTGTCATACTTGTGTTTACCACACCTGTGTCAGTGTTATATGGTTCCTCTTCTGTCTTTTTATAAGCTGATAAAGCCTCCTTGAAGCCAAATGTTTTGGATTCAGAGGGAAGTTTTGATCGCTGACTTTTTCTTATAGGTGACCTCCTGTCATCATTCCCTGAAGCTTCATCACCAGAACTGAAATCATGAGTCATCTTATAGAACTCTATATATAGTATTTTGACCAATTCATATCGTGACCTGTGCATGTATGTTGTAGATATTTTGACTTAACTTTGTGAGAGGGAAAACTCATTATCTATCAGTACAATTATTTATAAAGATCATAAAACAGTCAAGTAGGACAAGGGAGAGAAGAAGAGGTAAAAGGAACAGAAAAGCTTTACCTCATAACTATGCATATGTTTTAATAACTAGTTACCCTTTTTATTTCTCCAATAATTCAGTTAGATAGACCAGTGTGTTATACAGAAAGCAGGTATATTGTACCACATGAACTACAGAATTTCTCACTGACCTCAGGTCAGGCAGCAGATGTATAGAATCACTGATGTCCTTCAAAACTGGGTCAGCCAAAGATCTTGTAGCAGATCTCCGCTTCAATTTCTTCCTGGCACTTTCAGCTTAACAGATAATAATTTTTAATGTTATGCATGTACTGGCATTTACAAAACATTAAACTACTCTAGTAAGAAAACAGGAGATCCCAGAGGGATCTTGGCACTCACCATTGTTTGATATTTATATCCTCTTTGAAAGTTGGATCATTTCCCTTCTTTTCTCTTCTCTTCTTTGTTTTTGCTCTTAATGGTAAGACATTTGAACATTCCTTTGCAGAAATAGTTATGATGATATAGAGTAGTCCTCAAGAAATAGTGATAACAAACTTACAAAATCAAAATCCAAGATAGCCGCTCGTGGGCCATTTTTTATTTTCTTATCAGTACAGGCACAACTAGGGATCAAGGAAAGCATAGAATTGAGAAAGATCTATGCCGTAGTTCTCAAGAAATAGTGTTATAGCATTAACAAACTTGCAAAGTTGAGAATGACCCATCCAGTACTTCTTAAGAAATAGCAGTAACAATCTTTCACAGTAAAAATATAAGATGGCCATCTGTCAGCCATTTTTTTTATCAGACCCAAAATCAAATGAGCACAACTAGGGACTAAGGGGGAACTTACATATGAAATGTAATTCATAAGAAATATGAAATCTAAGAAAGATCCATCCTGTACTTCTTATGAAATAGCTATAACAAACTTTCATAGTCAAAATCCAAGATGGCTGCCTTTCGGCCATTTTGTTTTTTGATGAGTCCAAAAATTACATGGGAGAGATCCATCCCTTACTTTTGAAAAAATAGTGATACCAATCTTATTTGAAAAAGTCCAAGAAAAGCTGCATGTTGGCCATTTTGGTTTTTTTTATTGGTCTCAAAATCAAACGGGCACAACTAGGGACCAAGGGAACCTACATATGCAATTTGAGAAAAGATCCATCCAGTTCTTCTCAAGAAATAGCGCTAACAAAAATTGTTTACGGACAGATAGACAACAGATGGATGACACACCACAGACGCAGGGCGATTTTTATAGCCCACCATCTGATGATGGTAGGCTAATATATCTCGTAAATAATCACAGCGCTATACAATTAACTCCAGCACTATCCAATATATCATTTTCAACATAATATAAAGCATTGCTTCCAACACTATCCACTGAATCAATGCCAACACTATACAATGTACATGTATCAATTCCAACACTATACAAAGTATCTATTCCATTTTTAAATTGTCACCAGTATTCATACCTTGAATTTTGTCCGATTATAATTCTGTAGTATCTGTTTCTGAATTGGAAATAAATGAAATCACGGAAATGGATGACCGCAATGAATAAAGGTTAAGTGAATGGTAAACAAGATAAAGGCTGGATAATAGCCTGTATTGTAAGTTTGTATTGAACCAGTATAAGTGTGTCATGAACAACTGACTATCTGTAATGTTAGCTTGTATTGAACCAGTGTAAGTGTGTTGTGAACAAATGAATAATTACCTGTAGTGTTAGTTTGTACTGAACCAGTATTAGAGTGTCGTGAACGGCGACGAGTTGAATTCATCCCACTGTCTTTTTCATCCATGCTGAAAATTAAATACATCTTTGATTAGATGATACAATGTACCCAATGTACTGTAGTGATTTACTTGTACTGTCAGGACATTAAAAGTCTACAAACAAAGAACAATTAGATCAATAGCAATTACCACAAGCACTAGATTGTAGCAGATTTAGCAAAATTTCTAGCCAATGGCTATGAAAATAAATGTAGCCACTTGGAATACATTAATATAGAGGTCAATGCAGAAAATGCTTGCATCACTCTCCGTGATTTAACCAGCCTAAATATTACAGCATTACTTACTAGGTCAGGCAATTCTGAGAAGGTCTTGTATTAACCCATTTATTTTATGTTTTCACAGTTTAATATGTATAGTGCAGCCAATGGTAAGAGAAGTTACAACAAACCTAGGAGACATAGGAAGGAGCTTGATAGAGTCATTGTCTGGAAGGGCGGGTAATGATCTTCGACTGGATCGACGGGTTCGTGGACGTACATAAGGTGTCTCCTCCTCACCTGTAACATATTCACCTTTCATTTATTATGAATAAGTTCAATGGAAATGCATTTTTTGGCTTTTTTTGTTTTGCTGCCTCAGAAACATAATATTTAATGTTCATAAAGGAGGTTCCCGCAACTCCAAGTGTCCTTGTCACTGTTAGCCGATTGCTTACCTCAGATGACCAGTTTATTTCATTATCATTCATCTCAGTTGGTCATTTAGGTGAGTTTTACTGGATCTTTTTTGTTTCTACCATATTTTCTGTAAATTGAGACTGAATAAAGTCACTAGTACCTTGTTCTACAAGCATGGCAATATTGGTTCTAGGTGTGAAGTTTTCAGCTGTTTCATTGACTGGGACTGAAGGCACAGATCGCCGGCGCCTCGTCCTTGCCCTCCTAGTTGACAAAAGCTCAGTGTTTGCATTTGTCACATATGTTTCAATCTGAAAAAATTACAGACAAACAAACATAATATTGCAACAAGTGAGTACTTAGCTAACTGATGTCACTTCTGGACAGATATTTATAAAGCAAGATGTTATTGAAATAAATGTATATTATCAAATAATGAGAAGTAACACTTTTAACAAATAATATTTCAAATGTTTACTCTTACAGGTAATTAAGTTAGGAAAACAGAACAAACATTAAAGCACAAAAAGATAATTCTTTCTGGTTGATTCCAGTATACCGATGTTGAAATTGGATGATTTTCTATTAATTTTGTTCAAAATTTAACTTCTTTAACCCTTCTACATAAATTAATTCTACAACATTTTGTTTGTACAAGGCACTATGGAAACTTAGGTGAGTGTCAGTTGTAGACAGCTACACTTCAAGAGTCTGCATCAATATATACCATAGAGCGAGGTGTTTTGTCTGGCAGATCTAAGCGCTTCCGCTTTGTAGCAGACCGAGTGTCAACACCGGGAGATAGCAACTTCTCTGGTGTACGAGTGAGAACATGCTTCCTTCTTATTGGGGCTTCAGTGTGATGGGTTTGAGCTGTCTGAATGAAACCTTCAATCAGTGATTTAGGAGTTTCCTCCATCTTTTCTTATTCTTTGGTAATATGTCTGTAAAAATATGATTAAATTATGTAAGAAAATATCACCAAGATCAAGTTACATAAAACAAATAATTGATATCCATTTAAACAGTTTAACTGTTTTTCTTCTTCAAAGTTTTCAGTTTTAATCGCTTCTGATATTGCTGCAGGGACAAAACATAAAAAACATCTGCCATGAAAATCTGTAAAATACAAAAGTTGCATTATAATGGCATTTGATAATAACCAAGCATTGGGTAAAAAATCAAAGATGATGTTGTAACAGAGGTAATTTTTATTTCAATGGCTCTGCTAGTATTCAAACCCAGGACTTCTGGCTTTCTAGTCTGATGCTCTACCAATCAAGCTAAAGAGAAGTTCTTTTTTAGTCAAGCAGTATATTGCAGCTAATATTTACCAGGGTTAATATATTTTGATATATCAATAAGGTTGGAAATTTCCTTGGATTTGAGAGAATACATCAAACCTGCAACGTCAACACTTCCTATTATTTCAGACTCTCAAGAGATGAAATTCCACTAAACACACACCACACATTGGTATTTAGGTAGGTAAGAAAGTTATAGTGATTATGAAAAACATTCTACCCCATGTACACAAAATGGTATAATTAAATTCTCATTCATCTCAATATGATATATACATGTATCATAAACTACCTTTGGGATGAAAAAAATTAATAAATCAGGTTGGGCACTTTCATGTCTTCTATGATCCTGCATTTGAGTGACAATTACTGCTTTAAACATTTGCAACAAAATAGGGCATCGTCTTTTTAACATGGCCCAATAGCCAATAGTCTTTGTATAAGATCCATTAATTTCTGTTATCTAACTATTCGCTAAAGTGATAATTCATATCACTGGCTTAATGCTCAGTTGCTTTTATAGCCATTTGGGGTATTTAGTGAAAATATCATACAGATGAACATGAATTTAACAGTTTTAGCCATACTGTAAACATTAGAGGTGTTACAGTTCGTGACATTTACCAAAAATAATAACATAAATAAACTATTCACTTTTTCTGTAAAAATGTACAGTGATATAATGGTCTATTGCAAGTTATCCCTCATTTCAGTAACAAAATTAATACTCATTGGAATATCATCGACACTGCAATCCGTCCTGTCATTAGAGGATGAAGTGTCAGAGGATTTTTATCCAGCGATGGGTGTGTTGTGAACTGTAATCAGTAGTGATATACTTTCTGTAGATGTTGGATCTATTTACCTTTTCTCATAAATGAATATGGTTATCTATGGCTGAAAAATCGACAAATTTAGACAATTTATAATGTAAACTTCATATATGTCATTCTAATAAGCCGCCAAAATATTTACTTCCGGTTGTCTAGGATATTGTAGTTTTCAGACCTGTAGAGGTACTGTATATCCGAAGTTTTGGATATTAAGTTCGATGTATATTAGTTAGATTTATATTTGATTTTAACGTTGCATGTTTTTTTTTTTTATTTTTGGACTCTGCATAGCTATTGTACCGGAGTATGTAGCTTAAAAATTGAATAAGTGTACATAAAATGAAATATTTTTTACTTTCAATTTCAGACACAATCAGATTGATAATGTCAACTAGAATCAAAATTTAAGATTTTTTGATACTGTGTAATTCAAATTTTGAACTTGACCATATTTGATAAGTTAAACTATTTAACATAAAAATGGACTTAACCGAAAGCTTTGAATTCCATGATAGTTAAACTTCATACTGGACTTGACATGTCTGTATATACTTAATCTACATTTTCCCGATCCTTTTCGTTACATACTGGTGATGTCTTATACAATTTACACAGAGACGTATATATGTGATATATACGTTTCTGATTTACATAAAGCCATATGCAAATAAACAGTGCAAGCAGGAATCGATATCTTTATTTCTAACCCTTGCTAGTTTATATGTACTAGTTATAGTAAATAAAGCATACACTCAGGCTAAAGATGTTACGGTTAGTTTATTTTAGACAGCGTTTATGATTTTTCGTAAATGCCGTTCAAATAAGGACTATAATGGATTGAGTTGATGTTAGTCTTTGAAGTAATTGGCCTCACCGTTTTAACTGTCATGTGGTTGAAGTTGTAGTTAATGCGCTGTGATCATGTCATTCTGGAACATCAATAACTCATTCGGAATGACATAAATTAATCAAATACACCTTGTGACTGATATTATTAATTCAAATTAGTGATATCAATAATCCATAAGTATTGACAGCAATTATTTGTATAAATAAATGTATAATCATATCAAATTATTGCTGTCATTAAATAAATTTAAATAAGTGTTATCACTATGAATAATCGATATCACTTTGATTCAAATCACTGTTACCATTATTGTCGATTTATTGGCATCAATATTTTCAGGAATAAGTGGTATCAATAATTCAATAAATAAAATTTGAATTAATGCGGATATCACATTTTGTTGTTGAAAATCTAAAATGGCTCCCAATTCCCAAGACCTAACTATAAACTTAATCAGATTGATTCAGATATATATTACATGGCTGTATAAAATATGTTCATATTGTGACTAAAATTTGTTTTTAATATTCCGGATATATTTATTAACGATTTTCTATAGTAGTGTTAACGCGTGACAAGCGTTCAAGTGAGAAGAGTTAACATTTTAACGTACAATTGACCCAGTTTTTAAGAATGAGCATTTGAGTGGAAAACATGTTTCGCATAGTATAAATATATCCATGTGGACTTTTGTAGCAGACTAATTACACGCTGATCGTGTAAGCGTGTGTCTGTAAGTATTTCGAGTGAGGTATGAAACTAATATTGATAGTTTTACTGCATCAGATTACTTCGTACCACTGTTGACGTGAGCGGCACTTCCTGACACTTCATTTTCACAGTACACTCATTTGACAAGTTATAAAATTGTCGACTTCATGTCATGTAAAATATGGTCGGTCTGTACTTTAGTTTGGAATGGGACTAGAGTGAGTATTCATATGTTTCTGAATACACAATAATAGCTTGCAATGCTCGTTACATGCGACGAGAAATCAAAGTTCAATAAGTACAGAAAGTTATTTGTTTACATGTTTACGTACAATGTACTTATGTGGGAAGATAAATTTCACTATTAAAACCAAGCCCATTTGTATACTTTCGTGTGATCTGTTTTTGCCAACAAAAGTCATCATACTGAATCCATTATGATTTACTTACTTTAGATTTTAAATCAACAGTTATAGAATCCTGTAAAATCTTTATATTCAATTTAAGTAAAAGGAAAACCATTTGTACTGTACAGTGTAGTATATCAAAGTTCCAGTTTTGTGTTAACATGGTGAAAATTTCCAACTTTTTCAAAATATGTTCAAAGACTCAGAGGAGTATGTTTAAACCCATTCCTTTTACAAATAAGATGTCTAAAAACTGCTTATATCAGAACAATCTGTGTGACATTCGGCAGTAAGACAATACCTGTACATGGTAGGAGTCACAGAGTTGGAAGCCTGTCATTGAATCAATCAACAATCTGATAGGTGTCTAAAATCTGAGCCAAAAGTTGTGAGTCTTGAGTCCTAAATAGGGAAAGTTGGCAAATTAGATGTGGTCAAACATATCAGAATGAAAAAAAATAACAAAAAAAAACATATGTTTATTAAGTTGTAATACATACATATTTGTTTGATCATTTGAAAACAGTTTAAGCATACACAGTTGTATCATGAAATAGCTGTTGAACAGTTTCTGATTTGTTTCCCATTAAATGAATTGCATATCACTTTACTGTAACTTTGATACATTATGATATAGAGACTAATCAGATGTCTTTGATTCATTATTTTCATCTTTCACCTGCATGGCTGAATAAAAGAAAAATCCTTAATAGTTAAAACAAAAAACAACCCACTGGATTACATGTATGTCAGATACAAAGTCTATAGCTGTTATGTTATGATAAACTTCAAATCAGTTATTTATGTTACAACATTTTCTGATGTATTATTTTTGGAATCAGCTAATCTTACCAATATGCTCTAAATAGATATGACTTTTTTCCAGATTTAATTTTAACTCCATATTATTTTTTGATATTCAATAATTTAACCCCTTGCGATAGATATTGTTAGAGAGGGGATGTAGGAATGTTCTTGTGCATATGCTATGTATGTAACACTTATCATTGTAGGCACACTAGCAGCTTAATTTTGTGATCGTCAAAGTCACCATTATTACTTTCAAATTTATTTTTAGCACTGTAGCAATTTCATTTCTTGAGGCTTCACACATTTCTAAAGAACACCAATGTCATAAACAAATTGAATTTCAGGGTTGAAGAGTCAAGGCCACTTTTACTGTTTTTCGGAAAATACATTCAGTATGTCAGCAGCTTCATTTCTTGCGGGTTTTTGAGCAAACTTAACATTTATACAAAGGACCATTGATACCAAAGACAAATTTGAGTTTCTTGTTGGTAAGGTAAAGTGCGCCATTAATATTACTATGTTTAGAAAATCTTTCTCAGCACTCAAGTGGCTTCATTAAGGAAGGAGTTTTATCAGTTTCATGCACAATCAGATATAGGAGCATAATAATATCATAGACGAGTTCAAATTTCAGGGTGCTAGCTAGGGTCAAGATCAAGTTACAATGTAGGTCCCCATTTATTTTTTTAGAAAATTCTTATCAGCTCTCCTGTGACTTCATTCCTTTTGTGATCAGATCAATCTTTACACACTTAATCTTCATCAATATTGTTCAGAAGTCAAGGTGAACTGACAAGGGTATTTGTATCTTTTGCGATACTTCATTTACAATATTGCTTTTGCTACTGTCTACCGCTGAGGAGTTACTAAGTAAACTCCCCTCCCCAATCTAAACTAGTTGCAAAAATATATAACAAGAAGTTTAAAAAATAGGAAGGAGCTCCAGCAGATATCTCTGTCTTTTCTGAAGAGATAAAGATTATGTAATGCAGCATTTAAAATGAATCATGTATCATATTACTGCTAGTGTTAGTCATTATCAGTTTGTAAATAATGAAATGCCAACCTGTTGTTTTCATGCTTCAGTGAATGCATTAAAGAGTTCTAACGTGCATATGCACTCTTAGCTTTAGAGACTCAGTCAGATTGACTTTGAAAATCATTGAAACTGGTTACAAAAGAAAAATATACAGTATTTGTATACAGTATAATGGGTGTTGTTTAGGTATAAATGTTTATATTACTGGTGAGGTGGTAATGAAGAGGAGTGTTGTGTAAGTGTAAGTTACTGGTGATATGGTAATGAGGAGGGGTGTTGTTTAGGAACTGATGTTTATGATAATGATGATGTGGTTATGAGGAGGGTTGGTGATTAGGTACAAACATTTGTATTACTGGTGAGGCAGTAATGTGGTGGGGTGTTGTTTAAGTATGAGTTACTTGTGAAGTGGTAATAAGGAGGGGAGTTGTTTAGGTGTAAGTGGTGGTATAATTGGTGAGGCAGTAATGTGGTGGGGTGTTGTTTAGGTACAAGAGTTTGAAGTACTAGTGAGGCAGTAATAAGGACAGATGTTGTTTAGGTACTTGTGTTTGAACTACAGGTGATGTGTTAATGAGGAGGGGTGTTGTTTATGTATTGGTGTTTGTGTTACTGGTGAGGTGGTGATGAGGAGGGTTGGTGTTTAGGACTTATGTTTGTATTTCTGGTGAGGTGGTAATGAGGAAGGGTGTTGTTTAGGTATAAGTTACTAGTGCAGTGGTAATGAGGAGGGGTGTTTAGGTACAAGTGTTGGTATTACTGGTGAGGTGGTAATGAGGAGGGGTGTTGTTTAGGTACATGTGTTGGTATTACTGGTGCAGTGGTAATTAGGAAGGGTGTTGGTATTACTGGTGAGGTGGTAATGAGGGGTGTTGTTTAGGTATAAGTGTTGGTATTACTGGTGAGGTGGTAATGAGGAGGGGTGTTGTTTACATATAAGTGTTGGTATTACTGGTGAGGTGGTAATGAGGAGGTGTGTTGCTTAGGTACATGTGTTGGTATTACTGGTGAGGTGGTAATGGGGAGGGGTGTTGTTTAGGTACAAATGTTGGTATTACTAGTGCAGTGGTAATGAGGAGGGGTGTTGTTTAGGTACAAGTGTTGGTATTACTGGTGAGGTGGTAATGAGGAGGGGTGTTGTTTAGGTACAAGTGTTGGTATTACTGGTGAGGTGGTAATGAGGAGAAATGTTCTTTAGGTACAACTGTTCGTATACTGGTCTCTTGAGATGGGCATAAGTAAAGATTCTGATAAGGATGGGTATTACATTAAATTAGAGATAAGAATGGCACTTATAAAATAGGTATATGATTTAGGGGATAAGGACCATGTATCCAGAAAGTACAAAAAGTGTTTTGAAGGGGGTACACACATACATGTAGGAAATTAAATGAAAGTATCTCTAGGCGATGTTTACAGTACAACGTGAAAGATGTAATACCTCATTTCTAAATTTTGAATTTGTTTTTGTTTGTATAATTCTAGATTTGATTTATGTTGAACTAACTTTGTGAAGTAGACAGACCATGTTAAAAACATATCAGTATCTTATTCCAAATTATTGATTAAAGAAATGTTCTGGAATTGAAGTTAAAAGAAAAAGTTACACCAGGAAGACGTCATGTGCAGTGTATAATATATCAATCTATATTTGAAATCCAACCATCTGTCCATGGAAGTGTAAGGATACAAGGCAGACATTTAATAGTAACCATAGACATTCTCACAGGAAATGAAAAAAACCCATTAAAAATGAGATTTCAGATTGATAGAGTATTGTAAGCCTGTACCCAATCGATTGTGGTATTCCCTGCATTTGCTTCGGAAAGTAACTGACAATGATTATCATGGTTTATTACTGGCAGTGACCAATATGTTTCACACTGCTAACACTGGGGTTTGTATCACTAGGGATTGCAGAACATACAGGGTATATTGTTGTCAGACATCTGATCTCAAATTACACAACTGTGGCAATGATTAAGTCTGCACCTAGGTTCAGTCTAAAAGATTTGTCCGCTTGTGTGCACTTTATTTTATGTAAACCTGATAACAGTGTTTAGGGTGTTAGTCTGTAAACCTCTGTTTTATGTATACCTGGTAACAGTGTTTAGGGTGTTAGTCTGTAGACCTCTGTTTTGTAGTGTGTTAGTCTGTAGACCTGGTTTACTGGTAACAGTGTTTGTGTTAGTCTGTAGACCTCTGTTTTATTTTAGTGTCTGTAGACCTCTGTTTTATGTATACTGGTAACAGTGTTTAGTGTGTTAGTCTGTTTTAGACCTCTGTTTTATGTACTGGTAACACCTCTGTTTTATGTATACTGGGTAGACCTCTGTTTTATGTATACTGGTAACAGTGTTTAGGGTGTTAGTCTGTAGACCTCTGTTTTATGTATACTGGTAACAGTGTTTAGGGTGTTAGTCTGTAGACCTCTGTTTTATGTATACTGGTAACAGTGTTTAGGGTGTTAGTCTGTAGACCTCTGTTTTATGTATACTGGTAACAGTGTTTAGAGTGTTAGTCTGTAGACCTCTGTTTTATGTATACTGGTAACAGTGTTTAGGGTGTTAGTCTGTAGACCTCTGTTTTATGTATACCTGGTAACAGTGTTTAGTGTGTTAGTCTGTAGACCTCTGTTTTATGTATACTGGTAACAGTGTTTAGGGTGTTAGTCTGTAGACCTCTGTTTTATGTATACTGGTAACAGTGTTTAGTGTGTTAGTCTGTAGACCTCTGTTTTATGTATACTGGTAACAGTGTTTAGTGTGTTAGTCTGTAGACCTCTGTTTTATGTATACTGGTAACAGTGTTTAGAGTGTTAGTCTGTAGACCTCTGTTTTATGTATACTGGTAACAGTGTTTAGGGTGTTAGTCTGTAGACCTCTGTTTTATGTATACAGGTAACAGTGTTTAGTGTGTTAGTCTGTAGACCTCTGTTTTATGTATACCTGGTAACAGTGTTTAGGGTGTTAGTCTGTAGACCTCTATTTTATGTTTACAAACTTCATTTGATCTTCTGCTCTCTCTTTTCTTTGTGTTTGATTGATACCCAATGGAATTTGTGAGACCTGACCAAATTTTTGAAGAATAATTTTAAACTTTGCTATGACATGATACAGGTTTCCAGGTGGTTTTTGCCTTTCCTGGACACAGCATGCAGGTAGCACTGATATGTATCATATCCCATAGGTGTGTCAGCAGATTTATGCTTCAGTACTGCCTGATTGTGAAATGTTTTACTGGTATTTGTTGGTTGATTGAGTGAACCACTTTATGATGATTTAAGATAAAAAGATAAATACATATGATTATCAGCTATGTGATATCTTGGTGAGGAGTGAACAGACAGAACATTGTAATCCTGTAGAGAATATCTGTCATTATTTCATTTTTTTGAAATTGTATTTATACATGCAATATATAATATATGGGGTTTTCCTTTTGATTATCTTTCAAGAGGCTTAAGAATGATATATATATTTTTATTTGTTTTGTATACAAGGTGTTTTTGAAGAGATGATGAATATCTCAACAAAAGTAAAAATTATGCAGAAGATCAGGCCAACCTTGACATCTGTGATCCCAAGGCTGGAGAACCCCAGTAATCCACCCTGCAGCTTCAATGGGGAGCGTCAGTGTGAGGATGGGTCCTGTATACAGGCTGTCGACCTCTGTCGTATGTATATGTGCTGTCGGTATTAATATTTTTAAAACCACCAATGGATATGTATCACAGGTTGTACAGATTTAATGGGGAGTAACTTAAATGGAGCTGCGCTTCTCGCTATCATGTGTCAATTGTAAATGGAAATTATTTATTTTCTCAATTTTTAAAACAGTGTTTACACCAAGGAAAGAAATCAGACTGCAGTTTAATTGTACAACAATCTTCAATTTAGAAGATTTACGTTTAAGGGAAATACTGCATGATAATTGAAAATTCCTTTGTAATTGAGCAACAGGAACAGCTTAAATTGTGACAAAGCTCAGTTAGAATTGGTTACCTGACTTCATTTGTGTGACCTGTTCTAAACCTGCTTTTTCCATCTTCATTTGTAACTTATTTCAAATTCTTTGAAATGGCTGAACTGATTGCCACCCACCAATTTTGGTAGAAATTATCCATACCAGTACAGAGCCAGAATTATCTCTACATATATTATACAAGTGACTGACAATCATTGAGAACTGGAGGGCTGGGCCCAAAGGGGGTTAAGTTTCATTCAACTTCTTTTGTTTTTGTCTACAATTGGATTGTTACCTGATATGACTGAAATGATCCATAAAAGGTGAGGATAAGAATTTTTACTGGAAAAGTTTCTGACTTCTCTGGGAATGGAGGATGGGGTTCCACTGGGGTAACAGAGTACAAAGCTTCAATCAACATCTTTTCTGATGGTTGCCATTGGATTTGATGTTCAAACATGACTGAAATGATCCTTATAAGGTGGAAGTCAGAATTCAAATTCAACAAGTTACCTACTTGGGGTCTCTAATCTAAAAGGAATTTTCTTCTTCGTGATTTGAATTAATTGGATTGAAATGAAGTAAAAAAATCTGCTTACATTCAGAAAATCTTTAATGTAGCAATTCTCAGATTCAATCAAATGACTGTCTTGCAAATGGGCCTCTTATTATGTTCTCAGCACTCAGGTTTGAGATACATCTACAGACTTATGTAAATTGTGAGAGACAGAGTATGAAATAAAGTTTCTGATGTTTGTTGTAGCGGAGGAACAGCTGATGAACCAGAACACCATCCTCATCATGATTGTTGTTGGACTGGCAGTTGTCATATTCCTCATTGTATTATACTGCTTCCAGCAGCGTCAAAGGGAAGGAAACAGACGTCCTGGTTGTAGGTATCATTGGTCTCATCGTAGAAAGGATAGGGTAGCAAATGTCTTGGCTTAATGTTCCACACAGTCTTAAGCTGTGATCAGGGAGCAACATATGTCATGGCCTAATGTATCATATGATCCCAACATGTGATTAGAGGACAAGATTTGTTTGAATTTACTGTATGATCCCACATGTGATTAGGTGGCACCAAATGTTTACTGTATCATACAGTCCAAACATGTGATTAGGTGGCACCAAGGGCTAATGTATCATACAGTCCAAACATGTGATTAGGTGGCACCAAGGGCTAATGTATCATACAGTCCCAACATGTGATTAGGCTGCACCAATTGGTCAATGTATCATACAGTCCCAACATGTGATAAGGTGGCACCAAATGGTTAATGTATCATACAGTCCCGACATGTGATAAGGTGGCACCAAATGGTTAATGTATCATACAGTCCCGACATGTGATAAGGTGGCACAAAATGGCTGATGTATCATACAGTCTCAACATGTGATTAGGGGAAATCCCTTAATGTGCTTTTAATTACCATTGAATTGAAGATGAATGAATAATGATGAAATATACAGCTACAAATAATTGTTATTTCTATATGGTTTTATCAGATCACTTTTGATAGTTATTAGAGTGAATGTCGTATTTGGGATAATTTATATCTCTTTCAATTACTTTTGGTGAATATGATAAATTAATTTGTGTAATTGATGATATATTTTATAATGTTTCATTTAACCTTTTAAAGCTCTTTCGGAGGCAAACCATGATGATGATGACCATGCCTCACTTTATATGCCACCACCAACCTATGAGGAGGTGGTCACTACTGACCTGTATCCCCCCACACCACAGATGAGGCTTGCGAGGGTAAGTCATATGTCTACAACACACCACAGATGAGGCTTTAAAGGGTAAGTCATATATCTACAACACACCACAGATGAGACTTTAAAGGGTAAGTCATATTTCTATGCCAAACACCACAGGTGAGGCTCACAAGGGAAAGTCATATTTCACCAACTTTCAGAGGGAACTCACAAGGGAAAGTCCTATATCTACTCAATACACTTTAACTGAGGCTCCGTTCGCAAGGGTAGGTTCTATGACTTCACCACACATCACAGATGAGGCTCGCAAGGGTAAGCTTAATATCTACATCACACACCACAGATGAGGCTCATAATGGTAAGTCATTTATCTACACCACATACCAAATATGAGAGGTCAAGAGTTACACAAGGAGATGTTTATACAGTTTGTGAGAAGAGAGTTAAAATCTCTGGAACCTCAGAAGTCATACAAAATCTTGTGTCAACAGACACTATAACTGCCATGTGTCTTTATATCACCATGACTCTATTGCCCATTTTTTCATCTCGGATCCAACTTTATTGTTCATGAAGAACAAAGTATATATTTGAGAAAGTATAAACATGGTGTCTATCATTTAAGCTGAGCTATATATACCTGTAATTCTTTTTGTAAGAGTTGTTCCCCTTAATGCAGTTTTCTGTATCATTAGACATGTCTGAGATACTTCGTTCAAAGTATTAAAAAAAAAATCAACCATCAACAAATACATACATTATATAACATTAGTTTTGTTTTAATTCTTATTTTAAAAGTTCTAGTCCTTTACATCATAATTTTATATATAATTAGCTCACCTGACCCAAATGGCCAGCAATTCTTTATGCAGTTCAAGTTTGTTTAAGTGCTGAATCCAAGTTCATGGGCTCTTAAATTGTATCGATTAATATTTTCTTCAATAGTTTTTTACTTACAGCGTAAGCATGCTAGTTTCAAAGTTTGTATACAATGGTTTAATTTAAATCCACTTTGACTGTTAATGATATACGATGTTAATGTGTTTGCGAGAGACAAGTCAACCAGGTGAGTGATGCAGGCTCATTGGGCCTCTTGTTAAACATTCTAGCTCCAATCATTAATGTGATAACACAAAGTTATACTTTGTTACTCATGTGTGTATAGCTTCTAAAGCAGTCAAGTGATATCCTGGTCTACATATGTGTAGTTTTAGTCTCATAGGATTGGGACAGTGGTGTGTAAATGTGCATAGTGATACCATTATTATCCTGGTACATATGACACTGTATTTACAGGGCAGGATCACATCCAATGAGGAACCGCCTATGACGCCTCCCCCCAACTATGATGCAGCTTTGTCCATCCTTGCCAGAAGCCATGAGTCAGTGTTTGGAAAGATTCCTTTCATCAGACGTAAATCATCATGTGTTTCACGTCGTAGTTTCTCTGTAGACAATGTTAACAATTTGGAGTTAGCCCCTCCTCCTGCCACTGTGACTACAATTACAGAACACGACAATAACAGCTGTGACAAAACTACCATAGAGGTCATCTCGGACCGGTGACCTCAGCATCTGCCACGGTTGATTCTCAGAAACCAGTGGCCACTCAGCAGGTGTTGTTGAATGATTGGATCCATTACCCGTGAAACCAGATTTGAAAAGAAAACAATGTTTATAGTATTCAAAACCTTAATAACTAAATTCCTCATGTGGACTATTTAATTTATCTTTTATTTGTTCATACAAAGATTGAATAACTCTTTTTAAGGTTCTTTTACAAGTATACTGATTTTTACTGAATCAGCTGGCATTTCTTCCATGTCAGAAGATTTTGCAGTGTAGATGATGACGATTTGGGAATAGAGACATTAACAATATAAATTGGTAAGATAAATATGGCTCCAAGTGATCTAGTTATCCCACAGCAGAATTAGTAGACTAATAGTGAAAAAGGAAAATTGCTGGGACGAGGACAACCTTACTGCTTATTTGAGTATTAAGACTGCAATACAGATTGACAAATGACAATACAGTTGTGTAGGTTTGTATTGTTTGGTCAAGCTGGCTTTTTCATAATTTATTTTCACAAGAGGTTACCAATATCTATTATAAAGTTGTACACACCTATTACACATTATGTATAGAGTAACCATGCCAGACTTGCTGAGAGTGCAATATATTTAATACAAATTTGAACATTGTTTTGTAATATAAAGATCTGCTTTATATATATATATGATTGAGATGATTTGTGGTCAAGGTGTCATGTCATGTGGTGTATAGTTGAGAAGTGGATACTTGTTGTGGTTTGTATCTAAGAGTTATGTCCCTTGATATGTGTGCTGTACTGTGTGTACATATATTGTGGTGTATGATGAAGATTTGTCTCTTGTAATGTGTGTACAAGTATTGTGGTGTATGATGAAGATGTATCTGCTGTACTGTGTGTACATATATTGAGGTGTATGAGGAAGATATGTCTAGTGTACTGTGTGTACATGTATTGTGGTGTGATGAAGATATGTCTAGTGTTCTGTGTGTACATGAATTGTGGTGTATGATGAAGATATGTCTAGTGTACTGTGTGTACATGTATTGTGCTGTGTGATGAAGATATGTCTAGTGTTCTGTGTGTACATGTATTGTGGTGTATGATGAAGATATGTCTGCTGTACTATGTGTACATGTATTGTGGTGTATGATGAAGATATGTCTGCTGTACTATGTGTACATGTATTGTGGTGTATGATGAAGAGGAGTTATGTCCCCTGATTTATCTGGCGTCCATTGTGTATATATATATTCAGGTATGTCACCCTGAGTATGTTATGACCACATTTATTCCAGACCTATTTATTGCTAGTGTATACATTTATTATTGATAATTTACAATTTTAATGATAAAAGATTTATTGTTATATAATGTTTGTAATTAAATGCAATATGGAAGATTTCATGTTTCTTGTGAAATATGGTTAGATGCTTTATCCTCAAAATGTTAATCCTCACAAAACTTGAAATGTTGTGCACTTTTCCAGATGATGATTAAGTATTAAGATAATGATTTGGTGCTAAACTTTAACAGTCATTAATACAGAGAGTCAAAACTTTGTATGTACTTTATATAACATTAACTGCAAAAAAAAAAAAAAAAAAACGGAAATAGGTAAATAGTGAACTCTATCTCCTCTCCTTACAAGATTATTTTCATGTAACTGATGTAATCATTGATTTCACTGCCTCAGCTAGACTTGAACCCAGGACCTCTGGCTTACCAGACTCCAACCAATTTAGCTCAAGAGATGTTCATTCTTGCCGATAACATATTGTGGCCAGTATTTACTAGGATCGTAGTGCTTAAAGTTGTTAAAAGTGATTTTGAGTGATGTCCAGGCATTTTATCATGAGGCAAAGAATGACACCTTATTCATGGTTTATTGGGCTATGATGAATCAAATAAAATAACGTCACCTTGGTCAAATACAGAAAAACTGAAATTTTTAAGTTTTAGCTGACCCAGAATCATGATAATTCGACCAAACAGTAACTTCATGAAGGACTCAAGACTGTCAGTGTAACAGAAATGTTAAAATCTCACCTAAAAAGTCTTCTCAGACTCATAAATTCAAAATGATAGTTCCATACCAAAGTGGCCATGGCTGTTTATTTAGTGACCATTGTCAGAGACCCAGTTACATTTGTCCACTAGAGTGAGTGCATGAGCAGTATCAGTCTACTTTTGGTAAGTAATACCAAATCACTGCTCTGATCCTACTTGTTGTGACACAGATGTTAATATTATATGAGATAGGTGTATCAGATGTGAGTGTAACAGCATTTGTCATAGTGGTATAAGTGATAAAATACTGATGTTAAGTTTTATTCATTTGTTTACCTGAATTTGTGTAACAAAATACAATGTCACTCTTAAGTTCATTTTGTAGCAGAGATGAAGTTTATTTCTGGACTGGTTTTATTATTACTCAGTCATCCACAGTCCAGGTGTAGGTCTCGAGGCTTGCTCTTATAGGAATGTCTCTATCTTTCCCTCTGTCTTTAGAGATTGTCTCTATCTCTCCCTCAGTCTTTAGAAATTGTTTCTATCTCTCCCTTTGCTTAAGATATTGTCACTATCTCTCTCTGTCTTTAGGGATTGTCTCTATCTCTCCCTCTCTCTTTACGGATTGTATCTATCTCTCACTCCCTTTTATGGATTGTCTCTATCTCTCCCTCTCTCTTTATGGATTGTCTCTATCTCTTATTCCCTTTTATTGATTGTCTCTATCTCTCCCTCCCTCTTTACAGATTGTCTCTATCTCTCCCTCTCTCTTTACGGATTGTATCTATCTCTCACTCCCTTTTATGGATTGTCTCTATCTCTCACTCCCTTTTATAGATTGTCTCTATCTCTCACTCCCTTTTACGGATTGTCTCTATCTCTCATTCCCTTTTATTGATTGTTTCTATCTCTCAGTCCCTTTTATGGATTGTCTCTATTTCTCCATCTCTCTTTAGGGATTGTCTCTACCTCCCCTTCTCTCTCCCAATCTGATGTTAACCTGCCTATATTTATAACAGTCCTGTTAAGTGTCTCTCCATGTGTTGGTTGCCCTTAAATACTTGTGCCTTCACAGAAGTAGACCATTTAGCATGAGATATGGCTTTTAATATCTTCAATATAGATACATTGTTGAATGTTACTGGTGTCAGTTGACGTCCTAGATACCCAGGTTATTGAATGTGTTTCTCGTTAGTTTGAACTCTGTCCTGGTATCTTGACTGATAAACATAACTTCAGATAATGGCTCCAACCTTTTGTTATGCAACTCTTTATAATCGATGTTATTCACAATATTGAATATATTTTTTAATACAGTTGTGGTAACATGCAATGCACCAAAGACTTGGTGATATTACCCAGTTTTTCTATCATGCACACATCATGTGTACAACATGCAGACATTGTGCAGATAATGTGCACACATCACATTATGTAACATGTGATCCCACAATTGTAAATAAATGTTGGAATTGAAATATTGAAATGATAATGACAATCAGAGTAAAATAGATTAGAATTTAGGATGTCACAGACTTTGTGAATTCAATTGTTTCACATTTATTTCCATACCAAAGAAAGGAGAGATGAGGTGAAATATCATATGTATCATTGTAATATTTGTATGTAATGTAGAACACCTTCTTGATAAGGAAGAATTGCCTGTTATATTGACTGAAAAATTGTACAAAAGGTATGCAACTGAATAGCACCTTTCAATATGTCGTAATTCATATGGGGAAATGCACTGAACTGCGCCACTATTTGATTCAATTAAAATGTGGCATGCATGTTATAGCAAACCTTAGAGACTTCAAGTCCACAAGCAATGTCTACTACTTCCAATCTCTAAGATTGTAGCATAGGTTCTTGCAATGGCAGAAATTCATTCACCTGTGATGGCACTGTAATGCTTTTTTATTTCAGTCACACTGTTTGTATGCAATTCTATATATCTTAGCATAATGTATTTGTACATAATACAGTGATTGTTTGAAGAAGTGGGAAGGTATCAGCAAATATATAGTCATTTGAGAATTTTGTTCTGCAAGAGCTACTGTGTGAAGTATGGTTTTGTGAAAAGGATGATCATGTGAATGATGTTTGAACAATATGTTTATGAGAAGTAGATTTGTGAGTGAAAAAAATATATAGTCAAGAAGAGTGACTGTGGTTGGGAAATGTTGTTATGTAAGTGGATAGTGAATGGGATAATGTAGACAGGAAGTGTGATTATGTTGATAGGAAGTGTGATTATGTTGATAGGAAGTGTGGTTATGTGGACAGAAAGTGTGATTATGTGGATAAGAAGTGTGATTATGTTGATAGGAAGTGTGGTTATGAGGATAGGAAGTGTGATTATGTTGATAGGAAGTGTGATTTTGTGGACAGGAAGTGTGATTATGAGGACAGGAAGTGTGATTATGAGGACAGGAAGTGTGATTATGTGGATAAGAAGTGTGATTATGAGGACAGAAAGTGTGGTTATGTGAATAGGAAGTGTGATTATGTTGATAGGAAGTGTGGTTATGAGGACAGGAAGTGTGATTATGTTGATAAGAAGTGTGATTTTGTGGACAGGAAGTGTGATTATGAGGACAGAAAGTGTGATTATGTGGATAAGAAGTGTGATTATGAGGACAGAAAGTGTGGTTATGTGAATAGGAAGTGTGATTTTGTTGATAGGAAGTGTGATTATGTGGATAAGAAGTGTGATTATGAGGACAGAAAGTGTGGTTATGAGGACAGGAAGTGTGATTATGTTGATAGGAAGTGTGGTTATGAGGACAGGAAGTGTGATTATGTTGATAGGAAGTGTGATTTTGTGGACAGAAAGTGTGGTTATGTGAATAGGAAGTGTGATTATGAGGACAGAAAGTGTGATTATGAGGACAGGAAGTGTGATTATGGGGACAGAAAGTGTGATTATGTGGATAAGAAGTGTGATTATGAGGACAGAAAGTGTGGTTATGTGAATAGGAAGTGTGATTATGTTGATAGGAAGTGTGGTTATGAGGACAGGAAGTGTGATTATGTTGATAGGAAGTGTGATTTTGTGGACAGAAAGTGTGGTTATGTGAATAGGAAGTGTGATTGTGAGGACAGGAAGTGTGATTATGATGACAGGAAGTGTGATTATGAGGACAGAAAGTGTGGTTACGTGAATAGGAAGTGTGATTATGAGGACAGGAAGTGTGATTATGTTGATAGGAAGTGTGATTTTTGTGGACAGAAAGTGTGGTTATGTGAATAGGAAGTGTGATTATGAGGACAGGAAGTGTGATTATGAGGACAGGAAGTGTGGTTATGTGGACAGAAAGTGTGGTTACGTGAATAGGAAGTGTGATTATGAAGATATGAAATATAATCAAGTAGGATGAAAGTGTGATTAATTGGGTTTGAAGTGCGTGGACAGAAAGTATCACTTTGTGGATGACAAGTGGGTTACTGAATGAAATATAGTTGTGTTGGTTGGGAGTGTGATTATGTGAGTAGAAAATTCGATTATAGGGTAAGGAAGTACCATGGTGTAGTGAGATGGTTAGTGTTTTTAAAAGGAACTGACGGTTTTGGTACAGTTTGTTTTGGGCATGCAATTAAACTATTTGGTCAGTAATACATTCAATTGCAAATTTAGTATTTTCCCCTAATGGTTTTGTGTATACTGTTTTAATATGTAAAATTTGAGATGCTTTTGTTTATTTGTTAGAATGTGTAAGTTATTTGCATATTGTATAAAGATTTTTTGTTAATATTTGAAACTGTAAGTTATTTGAAAAGGTGAGGATTCAGATTATCCCTGTTGTGTATCGGAATAATCAGATAATCCTAATGTTTCTCAATACTTTTGTCACAATGTATGCAACCAGTGCCATCTACAGTTATAGAGTCTCAAAGAATTCTTATATTACAGAAATAAACAATTTTGTTGTACATGAAGTTACTGGATTTGTGTTTTTGATGCTTAGAATGATCAAGGTAAAGACTGTGTTTGACCTTAACTGTTTATTGGATGTAATGGGTGACATTGTTCCTGGAGTCAATGCTGATGAACAAAATAACAACAGGGGCGGTGCTGATGTAGGTAATACCGTCAGAGACAGAGGTGATGTAGGAAATACCGTCAGAGACAGAGGTGATGTAGGTAATACCGTCAGAGACAGAGGTGATGTAGGAAATACCGTCAGAGACAGTGGTGATGTAGGAAATACCGTCAGAGACAGTGGTGATGTAGGTAATACCGTCAGAGACAGTGGTGATGTGGGTAATACCGTCAGAGACAGTGGTGATGCAGGTAATACCGTCAGAGACAGTGGTGATGTAGGAAATACCGTCAGAGACAGTGGTGATGTGGGTAATACCGTCAGAGACAGTGGTGATGTGGGTAATACCGTCAGAGACAGTGGTGATGTAGGAAATACCGTCAGAGACAGTGGTGATGTGGGTAATACCGTCAGAGACAGTGGTGATGTAGGTAATACCGTCAGGAAGTGGTGATGTAGGAAATACCGTCAGAGACATTGGTGATGTAGGAAATACTCAGTATAGCCTCGGGTTAGACAACCAAGAATATCAGCCCTCGGGTTGGAGATTTCTCTGTTACACCCTCAAGGTACAGGAAGATTCTATTAAACACCACCAGGGATAGTGGTGATGTAAGTAACACAACCAGGGATAGTGGTGATGTAAGTAACACAACAAGGGATAGTGGTGATGTAAGTAACACAACAAGGGATAGTGGTGATTTAGGTAACACCACCAGGGATAGTGGATATGTAGGTAACACCACCAAGGATAGTGGTAATGTAGGTAACACCACCAGGGATAGTGATGATGTAAGTAATACCATCAGGGATAGTGGTGATGTATGTAACACCACCAGGGATAGTGGTGATGTAAGTAACACAACCAGGGATAGTGGTGATGTAAGTAACACAACAAGGGATAGTGGTGATTTAGGTAACACCACCAGGGATAGTGGAGATGTAGGTAACACCACCAAGGATAGTGGTAATGTAGGTAACACAACCAGGGATAGTGGTGATGTAGGTAACACCTCCAGGGATAGTGGTGATGTATGTAACAGCACCAGGGAAAGTGGTGATTTAAGTAACACCTCCGGGAATAATGGTGATTTAAGTAACATAACCAGGGATAATGGTGATGTAAGTAACACCACCAGGACACCACCAGGGATAGTGGTGATGTAAGTAACAGCACCAGGGATAGTGGTGATTTAAGTAACACCGCCGAGAATAATGGTGATTTAAGTAACATAACCAGGGATAATGGTGATGAAAGTAACACCACCAGGGATAGTGGTGATGTAAGTAACACAACAAGGGATAGTGGTGCTGTATGTAACACCACAGGGGATAGTGGTGATGTAGGTAGCACCACCAGGGATAGTGGTGATGTAAGTAACACTACCAGGGATAGTGGTGATACAACGTAGAAAATATTACTGGGGATTTTGTTGATGTAGGAAATACCGATGGAGACAGTGGTGATATAGGAACTATAACTTGGACATAGTTCAACTGATCCTGATAAATATTTGTAGCACATTAGACTGGTGCCTTATATACGTCGTTTGCTATCGACAAGAATTCTTTTTACTGTTATTTTTGTGATTTCGTCTGTTATCATGGAAGCAAAGTCAAAATAAAATGTACACGGTAGACAACCTTTTCTGGGCTGCACTTGAAAATCTGTTTGACTCATCTCTATTAATCTATATAGTAAAATGATACTAAAAATTTACTAGAAGAATGCAATAGTTAAGCTTTTACTATTCATAAGATTTCAGTTTTGCTTACATGGTTCAATGGATGAGAATGCTCTATGAGCCTCTTGTTGGTATTCGCTGTTACCATGGAAACAATTTGCCAGAAATAGAAAATTGACTTTCTTCAAGCTTTCTAAGGCATCGCCTCGAAAACTGTTCAATTCTTCTTTACACACGTTAAACAATGAAAGAACCCGTCTCGGAATCTAATCAAAGTATTAACTTACTTTGAGGGAGGTATAATCTCGACTAGGAAAGTATATCAGTCGTTCGAACCAGATCAAAAGTCGTTCAAAAGAGATCAGTCCTGAGATGGAGAAGAATAGTCGAACGAATGAAATGAAATACCGAACGAATGAGGTTAAAAAAAGTCGTTCAAATGAGATTAAAAAAAGTGTAGGGACAACTTTTTTTAGATCGTACGAATGATTGAAACAGTCCAAGCAACGATGGTAATTAACTTCCGAGATTGAATGCACTTTATTAGCCTGTATGGAGAGTGTGAAGTAGTTGGGTTTGTGTAGTGTATGCCGGTAATGTATACGGATAACACTGAAAACGATAGACAGGATTCACTGATACTTTATATACTTAATCTGGTACACAAAGACATTTCATAGACAATTTATGTGTATTCAACAATAGTTTTAAAATTCAATAATAGAAAAAGAGAAGAACGTTTTCAGAAAATCTTGTCGGGTTTGCGTAGACGTAAAGTTAAAAGTGCCAACAATATCTAGTACAATCACAGAATTACTGAAGATCACACATTTTCTAACATCGTCTGCCGTCGATTTTGTATGAAATATTTATTTGTGACAGCCTATGCTGTATTTGACCTATGATAGACCTCCCATTTACCAAGCAATGCTTTACGCATACACCAAAGGTAACATCACTGAATCGACCTATACGACTTCAGTAAGACCTCCTTCCTTTGTGTTGCCCACTTTAGACATGGATGTATGCCTCCCACTGTCTATGACAACATCATTGTCATCCTTTGTCTCCGTAGTGTTTTCGTTGGCCTCCTCTCCAACAGTAACTTCGTTGGCCTCTTCTCCGGTGTTGACATTTATGTCCGCCTCAGGCTCCGTGCCGAAGTTGCCTCCCTCCTCGTCCACTATGGCTATGTCGTCCTCCACAGCTGGTTTCTTGATGTCATCGCCCCAATCATCGCCTTCCTCCTGTGGTCCAACTTTGGAGTTTGCAGGGGGATTACCACATCGACCTTTACAGCACGGCCACCAACAGCAGCACTTGAAGCAACATGTCTTACAACATTTCTTACAACAGGTAAACGCTCCTACCACCACCCATATTGCTACACACCCGCCGATGATGCCGATTCCGACTCCAACAAGCCCACCCATTCCGAGGGCGATGAACGTGCCGATGAATTTTTCCATGGCTGTTAAAAAGAAAATTGATAAAGGTTACTGATAACGTATTTTAATAATGATTTAGGACTATAATGTATGAAACTATATACTTAATTCATAGCATGGAAGAAATATGCTGTTTCGTTTTATTCCTTACTTGTACAGTCGTTCTCGTCCGTAAGATCAGCACACTGGTAGGTTCCATCACACTTAAGTCGGCCGTCTATGCATATGTTCTCACTGGTACACAGAAATTCGTCATCCTGGCAAGGAGCTGCATGGTAAAAAAGAGGCCAAACTTCAAGATGGTACATTACCAAGAGAGTGTAAGTTAATTATACGTTATAGATCGAAATGGTAACCATTCTCCAAAGTTGCTTTTGTGATATTCAACACAAAATATGTGGCGGCCCTGTCACAATACTGTTTCCTGTCAACACTGCTACTTGTCACAGTCCGATGATATCATTAAGAAGACTAATTGACCCCTTTATCTTTGAATTGGTTCTACAAGACACTATCGCCATTCCCATAGGGACAACGACTACTCCGCTTTTGGCTGTTTTTGTTTTTGTTGATGCGGGGGAGCAAACATCCTTTTAAGACCGTTAAATTCGCTTTTCAGTGTTGTATTTGTTTAATCGATTTTTAGATTAGACTGCAAGATTGTTATCTTGTCGGTACGTCCTTATTATTGTTCTACTGTAGACATTTTATTGATTAAAGTAAGGAAAATATCAGAACCCGAGCTCCATGATATTGTGATTCTACATAAAACAATGACGCGTGAAGCGCCGTTTTACATCTTCCTGCAGGATCATTTGGAATTGTTTAAGATTCTTTTGCGTCATGTGACTTGTTAACAGGTTAGTCTAGAAAACAAGATTTGAATAGGAAATGAAGCTTTTCTTAATCACACGGAAAAGACCCACGGTCGTTATCCTTAAGGCTTTGGCGTTCAGTATTTCAACTAACTCGCAGTCACACCGATCATTTATTTACCATATACCATGTTTTGTTTGTCCTAGTACGACCTGCATTGATTCCCATCATACGCTGATTTCTTTCCTACTTTTACGGAACCGGAAATCATCGCGCTCATCATACAGCTTGGTGGAAAGCTGTCCCTGTTCGGATCATGGTAGGAAAAGATCACAGGAGCAGCTAAACGTTGTAGACTATCTCAATATTAGGTTATGGTTTCGTTTATTGATATTACCATCATAATTGGTGGTATAAATACGTTATCGTTGTAATTCTTCTACTTGACCTATTGACCTACTGTCCTAAGCACTTTGATGTTCGTGCGGTTATGAGTTCACTATAAGGCTGTTTTGAAATGAAATCTTGTTAGTCTAGTAAATCCTTTCCTGTCTTTGAACCGAACAAGAATTATAAATGTATTGTTCAGTGTGACCTAATTACTGAAACAGAATTAGAACATATTGTAATGAGTATGGATAATCCTCGGTCGATTTAGGGCTGGTGGCGGCTGTTCAGGGTCAATATCAAAGGCTATGTAAATATAATATAATATAATATAATATAATATAATATAATATAAGATAATGTAATGTAATGTAATGTAATATAATGTAATGTAATGTAATATAATGTAATATAATATAATTGTATAATGACTAAACTTACATTGTTTAAACCTGATGTTATGATATTATAAATGTATGACAATATCAATGACTTGGAAACTTGTACAATATAGATAAGTATATACAGGACATGTACTTTGCTTTGTTGATTACTTCTTCGTGATGAATATCACAAGTGATACCTATTCATAAATAACTACAAACAAAGTAATGAACTTAAATGTACTGTTCTTACAGCAGTATGTGGATAAGTATCCGGTCCAATTTCGTTCTAGATACAATGTTTCTGATCTCGAGGGATGTTGTTCCGCCCACCATGTACAAGGTGTAAAAATTTCGGTACACATCTTGGTAGGCATCCGCTGAGAGGAAGGTCTAGCAGATATTTTAAAATCAATCTTGCTTATAAATTCTGTTGTTGATTTGAGTAGGAACTTTACTTATCTAATCCTAGTTAATTATTAACCGCAATATAACGAGAACGTTTCTATTGCTCAGTCGGTTGAGTATTACACTAGCAAACCAGAGGTTCCGGGTTCGAACCCTAATGGAGGCGTTGAAATAATGAGTAATTTTAGATAAAGTAAAGTAATTAAATAAGGATTTGATTTATTGGAAAAACAACAAGGTACAGCACGCTTAGTAAATCTCTATTTCAGTGGTGGAAATGATTCAAGTTCTGAGGCTGTTTAATTTCCTCTTACGACTGGGATGTAACATGGATACAATGACTATCCCTCATATCTATTCTAAGTAATGAGCACTTGTTATACACGAGACAGACAGTACACAAAGTTCAAGTAGCTGTTTTTCTTAAGAATACATCATAAGACAATGTCGGTTAATGACATAAAAAACAAAACAAAAAACAAAAACAAACAAACAAACAAAAAAACAAAAAAACCAAAAAAAACCAAAAAAACAAAAAATAAAATGCAAGTGCACAGTAAAAGAGCATTGTCTTCGAAATAATTGATTACAAATCTTATATGATGAGGTTTCATTTGGTGTCATTACTGACGTTACTATGGAAAATATAACGGAAAATCCATTAATCTATCATTATCAAAGGATTCAAAGTAGATGCTATAAACTTGGTTTTTTAAGTGATTTAACGTAGAATGTAGGTGGACACTTTCAGCATAATAATATAAGAAATTATCGACAGCTACACAGAAAGTAGAAAACAACCACAGAATAAAAACATTACAACATGGAAGATCAACAACATGTAAACATAATTTATCATCCCAGGCAACAGGGGCAACGAAGAACATGACAACAGCAAACAACCATCCATGTTAATAAGTAACAAATGAGACAAAAGTATGCAACAACGGAACCAACAGGGAAACTAACAAGCACAAAACACGTCCAGCTTCGTGGCACATAAGGAAATCGAATATTTCTCAATGAAATCATTATGACGACCGTAATTTTTTCCCATGATTTGAAACCTGTGTTACGAGTTTGTTCATCAGTTGACAACTTCTTACATGAAAATCGTGATAATGGGAAAATACCCTTGAATATCGAATCAACTGGGACATGTCAATACCATAGGTTGAAGATGCAGGGATGTTGCTACCCAGGATGGAAAATCTCAAATAGTGACGTTGAAATCATCACGCTTATCATAAAGCTTGGTGGAAAGCTGTCCATATTGGCGTCGTTGTAGGAAAAGATTATAGACTGATGTAGAAGAGTTTGCAGTGTCTTGATTTCCAAATTTAATGGGTAGACGATGGACGTGGTCAATAAATACCTGGTTATTTAAAAACAAGACATTATCGGAAAGTGAAATTTTACCACTTTGCCAAGACTATGTGACCAGCTCCTAGATGAATGCAGTCTACATGTAATGTTGTCAGCCAGAAATTCTATCATTTTTATGATTTCGTCCTGTGTGTATTTCTTCTTTGAATTGGGTGTACTCTTCACGAAATACGTTTCAGTATAGTTCACAACCACATATTTACATTGCCGTTCATCTTTCTTGGAAAAAAAAGCTTTCATAACAAGTGAACGAAGGCGTTCTGTGTACCGAGTGAAAAAATAAAATGTTCTTATAGTAAAAATGTATTTAAGAAGAGGAGTTGAAGATTGGTCAAAAGATCCAAAGAGGTTTTAAAATTCAGTAATATAGCAACAAAAGGTTACAATGAGAAGAAAGCTCCTCCATTCATAATGAGAGGACAGCGTCTCAAGTCACAAGAAATTGACTCCTCAAGTCACAATGAGAGGACGGCGTCTCAAGTCACTAGAAATTGACTCCTCAAGTCACAATGAGAGGACAGCGTCTCAAGTCACAAGAAATCGACTCATCAAGAAGTCACAATGAAAGGACAGCGTCTCAAGTCACAGGATATCGACTCTTAAAGTCACAATGAAAGGATAGCGTCTAAAGTCACAAGAAATCGACTCCTCAAGTCACAATGAAAGGACAGAGTCTCAAGTCACAGGATATCGAGTCTTAAAGTCACAACGAGAGGACAGCGTCTCGAGTCACAGGAAATCGACTCTTCAAGTCACAACGAGAGGACAGCGTCTCAAGTCACTAGAAATTGACTCTTCAAGTCACAATAATTATAGGACAGCGTCTCAAATCACAGGAAATCGGCTCTTCAAGTCGCAATGAGAGGACAGCGTCTTAAGTCACAAAAAATCGACTCATTAAGTCACAGCAGGAAGCCATAAGAGGCGGAGAGAGGACAGCTACACCAATGTTAGTGAATTTCTGTCTCAGAAAGGTGCTTCATAACTTTCCACCATTGTACTGTTAGGGTAGTGTGTGAGTGTTATCTTTACCGAAGTGGTACATAATTAAACATTCTAGGTCAAATTTGTCAATCATGTGCTCGGGGATTGTATTTTGAGAATATCATGAAACGAGGTCAGCAATGGAACCCAGTTTACAATCGTAGGGGAGGTAAGATACATAGAGTCTGGTTATACACCAGGAAATGAATATTTCACAACATTTGTCTGAATTCTAGCATCTGTCCCAAGCCATCGATCGCCGAACATAGCGGTGAATTTATTGACGAGTATCTCAGCAGAATCGATTGTAAACAAGACGACAGAAGCCTTACACATGTAATGAAGAACTAGAATCAATCAGGGACATTCCGCAATGGTGTGTTTTTTCTTCCTATAATACAATGACTTAGCACTGTTAGACATCTGACTGATGACTTAGGCCGTGTACCAATACATAATGACAGAAACGCAATATGCGATTTATCTGCGTGTCACAATATGAATACAATTATGAAAAATTCAAATATTTGCATATTGAAAGGAAGGTTTCTTTTTATTGATCCGGTAGTGGTAACCAACAACAAAACAATTATGGTGTATGGACACTTTGGGTATGAGCACTAGAAGGTCAGCACGTGACAGGTATATTCCTACGAGATTAATGTTATGACAGAATATATGGGATTCCGTATATATCAACAAGCAAAATCTGAGAATTACAGCGTGATTCTTTGATATGTGAAAAACTAACACATTGTTGAAGGAATGCGATATTATTATTATTATTATTGCATTCTTAACGGCCCGTCAACTCACAAAACGTCATTAGGGTCATCAAACGGTAAAACACACAACGATCCAAAAGGAAATAACATTAAACAAACCAAAAGGTAAAAGACAAATGCTAAAAAAAACTTAAATGGGTATATTTACACAAAATATTAAAACGGTATAAACATAACAGTTACAGAATAACATAATACACCTCCACAACGATGTGACCAGCAATCTGGGTGTGATATAGCAAAAGGTGCTTACGTGACTCATAACGTGTAGCTCGGAGTCGCCAGCCAATGTCGTTACCCGATCCGTCGGTGTGGAACTGCAGGGTGAGGTAGCGTTGGGTGGGATATCCTGTGATATCAACCACACCCCCACAGAACTTGCCGATCAGGGTAGACGCATTGCTGATGTCGTTCATGTCCGCATCATAAAGAGACAGGTAGTCTGCCGTGCACGACGTGGTCGGCTGGACATTGAAGTGGTGCCATTCTACCTTAAATCTAAAACGATGACAAGTTGAAAATAAAATATATACAAATAATACAAAAATGTGTAGCATTTGATAATGTAAACTTGTCACTTTGATTTTGCCAGTGTTTGTAGGTCTTGTTGATTACTTATCAATGTAATATACCTGGTCTTATTCTCCTTTTTAAAATTTTTTTGCCGTAAATTGATCAAATTTGTGTTTGAATTAAAACTTTTGTAACATGTCGTTACTTCCGTTGTTGTTTCTGGATTACAAAGAAACTATATGAAAATATACGAACAAGCATTCTAGATTCATTGTAACGGCAAAAATAGACTTGAATAATTTGTGACTAGAGGAACGGGTAACATTGACCTCTATTACAAAAGTGAAAAACACATCCTTGCCTTCTGTGCTTGTAACATGCACTAACAGTTTCAAAAATCAAGTTTTAAGCGCATTTCAAATAATGGCACGGATATTTGTATTATTTCCTCAAAAGACACAAATTTAGGCATCCTTTTAAGTGCACAGAAGTAATCATACTCAAAAAACTTCTAAGATTCGGATTAAGACATGTTGACAATTTTAACGAACAAAACTACGCGTACTTTATGCTAAGGGTCCTTGTGTTGTTATTTAACATCTTAGAGCGCGTTTTCAAGTACAAAAGAATGGGGTGACAGTAAAAGTATTCGGTTCTCAGGAACAAGTATGTTTGCTGTAGTAACATAACGTAGCGTTGGAGAAAGTAGTCTAAGTTCTAGATTGGTGCTCATCTATTACACAAACACACTTTAATTGTAGTGACATAAACTAACAAGATAAACAAACAAAAGCAAAAATCAAATAAATAAAAACTACACAAGCAGATTTCAAATTGTGGATTAAGTCAATTTAGGAATTTAAGTGTATAAGCCTCCATCATTGAGATTAGTATTATACATATGTATATTGTTGTCGTTTTCCTGTTTGTCAGTAAATCAGCATTAGCATTTCAACTACTGTAGCTATCTGATGGGTTAAACGGGAGGCATACTACTGTGTGAAGCGCAAATAGACAAGCTTTTCGAATTAAAACATCAGTCTTATAAGGAAAATGGTATCAACAATCATAATATCAAAGGATTATAACATTAACACTGTAGGTACTGGTATTTGTAGGTGGCGCTCTACTGGGACGACCTAAGTCAGTATCAGATCATACATGGATCATGCCTGTTCTATAGGTTTTTCTTTTCAGATGATTTTATTGTAGAAATCTAATATACCAGAAAAAACTGGGCGATGGCCACAGTCTATAAAGGCCTTGTAGTACTACACATCATGCACTCTGGCCGAATTCGTCCTGTTGAAAGGAGTCACAAACGAAATGTTAAACGGAGTAGTTGATCATGACATGTATTGTTTTGCTATTTATGCCTCATTAATCATCGTCTTTTCTCAGTAACAGAAAAAAAGTCGCTATTTCGCTACCCGAAGGGACTGTTCTGCTGTTTATTTTGTCCTACGGTATGAGACAACGTTAGCTATTTCATTCTGTCGTCCTACTAGGTTTATTTAGGGTTTGTTTTTGATGTAGCAGTGCTTTCACTCGCACCCTCCCACATACACATGCACCCAACACATGAAACTCACTTCGCCTACACCGGAAGATTATCCTCAAATGACAATATGTGTTGATAAATATATAAACTTTATTTATTTTACAACAATTGCGAAACAAGTTATGTCAACTTATACTGATAACTCTTATTGTGGGAGGAAATCGGAGTACCCGGGGAAAACCCACGTGGTCAGGCAGGTGACCCCTTACCTTTTCACGTCCGTTCCGGTCGGCAAGGTGAAAGGCGAGTACGTTCACACTGCGCCACCCGACCACCCTAATATGTGTTGATAAGACGCTTAGCAACATAAAACCAAAACTAACTTAACACTATCTGAATTACGATGTATTCACTAGTTTAGTCAAAGAAGAATAAATAGGTATTTACGTAAATTTAACATTCAGTTCTTACCGGAATAGTTGATATATATAAGATATTTGAAGGGAAGAAGAATTTTCATTATACACCATTGTAATATGTGACATTTCTAAAACTAGGGAAGGATAATTTTTAGACCACACAAATCTATTTCCCGATATTCCTAACATCATACGGCATGCATTGTAACACCTTGAGAGCGTAGTTTTTGGTGTTCCATTTGTTTGTTTAGGGTTTTACATCTTCGCAGCAGCCAAGGTGATATAAAGGCAATGTCGACACCACCTCCTGATGTCATAAGTTTCATAACCATGCTGCCGACGGGCTTACCATTCAATGCTGAGTCACTGACTTTAGGATATAATTAAGTCTTTCTCATTTGTGAGGACCCAAAGGCCAAACGACGCCTCTTATGATCGTGTAATGGTGAAGTTAGAAGGTGGGGGAATTGCTAACCACCACCCATCCCTCCCAGCTGCTATGAGTGGAACAAAGAGCTAAAAGTAAGAGTAATGTCAGTAGCTGATTGGATTGGAACAAACCACCATCCATAAGAGAGTAATAGCTGATTGGATTGGAACTAACCACCATCCTTACGAGAGTAATATCTAATTGGATTGGAACTAACCACCATCCTTACGAGAGTAATAGCTGATTGGACTGGAACTAACCACCATCCTTACGAGAGTAATAGCTGATTGGATTGGAACTAACCACCATCCTTACGAGAGTAATAGCTGATGTGTGGTTATGATAATACAACACAGTGTAAAGAAATTGTTTGAATCCCCCATAGTGTTGAATCAACGTTACTTAGGTCTTCAGATTTCATTATATATCAGACAGAACACCATAGCGACTGTTCGTCGAGTTGAAGGATTCCTCAGGGTCGTAGCCTGCGGATATTTGCGGATCTGAGCGCTCTAGACATGAATGGTTAAAGTTCCACTCCAAGGTTGCTCGGATCGTTTTCCCGTATATGTACGAGTTGGTATGTGGAACTTGCATCCATTCGCGTTAAGAATTTAAGTATGCAATAAATATGATGAATGCAGCGATGGTCACCACTGTGTGTGTGAATGTCATAACTGTTTAAGTGATACAAGTATACGTTGGTTTGCCCGAACTGTTTAACTTATTGTAACACATTTAGTGCCTTTTTCGAGGAAGGCAAACTATGTTGCATTTGGCAGGCACATTGTACAAGGAGAAAAAGACTAGACGTTCAGGAAGTGTAAGCGCCTTCTGCTTTGTCGATGTCCGTTGCCATGTACAGCTTAGTAACTCCAAGTAAGTAATGTCACGTTCCCAAATGCGAACAAGGTAAACAACACTTGAACCACCAGACATCCTAACAAACATCAAACACATCTAGCATCATATCGCACAGTGAATGGAATAATTCCCAATAATGATCGTAAACGTTCCCTATCGATACATCCCTCAAAACACTGTCTGTTGTCGGCATCTTACGTTAAATAATGATTTTGGAACGAAAGCTGTCCCTGTCGATTTGGTTCCAGATTCAGGTAAGCTGATGTACATTATAGAAGATATATAACAATGTGCAGTAGTGGTATAGCCCACACGTAAACCGAAGTGGGCAACTTACTTTTGGCTGTTTGCATTACTGATATGACATGTACCAAACAAAGCCGAATCTATTGGAACTTGTTTACCTTTTGAGATCAATTGTTTTGCAAGTTCATGTGATAAAGCGTGTGACAAGTGCTTTAAATCAGAGTAAGACAATGCATTATCGTTTGTTGTACGGTAAGAGTAGCGTTAGTAACGTCATCGATGTTTTCGATATTCATTAATTCCAACAAAGATCCAAAATAAGATTTGCTGTCATTAAAATCTTGGGTATAAGATTTCTTCTAATTTTAATTTCAACACTTTGTAGTACTGATAATGTGAACAGATTTGTTATGTTTTGTTTTCAATTTCATCAGAATTTAGAAGAATTTATATTCTTTAAGATGTGAAAATGAAGGGTAGGAATAATTATTATCAGCATTACAAGTCGTACGCCAAAACAATTAATTTCTAATTTCGTAATTTTATATAAAACAATATTGATGTCACTCTATATTTTCAGATAAAGATGAACGACAAAAAAGACCTTCTAGTCCTTACACCGTAAGGTGGCAATCACATCAGTAGTGTTATGCAACTTTGCTTAAGCCAGCAGTTTTCTGTTTACCGAATACGATCTGGCAATCAAAGGGTTATCAAACTTGTACATCTTTTTATATATTGTCATAATAAATCTGTGTTTCTTAGCAAGCCAGTATCTGACACCAAAACCCGGAGAAGATGTGCGTGTAATTAGTTCTCTTCTCTTAGCCGTTAAAATACGAGACATTACTCTAATTATTTCTCGTCTTTTCGTTTTTCCCCGAAGAGACGAGAATTAATGTTTGATCAAGAAATTGTACTTAATTATCGTGATTTCTCGGCAAAAAGTCTAAATAACAAAAACTATACAATGTATGAATAATGATATAGTCAATTATTTCCAATAAACAAGCGATGTAAAATGAACAACACAGAAAATGAAAATGAAACAAAACGACATCAAATTGAAGTAGGATGTATATAAAACAGCAGCCAGCACATTTGGATTTATAGCAGACTCAAAAACGAATCCTTATCAGCTTTCGATTAGCCTAGGAGTTTTAGATTAATGGAAAATAAATCCGAAGGAAATTTATCTTGTGTGGATTGAAGTCAACACTCTCAAATAAATAGTGTTACCGTAATTGTCTAGTGCCATGTTATGCATGGATGGAGGTTCTCATGCTTCAGTAAATACATACTGTTGAGAGAAAGTGAAACATCAGCCTTTCTTTGTAACATGACACGTTCACTAATTTAAGATTTGACACCGTAGTTCTAGGACGTCTATTATATTCGCTGAATTGGTATTACATTCATAAAACTTACTTAAAAACCTTACTCCAGGTCTTCTCTAATCTGCATTTCTATGTCATGGTGGAAAGACGGACACAGATAATCCGTTGCCTGCTATAACAATACATTTCCCATGCCTTCCGAGAGGTTAAGGTCAGGAAACGATATGCCCTTTTCTGGCCTTTAATTCGGTCGTAACAAGTGACTGATTTGCCTTTTCATTTCCTGGTCTCCAGGAACCAGGCATAATATGATACAAAAACTGAGAGGTTTGCTCTCTAACTATGCTATGATTGGACAAGTTGCGATATTAGATAAAATTGCATACTTAGCTGTTGCCATGCTCCCCGCGTCCAGTGTCATCACGCAGTCAACATTGTCATCATAGTCCCACATATATAGGGGATTTATGTGACTGTTCACGTACGCACATGCGTCTTCAACACGTTTGTTGCAGATTCCACCAAATGCATTGCTCACACCCGGGTCCATATAATCTGAAACATTGTAGGTAAAGTGAGAATCTGTTCCTCATGTTCCTTACCTGAATGAGTAATGGAACTTGTGGATTTGACAGTTTTACACAATATATTCGACACGAGTTTTGTAAGACGACAGTAGGATTTTATTATAACACATAAAATTAATGGTTATTATCACTTTCTTTTATTGTGATACAAAGACCCAATCTTTCTACTATGTGACGTCAGTACATAGGTTTTACAAAGTTATTAATGAATGACAGGCATTTGCGGTTTTTTCCAACGGTGTTGTTTGCTTTTCTTGTCACGAAAAAAGCCCTAATATTCTGATGAATATAGTCTTGACACTTAACACACTTGTATTCACATGTTATCGATATTGTTAAGTTCTATGCGCTAATTCTATTCTTTTACAAAGACTTTAAGAAATGCTTGTAGAAAAGTATATCATGCAGTGGAAATTCATTGTAGAACAAAATAGGTTATGATAGAAAAGCAAATATTATCAAAGACAAAACAATTCAACTGTTAAACTCACATTATGGGTTTATATTTTTGGTGTTCCAATAATTGAAAAATTACCGAATTTAACACATGCACGCATTTTCAAAAAAAAAATTGTTTCAAGAATATGCTTCTTTGTTTCAAGAATATGCTCGCTGAAATGATGAAAACCCATATTATACAGGCAATTTAAATATAAAAACCTAAAAAGCAACGGAATATAATTCCTGAAATGTTGACATCTCTATAAGTAATCCTCATTTTTATTATCGGTGCCCATTTGTCTAAAACTGAGATATGACCGGGAAGTAACTGTATTCAGTATCATGTTTTATGTGTTTTTGTAAGATAAAAAATAACACACGCGCGTTAATGTCATCTAGTTTCGTTCAGCATGGAGTTTTTGATATGAAGTATCACAGAGAGAGCATGAAGTATCACAGAGAGACATCCGATCTATCATCGACAAAAGTGTCGCGTAAAAACTGTACAAATAATCACTCAAAATATATTACAAAGAAGACGTCCTTCTGAGATATGAAATAATGTATAATACAGCGTATGCGAATGGTCGCTAGATGTGGTGACAAAACAGGCACAGGGGCAATATTTGTAGCCTGCTGGGTTTGTTTCCTTCGCCAACCTCTCACGATTTTCTCATTTCCAGCTTCAGTATATCCACAACTTATCGATTTATACTTCTTAAACGTTTATTAAATGAAGTGATATGGTTAACATTGGCGTTTGAAATACTCCTTTTCCATTTTCATCTTACTATTTAATGTGTCATTTCTTTTCTCTAAAACTATACCGGAAAGAAAAAATCGCATGAAGCTAATAGGACTTCGGATTTTGCTGTTACTCTCGTGTTACAACTAAAGTATCGTCACGGCCCTATCAATACGGAACCTAATATCTACATAGGCTCCGGTCAGTTATTCCAGTTATATGTTTCCGTGGCCAATAACACAGTGAAGGATTTCATAATTCGAAGATGTATGATTTTGTTTCTTGCATTTATATGAAAATTTCCTCGATGTCTATGACTGTTCCTTGACAGCTTTATATCCGATATGAATGTGTCTGTATTTCGGTATCGATTAAGTTCCTTGTTCCTACTCTTGCGTTGTTTTATAAAACATTTTGTGCACAAAGAATCTAATTTATATATTACACAATACAACAAAATAGACGACTCATTCGTAAATTAATCGGAAGATACAAGTTTTAGAAATAAGGAACTAATCAATTACTTTTCAGCAGCTGTAGTGATATATGTCATGCTAATATTAATTAACTGTAGAATTTAGGAGTGAAAGGAACCAAAGGTCCTAAATAGTATTGAAGATGTGTGATGAGAGACACTTTAAAAATACCAAATATCGTAGTGTGATTGTAAACATGATAAATCAGCGTCTTCATACTCACAATCTGCTATGAGGTAGAATGCCAGAGTGGTTCCAATTGAAAAAGCGAGAACCCAGAACTGCAGGCATCGTACCTCTGTCTTGTACTCCATTCTCTTGGCAGTAACTTAGAAGTAAAGGAATTCGGATGAATTACAACTTCCAGAGGTAGAATTACAAGACCCAGTAATTTTCGTGACAGCCCTACCTCGTAACTACCAGTTTCATCTTTGGCTACCACGCACGGTATACTGACCGGAATTATGACTATTATGGGGCACCTGGATGGATATAAAACTTAAAATACCATCTCAATGCTTAACAAAACTTTGTCTACATAGTGCCTTTGTTTAACTCCGTCCCTTATTCATTATGTATTCGTCCAATAACATTCTGTAACAATAATGGTTTAGAAATTAAAGAATTATAATGTGATTAATACATGGAATCCGATTACGTTAAAGAAGCATGCTAAGTGGCCTAAATACCTGTAACACGTTCTATAGTTTGTGTAACAAACTACTTACTACTCACCTTTAATAAACAACACAAAACTGTAACAGTGATCAAGACTTTCAGCCATAATGTTGATTGTTAGGCTTATTGCTACAGTTTCGAATAAACAAATGAATATAACTTTTCAAATATTTAGATTGATAAGGCATTTTTTTTAAACATCTCCGATTGTTTAAATATCATGAAAGTGACAATCGTTGAAGGGTTAACTTTCTGGCCTTAACTAGACATTTCCTGTATTTGTATCTAAAACCGTATTCAATTCAAAAGTAATATACATTTGTGTTTTTGGAATGAAGGTTTCTAATCATTGACGTTTTCTATAGTGTTTAATGTGGTATATCGTAGTTTTATTTGATATATACACTTTCATAATGGTTTCTCTTTCGGCACGTTCTGACAGGCTAATATAACGTGTTACAATCTCTGAAACTAGAAGTTAGATAATTGGTTTCATTTCATTCCCTTACATCATCTATGTTTACATTGTTAGTGACTCATTTTTGTATCACACCAGTTGCAAAGCCAATGAGCTAAGAACCAATTTGATAGTTTTGTTGTACGTTAAAAAGTATCTCAAGATATGTACAGACTGTGCTGGCTTGTAAGACAATCTATGAGTGAATTCGTTTGCAAGGATTTTATCTTATTTATTATTTTATTTTGGAAAGAACAAATCATAACGTTGAACACTGCTTTATAAAGTAGTTAACTGGTTTTTATATGGATGTATACAACATTTAATCCATCTGTGTATTTACAACAGTCACTATACTAAAGCTAGCTGTCAATACCTCTGAATGTATTTTTTTCTGTTTATTGGATTCTTGGAAACAACACTTACGGAACAATCGATTGTCTTATATGATTAACTCGTGTTGACCCGGAAGGCTGAGAAGGATTTACCTGGTCGGGCAGGTCATCCCGGCCCTTTTCATGTCCTATAAGGGACTGAAACCTAGTTTGCCTCAGTGAGAGTGCGCTACCAATGCACAAATTGAGTGCTGGATATTTACATTGTGACAGGAAAATCACTCTTGAAATCAAGTTATCAAACTGTAGTTCAGCTATCAACGAATCGAGGAAATAAGCAACATGACATTAAACAACAGCTAAAATGGAAGTCTGTTTCCTGTGTTCAATTATACAGCGAATAGGAAATTAACAATTAGACTTACCAAAATGTTTGATAAAATATATTACTTTAAGAATTAATTCTGACTATGGCTTAAACATATCAAATTGTCGATATTGACTTTTTCATGGATAATCTCACTATTTGTTTACATTTTACTTTGAAAATGTTGATTTATTAAATTTTCATACACGACCAATGCTTTAAAGGAGACCAATCTGCAAATTTAGCCAATTATTCATCTATAAAGTAATATCAAAATTGTACAAAAGACACACAAAGGAACAGCACCTTTTCGATAATTTGGTGTTTGATATGGTAGAACCAAACAACGAATTAAACTGCGTCATACCACTGTTTCATCCTGCTAAGACTCTTCAGTTGTGTTATGGACCTTACCTTTGAAGCCTAAGAGGAAACTGAGGACAATTAAAGTGATTGAAGAGAAACAGACAATTTAGACGGAGAGATGCAGCAGCTCTATAATCAAATAAATGTTCAGATATATTATAGTTATGGAACAGCGTCAGGTACATGTGTTTATTCTTAACTGTGTCCCTATTCGAGTAAATTAAAATTAAAGCTTGTCAAGCAAGTTACGACAAACCTCGGGGACTTAAAGTCCACCAACGGTGTATACCACCCGCTATATCAAAGAATAAAGTGACTACCAACTTTTAATGATTTAGCGGATGGTGTCATGTAAATTTTATATACACTACACAAAAGATATGAAAAGTGAGTTTATAAAGGCGGTTAGGTGTATAAATAAAACATCGTAACATTTCTACCTATATGTGCATTTTTTCATCGAATGTGATATTCATTTTTGTTTTGTATATACGTTATGAAATGTTCGTGCCTTGTTTTGTATGGCAGCTTCCGAGTGTTATGTTTTCTATATTCTTGTTTTCATTTCATATGATCATATATAATGTTTTCACACGATATGATATCTATATATATGTGTGTTGATTTGTGAGGTATTTTACGCATATGCTTAAACGGAATAGATATGAAATACGTCCTCTAGCACTTGCATATCTTTATAAACTCTTAATATCGTATATGGTACGTAGTATGAAAAGACACATTTTGTCTTACTATCTTGATTTGAATATAGAAAAGCAATATTCCAAACACGAGTGATGTATATTTATTTGTATTAGTTCACATTTTTATTCCAATATTAATATGATCAATCTTTTTTAATTCTCGCCTACACAGATTTTGAATACATGACATTAATAAATACCCATTTCGTTTGCATATGAAAATGACCAGATTAGCGGTGTCTGCGACTGTGAAGTTGCGATTTATGATGTGACATGTAATCAGCTTACATTTTGTATATTCATTGTGTATCAATCAAATTGCATTTTTTCTACTATGGCTATGAATTTCGCTGTCCTATTCGTCATGTGACCCATTTATTCCCAGTAGGCTTGCCAACACTAATCCGGTCAGTGCAATGACCAAGGATTGTCGGGTTAAGTTTGGAGTGGAATTAAGGTCACGGCTTAGTATTGTTGACTCGAGGACTTTCAGACGGTAATAAAATTCGTCGTGTTATACCATACAGGTCTTCATTTATAAGGATATTCGAATTTTCAGTACATCACCTTAACTATCTGTACAACGGCCTAATAGAAGAACGCTATCGAAAATAATTAATACAGGATTTTACTCATGCAATTTCTAGTTTTGTGTAAAAGTTAATAACATCATCAAAACATAACGAATTATTTTTTCTCGTACATGTAAAGGATCTCAGGATATCGAATACGGGAAATCAACCAGTAGATCATTATGCGGAATAAATTATACACAAAAAATGTTTAATTTATTTAAAACTATTTTGGTGGTTCTTGTTGTAACACTATAATTCATTAAGTCACATTTGGAAAAAAAGGCATTGGGTTTACAATTCAGTTATAGCTGTGTATCTGAAAGTGCCAACCGTGATATTTTAACCAAACTAAGGTGGTTGATGTGATCATCTATACCAATTACAATGTGAAATTGAGAAAGTCTTCGCGAGTAATAAACAAAGCGTGAATTGGTAGTGATGATCATGTGAATTTTGCCAAGCGTTTCCCGTTTAACGAAGACAAGCACAACATTTATCGGAGATTATTTGGTTCAGTGTGTGGCAAAAGTTCATCGACAACAATATACCATGCGAGAGCTTGTCAGAGGAGCTACAATAGCTGTGCACTTATTTGGATAACGAGTATGGACGCATTTTCGCGCCAGATATCGGAAAATCCTTTCTACATGTTTACCTCAATAATGAGTTTTCTTATAAAGCTTACGAGAGATTGATGGACAGCTTTTCTTGATTAGTGAACCTGTGACGTAGTTCGGTAATTTAGGATTTTCCATGTGAAAAAAGACAATGTACATGGGCAATAGGGCTATTGATTAGCGTCTTTATGGTATTCCTTTACCTGAAGGTCACATTATACTGACATCGGGCAAACCTATCCTTGTGCTTACAATACAGAATTACACATAGGGGCACGAAATATCATTTTGATGACTTTTGTATGTAAGGCTCAACTAAAAGGCTAAAAGCCCTCTTTGGAATAATTGCTGGGAGCCAGGTGATTTGAATTTCATTTAAGAACTTAACCGGTCATTCTAGAAAATGAATTACACAAAAATATATTGACATTTTTCTTAAATCGTAACGTAATGTGAATTGCGGATTTATACAATTTATATCTCACATAATCCGATTAAGAAATAAATAAGAGCGCCCTTAATAAAACACCAATCAATGTCAAAACTGAAGGGAAAACTACATTAAAACATATATCGATCAATAAAAATAGAACATTTAAGCAAATAATGTACACTCTTGCTAAACACAAATTATGCATTAAGCTCAAAAAACAAAAGTTAATTCAAGCTTGGCATATCTTGAAAATGCAAATGCATTCTCAATTAAGACATTCGCGAAAGAATAAACTTTTCCTTGGACTTTTCCCCCCAATTTCATTGCTACGAGCGACAGTATCGAAATGGTTAAACATTTTAATAACTCCATTCCGTTTTCTGCTTATTTCCATGTATTTTTGGTAATAGTAGATGAAAAAATATGGTAACGGGTAATTATATTTTCACTGATCAAAGCGGTTTTGAGTTTGTGCACTTTTATCAAAAACATGATTATAATGACACGACAAAATACACATCACATACGATCATATTTCACATTAATATAACCCGAAGTTAGTGTCATCTTCCTATGTGAAAGTTTCTTAAAAATCATCCATATCATGATATGATTATGTTCTGCATTTCCTCGATGTTCTTTCATTTCCGCATATTGAACCTTGACCACGTGAATATGATTTCTAAACGAACCGACCTTTTTCGTAAATGCCACGAATTCATCCCTGGAGTACCAATTTAACTTATTTTATACTAAATTTTCCATTTTAAGAGCCCCCTTTT